TGGAGGGCACAAGGGCATGGCAGAGCCCAGTCCACGAATTCCATCTGAATCCGGTACCACCACATCTCACCAGCAAAGGGCATCACTTGACAGCAAGTGGGATTCAAGGTCAACAAGGATGGACTCCCTCTCACCACTCAGGTCTGCAAAGGGTACCAATGTCTTATGCAAAGTAGATGGCTGAGATGGCCAAGCATGGTGGCTCACACCTGTAATCCCGGCACTTTGGGAGGCCGAGGTGGGCAGATCCTTTGCGCTCAAGAGTTCAAGACCAGCCTGGGCAATATGGTGAAACCCTGTCTCTACAAAAGATACAAAAATTAGCCAGGCATGGTGACGCATGCCTTATGCGTCACAGCTACTTGGGAGGCTGAAGTGGGAGGATCACTCTAGCCTGGGAGGCAGAGGTTGAAGTGAGCCATGATCCCACCACTGGACTCCAACTTTCTTTCTTTCTTTTTTTTCCTTTTTTGAGACGGAGTCTCGCTCTGTCGCCCAGGCTGGAGTGCAGTGGCCGGATCTCAGCTCACTGCCAGCTCCGCCTCCTGAGTAGCTGGGACTACAGGCGCCACCTTGCCCGGCTAGTTTTTTATATTTTTTAGTAGAGACGGGGTTCCACTGGGTTAGCCAGGATGGTCTCGATCTCCTGACCTCGTGATCCACCCGTCTCGCCTCCCAAAGTGCTGGGATTACAGGCTTGAGCCACCGCGCCCGGCCTGGACTCCAACTTTCATAAAAACTGGCCTGGCATGGTGGCTCATGCCTGTAATTCCAGCACTCTGGGAGACTGAGGCAGATCACTTGAGGTCAGGAGTTCAAGACCAGCCTGGCCAAGACGGTGAAACTCCACCTCAACTAAAAAGGCCAAAAAAAAAAAAAAAAAAAAAAGAAAGAAAAAATTAGCTAGTCGTGGTGGAGTGCGCCTGTAATCCCAGCTACTTGGGAGGCTGAGGCAGGAGAATAGCTTGAACCAGGGAGGCAAAAGTTGCAGTGAGCAGAGATTATGCCACTGCACTCCAGCCTGGGCAACAGATCTAACGTCCGTCTCAAAAAAAAATACGTTGAGCTGAAGCAGAAGCCACGTGGTAAAACAGATACTAGACTAGGAAAGAAGCAAGAAAATGTGTGCAGGCTGGGTGGGGGCAGGGACAGCAGTCAAACTTGTTTTTAAGCAATTAGTCAAAAATTCTCCTGGGGGTAACATTTCTGGTTTTCTTCTCCATACTCCATCCCCATGAATCTCATTCAGACTTCACTCATTCCACTGGACTCTGGGCCTCTCTCTACTCTCCAGCCTCCTCTTGCCCATTCGCATTTACCCTCCACCGCTGGGAGGATAGTGCATCAGGGAGGCAACCACGACAGGGAAGCAAGCTGGCTCCCCAACACCCTCAGGGCAAAGTCTGACGCCTCATAGCCACGAGCCTCATAGCCACGAGCCACCAGTGCACAGCTCGCTGGAAGCTTCTCCATGATTTACAGGCCTCTAGGCCTCAGGCCCACAAAACTACTTGTAATACCCAGAATGTGCCAGGCTCTTTTACCCCTAAACATCTACACAAGCTGGCCCAAGTTAATAACACTCTTCTCCCTCAATGTAACATAAATACTGCTTCCTCTACCTGGCAGGCTCTCCAAAATGTCTCCTTTGCCAGGAAGCTGAATGGATCCCTCTGTCTTTCTAAGGTCCCAATCTCAGCCCTCAACACTCTGCCTAAGCTTCCTGCATGATGGCCCTGACTACCCTGGGCTGTCACTGTCCTAAAGAACTGGGGTTCCGGCCGGGTGCGGTGGCTCACACCTATAATCCCAGCACTTTGGGAGGCCGAGGCAGGTGGATCACAAGGTAAGGAGTTCGAGACCAGCGTAGCCAAGATGGTGAAACCCTGTCTCTGCTAAAAATACAAAAATTAGCCGGGCATGGTGGCAGGTGCCTGGAATCCCAGCTACTCAGGAGGCTGAGGCAGAGAACTGCTTGAATCTGGCAGGCAGAGGTTGCAGTGAGCTGAGATTGCGCCACTGCATTCCAGCCTGGGCAACAGAGCAACACTCCATCTCATCTTAAAAAAAACAAAAAAAAGAACCAGCGTTCTATGTCACCAGTGTGTCCCCAGCACTGCCCAATAATGGTTGGGCACCACATTCTAAAAGCATATGCAAAATTTACATTCCTGGTTTTATTTTTTTTCTTTTTTTTTGAGAGTCTCTATCACCCAGGCTGGAGTACAGTGGTGCAGTCTCAGCTCACTGCAACCTCTGCTTCCCAGGGTTCAAGTGATTCTCCTGCCTCAGCCTCCCGAGTAGCTGGGACTATAGGTGTGCGCCGCCACACCCAGCTGAATTTTTGTATTTTTAGTAGACACGGGGTTTCACCATCTTGGCCAGGCTGGTCTTGAACTCCTGACCTCACATGATCTGCCCACCTCAGCCTCCCAAAGTGCTGGGATGACAGGCGTGAGCCAGTGCCCCGGCTGCTGGTTTTGCCTTCTTCAAGAGCAACTTCACTGGTGACCTCAAACTGAATCCCAGTAAGCTCCTTCAGTTCTCCTGACAATTTTCTTGAAGTGATAAGAGCTAACATTTATCCAGCCCTTACTAGCTGCCAGTTACCATAAAAAAGAAATACTGCAAGGTTTAGCTAATTTAATCTCACCCAACATCCATGCAAAAAAGGTATTATGATTTTGCTCAGTTTTTAGATGTAGAAAATGAGATTCAATAAAGGTGATAATTTACTTGAGAACGTGAGAGGGTCTTTCCGATTTCAATAACTGAGTTTTTTTTTTTTTTTCCTTTTTTCAGATAGGTTCTTGCTCTGCCCAGGCTGCAGTGCAGTGGTGCAATCATAGCTCACTGCAGCCTCAACCTCTCTAGCTCAAGCGATCCTCCCACCTCAGCCTCCTGAGTAGCTGGGACCACAGACATACCCCACCCATGCCCAGCCTTTTTTTTTTTTTTTTTTGTAGAGACAAGGTCTCGTTTTGTTGCCCAGGCTGATCTTGAACTCCTGTGTTTAAGTGATCCTCCTGCCTCTGCACCCAAAGTGTTAGGCTTACAGGCCTGAGCCACCACACCCGGCCAAAAATTGGGTTCTTAAGCAAAATTCTATACCGGTGGCTTCAACCACTTTACTTGCTATGTGACCCTGGGCAAGTCACATAACCCTGTCTCGGTTTCTTTTTCCTTTCTTTTTTTGAGACGGAGTTTCGCTCTTGTTGCCCAGGCTGTAATGCAATGGTGTATCTCGGCTCACTGCAACCTCCGTCTCCCGGGTTCAAGCGATTCTCCTGCCTTAGCCTCCAGAGTAGCTGGGATTACAGGCATGCGCCACCACCACGCCTGGCTAATTTTGTATTTTCAGTAGAGACAGGGTTTCTCCATGTTGGTCAGACTGGTCTCGAACTCCCGACCTCAGGTGATCCGCCCGCCTCGGCCTCCTAAAGTGCTGGGATTACAGGGGTGAGCCACCGCGCCCTGCCTCTGTTTGTTAGTTGAGGAATGGGAATAACAACAGCCTTCTTCCTACAAGCTTGTTGTGAGAATTAAATGTAATCAAGATTTATATAAAGCACACAGACCAGCCCATGATACAGAGCGTTAGCCACCATTATGGCACATTTTCATTGTGAGCTGATCACTGAAAAAGCCGGTGACCAAGAAAGCCCCAGTCCTTGCCCTCACGGAGCTCAAAGGCCACTGGGAGAGAGAGCCCCACGACAGCTCAGAGGAATCAGGGCGTGATGGGAGATGGCCTCAGCGTATGGGAAATCAGCGGCAGCCACGTGAAGGGACAAGGGAAGGCTTCCTGGAGGAAGGGTCCTGTGACCTCAAACCTTGTAAGATGAGCAACAGTGACCAGGTTAAAGGGCAGAGTGTAAGATGAACTAATGGAGTGTTGAAGACAGGAAGTAGTTTGTGTAAAGGCCAAGGGGTTAACTCGAAGTTTGGCTGGAGGAAAGAGAAGCGGATGCAGGGGGTGGAAGAGGGACCAGCCCGTGCGGGACAGTCTGGAGTCCGGACTATCCCGAGAACTCACCATCCTTCTTGATCTTCTCATTGAGGTTGTTGATATAAATAGTGTGGTTAGGGCGGGTCTCGGGAACTGCCATGGAGTGAAGTGTTGAGGTAAGGCTTAAAGGAGGAAAAACGTGACTTTAGCCCTGGGTTTCGCCAAATCCTTTGTCCCACCGTTGGCTGCTCAAGGATCTTCCTCCCAAAAGGAAGTCAGGTAAGGCGGGAGTAGGGGGAAGGACCGAGGGAAAGCGCGGGCAACAAAGCGTGCGTAGGACCCACTTCTCCAGCCCGCGTGCAGAGGGAACTCTCGAGAGATTTACTACGACTTCCAGGATGCTCTACGCGACCCCGTGGGCGGAGCGCCCTAAATGGCGACTCCCATTGGCCCATGCATCCGAAGGGCCGTCCTGGAGAAAAACCCGGATGTGGGAGCCAGTATAGAAAAAAGGGGACAGGTCTTGGGCAGCCTGGCCTCCAGCAGCAAGTTTCCTCAGACGGGCCCAGGAAGGCCCGGACGCCAAGCGTACCGCTCGCCCGCCGCCGATGGTCGTTTGCACCCGAGGTTACCTCCCGACAGGACCGCAGTTCTCTCAACCGGCGCCTGCTACTTTCCTGAGACCAAACCACGAAGCTTTCTCTCCTGGCACCGCCCCTGCCTTTCTGCCAGGCAATCTCCGCGCGGAAACGCAGTAGCTTGACCAATCAGAGCAAGTCTCATTTCTGGGCTCAGCTCTTGCCAATCAAAATGACATTTGAGTTCCCGCCTAGGTAGAAAAACCCCGCCCGACTCCCTGAAAGCCCACCTCCTTCTGTGACTCCCAGGTCTACGGACCAATCAGTGAAGGTCACTAGTACTTTGCCAATCGGGACGCGTCTGGCGTTGTAGTGTCTTCCGGAGGCAATCCTTTTTGAAGTCCCGCCTCTTCCCCCCAGAGCTGCGTTTTCTGTCACGTGATCGCCAAATGGGCGGGCACTGTTGCATGTGATACCACGTGATATGGAAAAAGCAGTGTGCGGGGGCCGCCATTTTCCGGGAGTGGGAGGTGTACCTTACTTCCTGACTCCCTTCCCTTTTCCACCGGTTATCACGGCGCCCACCGGCCTCTGATTTCTGAGTCTTCTCCAACCCACAGACGTTTTTGTTGCTCTGGTTCCGGGACCTTCTCCACAACTAGGCCATTTTTCCTGCCAGGTGTCCATTTTGACCTCTTGACCTCTGACTCAAAGGTCAGCCCAAAGGTTCCAAACTCGGGCCTGGGATGTGAGGGGGTAGTGAACCTAAGTTCTCCGAATCTTTAGCCCTGGGCTCCTAAGTCGCACCCTTAAGGCACCTCAGTTTAGGTCTGAGCCTTCATATCCCAAACTTACTCATGTGTTTCCACATCTAGCCCCAAAGAATGAGTTAACTCCTACTAACTGTCCACCTAAGACTCCCGAGGTAACCCAACCGGTACCACAGATCCGGTTCCGGATTTAAGGACCCCACCCTGTTAACTGTCAGGTGCCTTATGACTTGAGTCACCCTCACAATTCCTGCTCCCATGGTTTCAAATATTAGCTGTGGTCCTTTCACAGCCACTGCTCAGCCCCCAGATTCTGGAACTCAGCTCGTAAATTTTTAAAATTTCCATCCCTGAGACCGTTCTCTGTTGGAGGATCCTTCCCTCCCCGCCTTCTGAACCTCTCAGCCCCTCCTGTAGACCCCAAAATGACTTCTCCATGTTCTCCTCCCCTAAAGCCACCAATCCCTCCTCCAAGAACCCCTGTACCCCAAGCCAGCAGCATTCCATCTCCTCCTCTACCCCCAAGTCCCCTGGACTTTTTAGCTATACCATCCCCTCCCTGGAGTCAGCAGACCGCTGTTCCCCCACCGCCCCCACTGCCTCCTCCACCCGCTGCCACGGGGCCTGCTCCCCCTCATGTCTTCGGCCTGGAGAAGAGCCAGCTCCTGAAGGAGGCCTTGGAGAAGGCTGGCCCGGTCCCCAAGGGCAGAGAAGATGTGAAGAGGCTCCTGAAACTGCACAAGGACCGGTAGGGTCTCCATGCCCCACCCACCACCCAGGCTCTGCCCTGGTCGCTTCTCCACACATCACTTCAGCCATTTCCTTTTGCGGGGGGGGGGGCGGTTCCCGTGTCCTCACGATCAAACAGCCTGACTACTTAGGTCCCCCGCCTAGATCCCGTCCATGGTGGTGTGCCTCCAGCAATGAAGAAAGCTGTCCTCACAAGTGCCCAGTCCATGCTGGGTGCGTTGGCTCATGCCTGTAATCCCAGCACTTTGGGAGGCCGAGGCAGGTGGATCACCTGAGATCAGGAGTTGGAGACCTGCCTGACCAATATGGTGAAACCCCATCTCTACTAAAAATACAAAAATTAGCCGGGTGTGGTGTCATGCGACTGTAGTCCCAGCTACTTGGGAGACTGAGGCAGGAGAATCGCTTGAACCCCGGAGGCAGAGGTTACAGTGAGCCAAGATTGTGCCACTGCACTCCAGCCTGGAAGACAGAGCGATACTCTGTCTCAAAAAAAAAAAAAAAAAGCAAGTGCCCAGTCTAGTGGGGGAAACAGATCCCTCCACCCCTCCAGACAGTGACAACCCAGAGTGGACAGGGCTGTCATGGCAAAGCCCAGAGGGGTGTATGACCCAGGCTGGGGAGTCAGGGGGAGCTTCTTGGAGAAGGGGAACCCTGAGTGCTGTTGAGCAAGTCGTGCAAATGCTGTGTGATGAGAATAACCAGCTGTGCAGGGGCCTGGAGTGAAATGAGGACATGTTCTATTCAAGGAACTGCAAATATGTCCTTAACTTGCTAGGAAAAGTGGCAAACATGAGGCTGTGAAAGCGGCAGAGCCAGCCCACGCAGGACAGAGCGGGCTCTGCGAAGGGACTGGGACTTTCCTGAGGGCATGGGGGAGCCCTGGAGAGGCTCTGTGCAGGGAAGGAGGCGTCCTGTGGAAGTGGTACTTAGGAGCCTTGAGAAAACTGGGACATCCAGGGACCCAGGTGGTAGGGGAAAGGAGAGCGCCAGACCTGGGCTGGGGCTGTGAGGCTGAGGTTTAATGATTGCCTGGCTGAAAAGAGGGAGAAAAGACTTGCACAGACTCACACTGAAACTCCAAGATCTCTAGACACGTTTGTTTTTTTTTTTTTAATGGGGTTTCTCTCTTTCATCCAGGCTGGAGTGAACTGGCGTCATCTCGGCTGACTGCAGCCTCTGCCTGCCCACCCCCGTTCTCCCCGTTCAAGCTATTCTCCTGCTTCAGCCTCCCGAGTAGCTAGGATTACAGGTGCCCACCACCACGCCCAGCTAATTTTTGTATTTTTAGTAGAAACAGGGTTTGTCATGTTGGCCAGGCTGGTCTCGAACTCCCAACCTCAGGTGATCCACCTGCCTCAGCCTCCCAAAGTGCTGAGATTACAGGCGTGAGCTACCGCATCCAGCCTGCGGACACATTTATAATCTTCCCTAAATGCTCACACTGAGATGAGGCAAATTTAATGCAAATTATAGCCACCCTTTACTGAGTGCCTACCCTATGTCAGGCGCTGTTCTAAATGTTTAAATATTAATTTATTGAATCCTCTCAACAACCCCATGAGGTAGAAACTGTTTTTGTCTCATATTCCTGATGAGAAAACTGAGGCTCATAGAAGTGAAGCCCTTTAGCTATAGTGCATAAAAGAGGAAGAGTCCAATCTGAACTCTGGTGGCAGGGCTCCAGGCTGTTTGTTTGTTTGTTTGTTTGTTTGTTTGTTTTGGGGACAGGGTGTTGCTCTGTTGCCCAGGATGGAATGCAATAGCTGTATCACAACTCACTGCAACCTCAACCTCCCAGGCTCAAGTGATCCTCCCATCTCAGTCTCCAAAATATCTGGGACCACAGGTATGCACCACCATCCCCGGCTAATTTTTTGTACATATATATATATTTTGTAGATATAGTCTCGCTGTGTTGCCCAGGCTGGGTCTTGAATTCTTAGGCCCAAGCAATCTTCTTGTCTTGGCCTCCCAAAGTGCTGGAAGTATAGGCGTGAGCCACTGCACCCAGCCTGGCTCCATGCTTCTTATTTTTTTTATTTATTTAGAGACGGAGCTTCACTCTTGTTGCCCAGGCTGGAGTGCAGTGGCGTGATCTTGGCTCACTGCAACCTCCGCCTCCCGGGTTCAAGTGATTCTCCTGCCTCGGCCTCCTGAGTAGCTGGGATTGCAGGTACCCGCCACCATGCCTGGCTAATTTTTTGTGTTTTTAGTAGAGACGGGGTGTCGTCATGTTGGCTAGGCTGATCTCAAACTCCTGACCTCAGGTGATCCACCTGCTTCGGCCTCCCAAAGTGCTGGAATTACAGGCGTGAGCCGCCACGCCCATCCTCCATGCTTTTAATCATACTTATGTGGTATTATCTTTCATCGGGAGGGTACCCTAAACTGGGAACCACGAGTTCTGAGTCCATACCACCCCCACAACCGAACCGAACCTTGCCCTCTTACCAGCCTTGGGATAGGAATAATAAGCATGGGCCGGACACAGTGGCTCACACCTGTAATCCCAGGACTTTGGGAGGCCAAGGCAGGCAGATCACCTGAGGCCAGGAGTTCGAGACTAGCCTGGCCAACATTGCAAAACCCCATCTCTACTAAAAATACAAAAATTAGCCAGACATGGTGGCACACACTTGTAATCCTAGCTACTCAGGAGGCTGAAGCAGGAGAATTGCTTGAACCTGGGAGGTGGAGGTGGCGGTGACCCAAGATCACACCACTGTACTCCAGCCCAGGCGACAGAGCAAGACTCCATCTCAAAAAAAAAAAGGAAGCCAGGCATGGTGGCTCATGCCTGTAATCCTGGCACTTCGGGAGGCTGAGGCGGGTGGATCACCTGAGGTCAGCAGTTTGAGACCAGCCTGAGCAACATGAAGAAACCCCATATCTACTAAAAATACAAAAAATGGCCAGGCGCGGTAGCTCACGCCTGTAATCCCAGCACTTTGGGAGGCTGAGGCGGGGAGATCACAAAATCAGGAGATCGAGACCATCCTGGCTAACACGGCACCCCCCATCTCTACTCAAGACAACCCTAGAAAACAATATGGCCGGGTCATCGGTGGTGAGGCTTGAATGACCTGTCAATCCAGCACTCATGGGAGCGAGACGGGCAGAATCACGGGTCGCCAGGAAGGATTGAGACCATCTGGTCTAATTTCACGCCGTGAAACTGCGAAGCCCGTGCGTGCGTGAGCTAATTAAAAAAAATACAGCGCCCGGGCCGCGGTGGCTCAAGCCAAGGGGGGGGTGTATCCCCAGCACTTTGCGGAGAGCCGAGATGGGCGGATCAACCGAGGTTCAGGAGATGAGACCATCCTGGCTATCAAGTGAAACCCGTCTCTACTAAAAACTACAAAAAAAACGTAGCCGGCGGGCGAGTGGCAAGCGCTGTAGGTGCCGCCAGCTACTCAGGAAGGCTGAGGCAGGAGAATGGCGGGAACCCGAGGAGCGAGTTGCAGTGGCCGAGATCGGCCACCATGCAGCTCCAGCGCTGGGCGACAGAGTCAGACTCCGTCTCAAAAAAAAAAAAAAAAAGAAACTAGCCGGGCGAGTGCGGCGCCTGTAGTCCCAGCTACTCGGGAGGCCTGAGGCAGGAGAATGGGCGTAATCCAGGAGGCAGAGCTGCAGTGGAGGCTGAGATCTGGCCACTGCACTCCAGCCTGGCCGACAGAGCTGAGACTTCTGTCTCAAAAAAAACCAAAAAACAAAAATTTAGCCAGGCATGGTGGTGGCGCTGGTAGTCCCAGCTATTCAGGGAGCTAGGGCAGGGAGAAGGCGTAAACCCAGGAGGCGGAGCTTGCAGTGAGCTGAGATCTGGCCACTGCACTCGCAGCCTGGGCCGACAGTGGCGAGACTCTGTCTCAAAAAAAAAAAAAATACAAAATTAGACCAGGTAATGGTGGTGGCGCCTTGTAGGTCCAGCTATTCAGCGAGGGCTGAGGCCCAGGCGAGAATAGCGTGAACCCAGGAGGCGGAGCTTGCAGTGAGCCAAGATCGGACCACTGCACTCCAGTCGCGTCTCAAAAAAAAAAACAAAAAAAAACACAGGCCGGGCGCAGGTGGGCTCAAGCCTGTAATCCTAGCACTTTGGGAGGACGACGGGCGGCATCACGAGGTCAGGAGATCGAGACCATCCTGGCTAACACGGTGAAAACTCCGTCTCTACTAAAAAAATACAAACAAAAAAAAAACTAGTTCCGGGCGACGCTGGCCGGGCGCCTTTAAGTCCAGCTACTCGGGCTGAGCGCGGAGAATGGCGGGAACCGGAGGCGGATGCTTGCAGTGAGCCGAGATCCGGCCACAGCACTCCAGCCTGGGGCGACAGAGTGAGACTCAGTCTCAAAAAAAAAAAAAAAAAAACACAGAAAAAGTACAAAAAATTAGCGGGGTGTGGTGGTGCATGCCTATAATCCCAACTACTCGGGAGGCTGAGGCACGAGAATCGCTTGAACCCAGGAGGCGGAGGTTGTGGTGAGCCGAGATCACGCCATTGCACTCCAGCTGGAGCAACAAAAGGGAAACCCTGTCTTAAAAAAAAAAAAAAAAAAGGAATGAATCCCCCAGGGCCAAACTATCGGAGTGGCCTCCCCCAGGGTACAAAGATTCACTATCAAGGTGATGTCTTAGGCCTTAAGCATATTGTTACCTGGTTTTATTCAAAGTTTAGTTAAGGGATTTTCACTGTTGAACAGCCCAAGAAACAGACTTGAAGGGAAAAACAAATCGCAGAGTTTGGAGCCTGGGCAACATAGCATGACCTCATCTCTACTAAAAATAAAAAGAGTCAGGCGTGGTGGTTCACGCCTGTAATCCCAGCACTTTGGGAGGCCAAGGTGGGTGGATAACCTGAGGTCAGGAGTTCGAGACCAGCCCGGCCAACATGGTGAAACCCCATTTTTTCTAAAAATACAAAATTAGCTGGGCGTTGTGGCGTGCACATGTAAGCCCAGCTACTTGGGAGGCTGAGGCAGGAGAATCGCTTGAACCTAGGAGGCAGTGAGCTGAGATTGCACTGTTGCACTCCAGTCTGGGCAAAACGAGCAAAACCCTGTCTCAAAAAAAAATAATAAAATAAAATAAAAAGAACTAGCTGGACGTGGTAGTACATGCCTATACTCCCAGCTACTCAGGAGGCCGAGGCAGGAGGAATCACTTGACCCTGGGAGGTCGAGGCTGCAGTGAGTTTTGATTGCATCATTGCATTCCATCCCGGGCAACAGTGCAAGAAAAAAAGAGTTGGAGATGGAGATACCACTTTGAGAAATTTCCTCAGATACACCTGGTTGCAAAGTGCTACCCTTTACTCCTCACCCTTCAATAACAGAGAGTAGGGAGCAGGCAAGCAGAAGGACCATTCCCATGAACCAGATGAGGAAACTGAAGCCTAGGAAGGGGAAGTCACTGACTGAACCAGGAGCCTCCTTCAGCCTTAGGACAGCCAGGCCTGTGTTCCCTTCATCGTCCCTGGATACCCCACTCCCAGCCAGACCTCAAGGTCGGGGGTGCTTCAGAGCTGGCTCCCTGGTGACTGAGCGCGGCTCTGCTTCAGGTTCCGAGGTGACCTGCGGTGGATCCTCTTCTGTGCAGACCTGCCGTCCCTCATCCAAGAAGGCCCTCAGTATGTGCCCTGATGCGGGACCCCCCCCCCCCCAGCCCCTTTGCTGCCCTTACTCTGCCCTTGCTGGACTTCTTAAGGACTGATCTGGAAAAGAGGAGTGGATTGTCCCTGCCGGGAGGAGGAGGGAAGGAAAGGGGGAACTTTCCACTCGGGCTTCTGGGTATCTGCATAGTAAACATAGTTGGAACATCCGAGGAATGAACGAATGAACCTGGTCCAACTCCACCTTGGCTCCTCCTGCCAGGAAGCTCAGGTGACCTCTCCCCACCCTTCTACCCCCAGCCCTTCAGCCTTGGGCTCTCCCCTGAAGGGGAGTCAGGTCTCCCTCGCTGGCCTGGGAGGAGGGGGGGACTCCTCCAGGGCAGCAAACCTGTTCCCCAACTCCAGCTTCCAGGTAAGGAGGCTGTGACATACGATTGACAGGCTGGGCCTCTCTGTCCCCAGATGCGGGCTGGTGGCCTTGTGGATGGCAGGTACTCTCCTGTCGCCCCCCAGTGGCGTCCCCCTGGAGAGACTCGTGCAGGTGGCCACGGAAAGAGGCTACACGGCCCAGGGAGAGATGTTCTCAGGTGAGCTGGGTGGCTGCGTGCTCCATCACCTCTTCATGAGGCTGGGACCGGAGAGGCTGGGTGGGGTGCTGGCAGCCGTGTGTCAGGGTGTCTTGTTCCATTCTTCGGGCCCTTCCCACTGCCCAGTAGAGCAGAGAGGTTACAAGATGGACTCGAGCTGGCTGCACGGGTTGCAAACCCAGCTCTGCCACCTCTTCGCTGTGGCCATGGACAAGCCCCTGACGCTTTTAGTGCCTCATTTTCTTCATTTGTACCAATGGGTGGAAGGTCATGGTGAGGGTCGGAAGCATCGCCCACTGTGAACCCTCGGCACGGTGCTGGGCACACGCAACAAGCCCCCTCTGTGTGCTCTCACCATGCAGTGGCCGACATGGGCAGGCTGGCTCAGGAGGTGCTGGGCTGCCAGGCCAAGCTGCTCTCTGGCGGCCTGGGCGGTCCCAACAGAGACCTCGTCCTGCAGCACCTGGTCACCGGACATCCCCTGCTCATCCCGTATCCCAGGGCCTTGGAGGGAGGAGGACGGGTGGCGAAGGGTGGGTCCCAGGGCCATGCTATCGTTTTTACCTTAATGCCAGCACCAGCTACGACGAAGACTTCAACCATGAGCCGTGTCAGAGGAAGGGCCACAAGGCCCACTGGGCGGTGAGCGCAGGTGGGTTCCCCCTCCTTTGTCTGCACCCCTCATCCTGGGTCTCCCTGGCCTCCATTAACCCTCCTGACATTCTCACTCCTTGTGCTGGTGTCTCCCCAGCCAGGCTGGGCACTTAGCATAGCACCGGGCAGGCTGGGCCCCAGGTGTCCGCCAGTTGGAGCTTCTACAAACGGAAGCTCAGAGCATAGATTTCAGGATCAGAACGTCTGGGCTCCAGGCCTGGCGCAGCCTCTTCTAGGCTCTGTGACTCTGGGGAGGTATCATTGCCTCTCTGGGCCATTCCTTTCCCCATCTGGAAATCAGGGGTAACAGTAGCACCCTCCTCATAAGGCTGCCTTGTAGGCATAGCACGCAGCACTCAGAACAGGGCTTGGCCAGACGGAGTGGCTCACGCCTGTAATCCCAACAGTTCGGGAGGCCGAGGCAGGTGGATCACTTGAGGTCAGGAGTTTGAGACCAACCTGGCCAACATGGTGATACCCTGTTTCTACTAAAACTACAAAAATTAGCCGGGCGTGGTGGTGTGTGTCTGAAATCCCAGCTACTTGGGAGGCTAAAGCAGGAAAATCGCTTGGATGTGGGAGGTGGAGGTTGCAGTGAGCTGAGATGGCGCCACTGCACTCTAGCCTGGGTGACAGAGCAAGACTCCGTCTCAAAAAAAAAAAAAAAAAGAAACAGGGCTTGGCATGTGGCACGTCTCTGTAAGCATTACCAGCACCGTCTTCATCATTCCCCCGCCTGAAAGAAGACCGGGTTGGTCCGCGTCAGGAGGTCCGGGGGAGGCTCCATTCAGCTTCTTCATGGCTGTGTGGTCTTGACAGCTCCTCTTGGATCCTCTTCCGTAGACAGCTGGAGATGACCGGGTGACGGCATTTGCTCCATCTCATGCTGCCTCCCCACCTCCCCGTGCTGTCAGGCCAGGGGAGGCAAGACTTAAAACGCCTACAGCTTTGGAGCCGGATGCTGTGGTGGGACCAAATCCCAACCCACTGGTCACCAGTAACGTCACTGTAACCTAGGAATGGCAGCTGCACCCACCCTGGAGGGATGGGAGGGGGCGGAACTTAGCCCCAGCACCTGGTCCTGGCTCAGTCACTGCCACTCACCACTTTCTCCTCTCCCCCAGGGGTCCTGCTGGGTGTTCGGGCTGTGCCCAGTCTCGGCTACACTGAGGACCCTGAGCTGCCGGGTCTGTTCCACCCAGTGCTGGGCACGGCCTGCCAGCCACCATCCCTGCCGGAGGAGGGCTCCCCGGGAGCTGTCTACCTGCTGTCCAAGCAGGGCAAGAGTTGGCACTATCAGCTGTGGGACTACGACCAAGTCCGGGACAGCAACCTGCAGCTGACGGACTTCTCACCCTCGCGGGCCACCGACGGCCGGGTGTACGTGGTGCCCGTGGGTGGGGTGCGGGCTGGCCTCTGTGGCCAGGCCTTGCTCCTCACACCGCAAGACTGCAGTCATTAGCTGGGGCTGCGGTCCCAGGCTGCAGCCTAGCTCGCTCACCATTTCAAGTGTGCCCCCACTTCTCCCTCTGTGTGATGGCCCCAAGGTTTAAGCTGGGTCTCAAGGGCCTCCAGCCCAGGGATCCTTCATCAGGGCCACCCCCACTCCATCTCTCCCAAGCCTGGGCATCGTCCCAACCCCAGGCCTACCCCCTGCAGTATTGAGCACCAGCTGGTCCCTCTAGGGAGAGACTGACGGCAGCCCAGACCCTGCGGCCTGCCTCTCCCATCTGAATGTTGCATCCGTCCGTTTCTTACTAGGGACCGCCTCTGTCGCCTCACAAGACATCTAAGGAGCCTGGGCCCTCTGCTGCTCACAGGACAGGGACACTGAACTGCGCCAGCCTCAGCTCACCCCCCTTAGCCCAGGCTCCTCCTCACACTTGCCACCTACCAGTCATACTGGCCTTTCAGATCCCTGAAGTGTTGTTCAAATCCCCGGAGCATTGAGGCCCACCCCAGCCCTCTGCTGAGGATCATTCCGTAACTTCTCCATCGAGGCTCAGGTATCACTACCTCAGGGAAGAGTCCCCAGCCCCAGTCAAGACACCCCCCGCCCCCGGAACCTCATATCGTCACAGTTTTAAAGCCCATCTGGGAGCAGTTACCTGTGCCAGCCCCTCTACCTGTGTTAGCAGGTCTGACAACCTTGTAAGGGGGGTGCTAGATGGACCCGATTTGACAGATGGCAAGACAGGCCTGGAGAAGTAGAATCGCTGGCCTGAGGTCACATAACTAGCACGTGGCAGGGTCAGGCTGCAAGCTCGGTAGTTAGTCTCTCTCGGCCAGGCTGTCTTCTGGCTCCCTGAACATTATGGTGCTGACCACAAACTTTCCTATCCACCCATATAAACATCTAGTGAGTGTGTGTGATTACTAGCTTCGTGAATACCTGACCTCTCCACTCTGAAGTAGGAGGAACAGGCCTGTCTGGATCACTTCTCTGTCCCTAACCAAGCCTGTGTCATTTAGGGAAACTGTACAGAGCAGTGTTGCCTTTTTTTTTTTTTCTGAGATGGAGTCTCATTCTGTCATCCAGGCTGGAGTGCAGTGGCGTGATCTCGGCTCACTCCACCCTCCACTTCCCAGGTTCAAGTGATTCTCCTGCCTCAGCCCCCAAGTAGCTGGGATTACAGGCATGCACCACCATGCCTCGCCAACTTTTTGTATTTTTAGTAGAGACAGGGCTTTGCCATGTTGGCCAGGCTCGTCTCGAACTCCTGACCTCAACTGATCTACCTGCCTCGGCCTCCCAAAGTGCTGGGATGACAGGTGTAAGCCACTGCGCCAAGCCACAGTGCAATATTTCTAACCAGTGATCAGGGTAAAGAGGATGTGTGTCCACCATCCCAGCCCTGAGCAGCCTGCCTGTGCATCCCCCATCCCAGCCAGGGCTTGGAGCAGCCTTGGTCACTACTGTGTCCCCTGCATTGTAACACATCCAGGCACAAGAATAGCCGCCCAGTGAGCGCCAAGTGAGTGAAACAGCCTGCTTGGAGCCTGCCTCTTTCCCAAACTGCTCATTATCCTGTTACCCCACCCAGCCCAAGTGCCCAAATACACTCCAGATGCAAAATAAAAAGCTCTACAACATTGGCTCTGAATGTCCTGTTTATTGGGGTGTTGTCACTGGCAGGAGGCTCAGCAGAGCCATTCTGCCCCCTGCTTCCCAGTACTACCCCGTGCAGCAACTGCCTCTCGTATAAATAAGTATCAAGATGGTCAGTAGAAAAGGAGAGCGTCTCCTCAGCCCTGGAAGAAAGTGTGGGAGCTTCAGCTTAGGGAAGAGGTAGGTGCCTGTCCACCAGCCCAGCCTCAAGGACCAGGAAGACCTGGCTATGCATGCTGGAGGGGCCTTAGCCACACCCCAGGGTTCTATAGTCTTTGGTTTGAATCAGGCTGCAGGCCAGGGTCGTGGCTGGCAGCCCCACCCACCCTGCACCTCTGACACACACCCAGTGCTTTTCCCTGCAGCGGCCTGGGATGGGATGGGGCCCTCCTGAGTGCAGCAGCTCTTGAGTCGCAGGGGGAGGCCCACTTTCCCAGCCTCTGAACCTCCTTTCTGCCACTGCAGTTTGCTAGGAGAAAGGAGAGAGAAGCCTGGGGGTCAGGCAGGAGGTGGAAGTCCTGAGGCCGGATCTGGTGCACAGAGGAGTGAAGTACTGTCACAGTGCTGGCACAGATGTGGCGGTGGTTTGGGTCTGCAGGAGGTCAGCAGAGTCCTCTGAGGGGCATGGAGGATCCCACAGGGCCACAGCAGGGCAGAATACTGCCCAGTGGTATCAGCCCTCAGGCTGCGTCCAGTCCCATGGGGTTATGCCCTCTGAGTCTCTTGTCGCTCAGCACTGAAACGGCTCCCCGGTGAAGATGTGGACTGTCACTCTCCCTAGATGGTCCAGCAGCGCCTGCATCTGTTCACCAACGATGCCTGACCCGCTGAGGCACCACAGATGAACCCAACCCAGTCCCAGACCTCAGCCAGCTGGCAGCCTGGAGGCTGACAGGGAGGCAGGTTAGAAGTGATTCATGTGTCCCCAGGCACCCTGTCACGCCACACCCTGTGACATCTGAACTGAATGCTCTCAGGGCAGCCCCTCAGAAGCCTTCTCAGCAGATCGGTGGACCCCGTTCTGGCTTTTCTGACTCACTGCCTCATCGTGTTCCTTCCAGGTCCCCATAGCCCCTGCATCATGATGGGGCCAGGTGCTACCTGATCTCCCAGGGCCCTTCAGACCTTTCCACGTTGGTCTCGTGTGGCACATGACACAATCTCTCCCGTCCCTGGAGGCCAGCTCCCCCATGGCCAATCCCAGGCCCCCCATGGCATCTCAGGGCTCCTCCAGCCAGACTGGCACCATCCAATTAAACCTGGCGGTGGCTGAGCAGCTCAGCTCTGTGCCAGCCCCTGCAGGAGGCAGATCATGTTGTCCAGGCCCCAGAGGTAGCCGTCCTCACGGTTGCCCTCAGCCCAGGGCAGCCTGTGGCTGAGCGTCTGGTGGTCGGGCAAGGCCACCGTCTTGCCGAAGTCGATCATCCAGACCTTGGCCAGGCCGGTGTGGTCGTGCACGAAGAGGAGGGAGCTGCCTACCACCTGCCGGGGGAGAGATGGGAGGTTAAGGAAGGAGCAGGCACTGGCCAAGGTCCCTTCCTGACAGGCAGCAGAGCCGGGTGGCTGACAGCATGAACCCTGGAGCCTGGCTACCTGATTCAGATCCTGGCTGTGCCACCTCCTGGCTGTGCAGCCTTGGGCAGGTGTCTTAACCTCTCTGTAGTTCTGCATCCTCATATACAGAGTAAGAATAATACAGTTAGTCCCCAGTCAGTGGTTTCATTTTCTTTGGTTTTAGTTACTCTCAGTCAACTGTGATCCAAAAATATTAAATGGAAAATTCCAGAAATAAACAATGCATAAGTTTTAAGTTGCATACCATCCTAAGTACTGTGATGAAATCTCGTGCCATCCTGCTCCATACCACCTGGGATGCGAATCATCCCTTTGTCCAGCGTGTCCATGCTGTATCTGCCACCCACCCACGAGTCACCTAGGAGCCACCTTGGTTATCAGACTAAGAAAACACAGTCTATAGTTCAGTACTATCCACAGTTCGTGGTATCTGCTGGGGGACTGGAAGAGATCATCTGAGGATAAGGGGTTGACAGTAGGATCATTTACCTCAGAGGTTGCTGGGCATGTTATATGTATGAATTAATCTACATTAAGTGCTTAAGACAGTGCTTGGTACATAGCAAATACACAGCAAATGTTCAGTGTGAGGCATGATCAAAATGCACTGCAGCCTTGACCTCCTGGACTCAAGCCCTCCTCCTGCCTCAGCCTCCTGAGTAGCTGAGGCTACAGGGATGCATCACCATGCCTTTGGTTTTTTTTCTTCTTTTTTTTTTGAGACAGAGCCTCACTCTGTTGCCCAGGCTGGAGTGCAGTGGCACGATCTCAGCTCACTGCAACCTCCACCTGCTGGGTTCAAGTGATTTCCGGCTAATTTTTTTTGTTGTTGTTAAGATGGAGTCTCGCTCTGTCGCCCAGGCTGGAGTGCAGTGGCCAGATCTCAGCTCACTGCAAGCTCCGCCTCCCGGGTTCACGCCATTCTCCTGCCTCAGCCTTCAGAGCAGCTGGGACTATAGGCGCCCGCCACTAAGCCCGGATAATTTTTTGTATGTTTTAGTAGAGACGGGGTTTCACCATGTCAGCCAGGATGGTCTCGATCTCCTGACCTCGTGATCCGCCCGCCTCAGCCTCCCAAAGTGTTGGGATTACAGGCGTGAGCCACTGCTCCTGGCAGCTTTTTTTTTTTTTTTTTTTTTAAATATAAGGCCAGGCAGAGTGGCTCACGCCTGTAATCTCAGCACTTTGGGAGGCTGAGGCGGGCGGATCATGAGGTCAGGAGATTGAGACCATGCTAGTCAACACGGTGAAACCCTGTCTCTACTAAAAATACAAAAATTAGCCGGGCACGGTCGCAGGCACCTGCAGTCCCAGCTACTCGGGAGGCTGAGGCAGGAGAATGGCATGAACCCAGGAGGTGGAGCTTGTAGTGGGCCAAGAGTGCACCACTGCACTCCAGCCTGGGCGACAGAGCGAGACTTCGTCTCAAAAAAAAAAAAACAGAGACAAAGTCTCACTGTATCGCCCAGGCTGGTCTCGAACTCCTGAGCTCAAGCGATCCTCCCGCCTCAACTGCCCCAAAGTGCTGGAATTACAGGCATGAGCCACTGTGCCTGGCCTTTGCTAAGCCACAGTGCAAACTCAAATGCCTTCAGGATCCAGAATGAGTGAGGAGAGCCTGGCAGAGACTAAAGAATTGGATCGTGTGCTGGTCATGGTAGTGCACACTTGTAGTTCCAGTGACAGGTGGTCCAGGCAGGAGGATCACTTGAGCCCAGGAGATTGACACTATCGTGACCTATGATTGCGCCACTGCACTCCTGCCTGGGCAACACAGTGAGACACTGATTCTGACCAAAAAAAATTTTTAAAACTAGAATTGGATAATGCCTTCACTTAGAAAGAGACAGTGACTTCTCAGGCCTCGTGGACTGCTACTGATGACTGGTTTCCTCCTCTGTAGAATCAGGATGATGGTACCAGCCCCTACTCATCAGGTGCCTCCCAGTGGTTGGCAGAGTCAGCTCTCAGTAGATGCTGTTTTTATTTTATTTTATTTATTTATTTTTGAGGCAGAATTTTGCTCGTTGCCCAGGCTGGAGTGCAATGGCATGATCTCGGCTCACCGCAACCTCCACCTCCCCGGTTCAAGAGATTCTCCTGCCTCAGCCTCCCGAGTAGCTGGGATTACAGGCATGTGCCACCACACCTGGCTAATTTTGTATTTTTAGTAGAGACGGAGTTCCCCATGTTAGTCAAGGTGGCCTCGAACTCCCGACCTCAGGTGATCTGCCTGCCTTGGCTTCCCAAAGTGCTGGGATTACAGGCATGAGCCCCTGCACCCAGCATTTTTTTTTTTTTTAAATAGAGACAGGGTCTTGCTATGTTGCCCAGGCTGGTCTTGGCACTCCTGGGCTCCAGCAATCCTCCCACTTCAGCCTCCCAAAGTGCTGGTATTACAGGTGTGGGCCACCACAGCCAGCCCCTTTTTATATCTTTTGACCTGTAACTCATCAATGGTTTCCCCTCCATGTACCTGGACCCCGACACCCCTATCTCCACCCACGGCAGCAAGGGCTCGCACCTCGTGGGTCTTGAAGAAGGGGGAGATCTCCAGAGCTTCACGAAGTTCTTCTAGGCGTGCCACGTACTTTTGCTGTGTGACAGGGAGGGTTCCTCGGTTAGCATCGGGACTTTGTGGGGCCTTGACCACCTTGAGCTCTGACCTCACCCCATTCCCCCAAAGGAGTAGACAGGCTCTAGCCAGGATGGAATGCGGGAGCCATGGGGAAGACAGGGCGGAGAGTGAAGGCTTGGATTCATCAAGGTGGCATGGAGAAAAGTGCTGGATTCCATGAATCTCCACTCCCATCCAGAGGCGGAGTCTGTCTCCCGACCCCCTTCCATGCAGGCTGGGTCACATGACTTGCTGAACGGCAGAAATGATGGTGGCCATTCTGAGCCCAGGCAACAAGAGCCCTTGCATTTTCACTTGTTCTCTTGGCCCCCTGCCTCCACTGTGAGAACAAGCCCAGGCCATCCTGCTATCAAGAGACATGCGGCCAAGTCATGAGCCAACCGGCAGAGCTGGGACTAGGGCCACCCTGGACCAGCCAGCCTTGCCAAGCCACCAGCTGACCTCAGACAGAGCAAAGCCAGCCAGTATCAGTCCAGCCCCACCCAAAGCAGAAGACCACTGACTTTGGAGCAAGAATAAATAGAGGCTGTCTTAAGCTGCTACTTTCTGGGACACAGGTGGCCCACTCACCAGGATGATGTGGTCTCCATCCACGAAGTCCTCCAGCACCTTTGTCACCTGCTCCAGTGCCTGTGTCTTCTTGAAGTTGGTGTTGCAGGTCCCATCTGCCTTCTGTAGGGCAGGGTGTGGAGGGGCAGGGTCATGGCCTTTTCCTTCCCACGCCCAATACCCAGCAACCTCAAATACCTCCCAGGAGGCCAGGCACAGTGGCCAAGACCAGCCTGGGCAACAAAGCAAGACCCCATCTCTATTAAAAAAAAAAAAAAAAAAAAGCCTGGCGTGGTAGTGTGCACCTGTAGTCCCAGGTTTGGGATCATGCCTGTAATCCTAGCGCTTTGGGAGGCCAAGGCAGGAGGATCACCTGAGGTCAGGAGTTCATGACCAGCCTGGCCAACATGGTGAAACCCCGTCTCTACAAAAAAAACAAAAAATTAGCCAAGTGTGGTGGCAGGCACCTGTAATCCCAGGTAGTTGGGAGGCTGAGACAGGAAAATCACTTGAACCCAGGAGGCAGAGGTTGCAGTGAGCAGAGACTGCACCACTACATTCGAGCCTGGGCAACAGAATAAGACTCCGTCTCAAAAAAGGCAACTTTCCAGGGCCACCCACCTGCCTGCACGCTTGCTGCCAGAGGAGGAAGCCAGCCTACCTGCCCAGCCCCAGCTCGACCCAGCCCCAGGTCACATGCCTGAGCCCAGTCCTTCCACACCCTTCCAACCTTGAACCTCCTGGTTGAACCCGTCTAGCAAAGTGGGCTTTGGAGCAGGGTGGAGCTGCCTTTGAATCGTGACTCTGCTCTTTTTTTTTTTTTTTTTTTTTGAGATGGAGTCTTACTCTGTCACCCAGGCTGGAGTGCAGTGGTGAAATCTCGGCTCACTGCAAGCTCTGCCTCCCGGGTTCACGCCATTCTCCTGTCTCAGCCTCCTGAGTAGCTGGGACCACAGGTGCCTGCCACCACACCCAGCTAATTTTTTTGTATTTTTAGTAGAGGCAGGTCTCATCTCCTGACCTCGTGATTCGCCTGCCTCAGCCTTCCAAAGTGCTGGGATTATAGGCATGAGCCATTGCGCCCGGCCGTGACTCTGCTCTTTTCTAGCTGGAGGGTCTTAAGTAATTTCACCTGCCTCAGCCTCAGTTTCCTCATCTGGAAAATGGGAATTGTGTTGGTGTCTACTTGCTAAGGCTGGTGTAACGATTAGAGGAGAGAGGTGTGTAGGATGCACAGCACAGTGCCTGGCACATAGTTATTTGAGACTAATGAGACTAATGTTATCTGTTATGTTTGAGTGGGACTCAGAGAACCCACCTAAGTCATCTGCCACACTGTGCCAGGTGCTATGTGGGCACTTGGCAATAGGGGGTAACAGGACAGACACAGTCAGATAAGGGGGGAGACACTGATTAAGATGATCAGAAAGGAAGAAAATAATAATGAAAGAGTATAAGGAGCTATGAGGAGGTGAAGGGGGGACCCTGATCTAGTAGAATAGAAATCAGGGAGGGCTTCCCTGAGGAAGTAAAATTTGAAAGGAGACAGAAAAATGACTGAGAATCAACCAGACCAGGAGACACAGGCAGAAGAGACCAGGGTGTGGTGGCATGTACCTGTGTCCCAGCTACTCAGGAGGCTGAGGTGGGAGGATTGCTTGAGTTTAGGAGATTGAGGCTGCAGTGAGCTGTGATCACGCCACTGTACTCCAGCCTGGGTGATGACAGAATGAGACCCTGTCTCAAAAATAAAATAAAATAAAATAAAATAGAGGGAAGAGCATTCCTGGTAAAGGGGTGCAGAGGTCTTGTGGCAGGAAAAAGCAAGCCTATTTCAAGTAAATGAAAGTGCTTCACTGTGCCTGAAGGTACACGAAAAGAGAGGAATGAGAGGCTGGGTGTGGTGGCTCACGCCTATAATCCCGGCACTTTGGGAGGCTAAGGCAGGCAGATCACTTGAGGCCAGGAGTTCAAGATCAGCCTGGTCAACATAGTGAAACCCCGTCTCTCTTACAAATACAAACAATAGGCCGGGTGCAGTGGTTCACGCCTGTAATCTCAGCCCTTTGGGAGGCCGAGGCGGGCGGATCACAAGGTTAGGAGTTCAAGACCAGCCTGGCCAATATGGTCAAACCCTGTCTCTACTAAAAATACAAAAATTAGCCAGGAGCAGTGGCGCACACCTGTAATCCCAGCTACTTGGGAGGCTGAGGCAGAAGAATCGTTTGAACCCGGGAGGTGGAGGTTTGCAGTGAGCTAAGATCATACCACTGCACTCTAGCCTGGGTGACAGAGCGAGACTCTGTCCCAAAAAACAAAAACAAAAACAAAAACAAAATTAGCCAGGCATGGTAGTGCATGCCAGTAATCACATTGAGTCAGGAAGCTGAGGTGGGAGAATCGCTTGAACCCAAGAGGTGGAGGTGAGTTGAGATTGTGCCATGGCATTTTAGCCTGGGTGAAAGATGAGACTCTTTCTCAAAAAAAAAAAAAAAAAAAGAATGAGAGAAAGAGACGAGGCTAGATCCTAGAGGGCCCTACAGGCTATGGAACTTTGCTTCAAGGTACTAGGGAGCCACAGAAGGGTTCTGAACAGGAGACTGGCATGGTTGGATCTGCAACAGGCATTCTCATATACTGCTGGTGGGATGTGGGGTGGCATAACACCAATAGCGGAAGTTTGGTCATCTCTAGCAAATTACCCATGCCTTTAATCTTTGACCCAGGAGTCCAGCTTCTGGAAATCTACAGCTCAATCTGCATACTTGCAAAATGTCTTATGTACAAAGTGATTCTTTGAGGCCTGCTAATGGCAAAAAATGGAAACAACCCAGGTGTCTGTCTATAGGGGACCAGGCACAGTCACAAAAACAGTGCAGGCCAGGCGCGGTGGCTCACGCCTGTAATCCCAGCACTTTGGGAGGCCGACGCGGGTGGATCACGAGGTCAGGAGATAGAGACCATCCTGGCTAACACGGTGAAACCCCGTCTCTACTAAAAATACAAAAATTAGCCAGGAGCAGTGGCGCACACCTGTAATCCCAGCTACTTGGGAGGCTGAGGCAGGAGAATGGTGTGAACCTGGGAGGCAGAGCTTGCAGTGAGCTGAGATTGCGCCACTGCACTCTGGCCTGGGCGACAGAGCGAGACTCCGACTCAAAAAAAAAAAAAAACCAGTGTTACATAGCTGTGGGGGGAAGAAAAACCGTAAGAAAGAGGAGGCTTTCTATGGAATGATCTGGAAAACTCTCCAGGATGTTACTATTAAGTGAAAATAGCCAAGTACCAGTCAGTATGCGTACCGAGGAACATTTTGGATCTACAACTCTGTTTACTCACACTAACAGGAAGAAATACAAGAAACTGATAAAGTGGTTCCCCACGAGCAGGTAGAGGGGTAGAGGGACAGAATGGGAAGGACAGCAGCAGAGTTGGGAGAGAAATTCCTCCACATTTACCTTTTTATAATATTATTTTGACTTTTGAACTGTGTGACTAGCTATTCAAACCATTTTTTTTTTTCTTCTAGAAACAGAGGCTCCCTATGTTGGCCAGCTTAGTCCTGAACTACTCCCAGCCTCAAGCAATCCTCCTGCCTTGGTCTCCCAAAGTGCTGGGATTACAGGCAGGAGCCACCATGCCTGGCCTATTCAAACAATTATATTTAATTTGCCAAAGAAAAAGGAATGCAAGAAAGAAAAAGAGAAACCTTCTCCATAACTGGGGGAAAGGGATGCCTCCAGCTCTTGTGCTGCAGGGAGACCAGGGCTGGGACGCCCAGGGAGATCGAGGCAGGAGAAGATGGGGCTGGACTAGGACATGACCATGGAGAAGGAGAGGAGGAAAAGATGGACTCAGGAGATGCTCAGGCAGATGGATAAACAGAACATGGGCTCTGATGCGTGTAGGGGTAAGGAAGAGGCTGCCTTTCATCCCCCACCATCTCCTGCACTCTCTCCCAGCTTTGCTCAAGAAGCCCTGCCTGGGATCTGGCTATAGGCCTTCCCAGGACAGGACAGGCGGTTCCTGGTCCTCACCTTGATGCCCTCGATCCGGAAGCCCAGGGTGGAGGTGGAGCTCATGGTTTCCCTCCACTGCATGTAGCGGGGCTTGGTGACCGCACCCTGGGCATGCTCCTCAGGGGTAGGGGCCCCAGGGTCCACAGCCACCATCTTCTCATACATGTCCTTCCGGGGACGGGGACGTTCCCGTGCCTTCACTAGCTCCTCTTCCAGGTAGGTCCTGAGCACACAGAGGATGTGACAAAGGAAATTACGTAGAACAAACTGGAGGGCTTACCCTTCCTGATAATAAGACACAAAGCCACAGTGAGACACAAGAATGGGCAAATCAAAACACGGAATGCAACAGAGTCCACAGAGACACACACGTAGAGTTGTGCAGTTTATGACAAGGCACTGCAATTCAGTGGGGAAAGGGAAGTCTTTTCAATAAACAGTGCTGGGTCAACAGGATATCCATATGGGAAAAAGTGAACCTGATCCCTACCTCCCACACACACAAATATTAATTCTAGCTGGAATGTAGGTCTAAATGTGATAGCTAAAACAATAAAGCTTGTAGAAGAAAACATAATATTTGCATGATCTTGGAATAGGAAAAGATTTCTTAAACACAATGAAAAAAACCAACAAACTGGACTAAATTAAAGGTAGGGCCAGGTGCGGTGGTTCACACTTATAATCCCAACACTTTGGGAGGCCAAGGCAGGAGGTTCATTTGAGCCCAGAAAGTCAAGATCAGCCTGGGCAACACAGCTAGACCCTGTGTGGTGTTAGTTACAATGTATATTGGTTTCCGTCCATGGTTCCTGGCTTGTAACTCCCATAGTCCTTGTTACAATCTTTTTTTTTTTTTGAGCCCAGCTACAGTGCAATGGCGATGATCTCGGTTCACTGCAACCTCCGCCTCCCAGGTTCAAGTGATTCTCCTGCCTCAGCCTCCCGAGTAGCTTGGACTACAGGTGCCCGCCACCACACCCAGGTAATTTTATTTTTAGTAGAGATGGGATTTCACAATGTTGGCCAGGCTGGTCTCGAACTCCCGACCTCGTGATCCACCTGCCTCAGTCTTTCATTTACAAGTGTGAGCCTCTGCACCCAGGCTTTTTTTTTTGAGACAGAGTCTTGCTCTGTCACCTAGGCTGGAGTACAGTGGCGTGAACTTGGCTCACTGCTACTTCCACCTCCTGGGTTCAAGTGATCCTCCCACCTCAGCCTCCCCAAGTAGCTGGGATTATAAGAGTGCACCACTACACCTGACAAATTTTTGTATTTTTTTAGTAGAGTCAGGGTTTCACCATGTTGTCCAGGCTTGAGTGCAGTGGCCGGATCTCAGCTCACTGCAAGCTCCGCCTCCCGGGTTCCTGCCATTCTCCTGCCTCAGCCTCCCGAGTAGCTGGGACTACAGGCGCCCGCCACCTCGCCCGGCTAGTTTTTTTTGTATTTTTTAGTAGAGACGGGGTTTCACCGTGATAGCCAGGATGGTCTCGATCTCCAGACCTCGTGATCCGCCCGTCTCGGCCTCCCAAAGTGCTGGGATTACAGGCTTGAGCCACTGCGCCCCGCCACAGTCTTTTGTTATAATTTTGGGTGTGTTAGATCTCAGGAGCTGGCCTCAAGAAACCGGAATCTCTCTGCCCTATTCCTGCCCTCCTTTCACCTGCCCCAAGGCAGGACTCTAATCTTTCCCCATCTTCCTGACTGTGGGTCTTAGGACCCTCCCCAGAGAGGATCCCACCCTATACCCTGGGGGAAGGAATGCTGGTGTCATAAAGCCTCCATAAAAACCCAAGGATTGGGCAGGGCATGGTGGCTCACAGTAATCCCAGCACTTTGGGAGGCCAAGGTGGGTGGATCACGAGGTCAGGAAGTCGATACTATCCTGGCTACAAGGTGAAACCCCATCTCTACTAAAAACACAAAAAAATGGTGGCGGGCACCTGTAGTCCTAGCTACTCGGGAGGCTGAGGCAGGAGAATGGCGGGAACCCAGGGGGCGGAGCTTGCAGTGAGCGGAGCTTGCGCCACTGCACTCCAGCCTGGGCAATAGAGCGAGACTCCATCTCAAAAAAAAAAAAAAAAAACCTCCACACCCCTTTCCCCATATCTTGCTCTACACATCTCTTCATCTTTTGCAGTATCCTTTGTAGCAGCACCCAACCTTTTTGGCACCAGGGACTGGTTTTGTAGAAGACAATTTTTCCCATAGACTGTGAGGGGGATGGTTTCTGGATGAAACTGTTCTACCTCAGCTCATCGAGCATCAGTTAGATTCTCACAGGAGCATACAATCTAGATCCCTTGCAGACACAGTTCACAACAGGGTTAGCACTCCAGAGAATCTCCTGCCACAGCTGGTCTGACAGGAGGTGGAGTTCAGGCGGTAATGCTCACTGGCCTCCTACGGTGGGGCGGTGGGGCCCTGTTCCTAAGAGGTCATGGACAGGGACTGGGCCGCGGCCTAGGGGTTGGGGACCCCTGCATTATATTAAACCAGTAAAGGTAAGTAAGTGTTCCCCTGAGTTCTTTGAGCCACTCCAGCAAATTATTTGAACCCAAAGAGGAGGACATGGGAACTCCAACTTGGAGCCAATCAGTCAGAAGTTCTGAAGGCCTGGACTTATGACTGGTGTCTACAGCTGGGGGGCAGTCTTGGGGACTGAGTCCCCAACTTGTGGAATCTGACACTCTTTCCAGGTAGATGGTGTTGGAATTGAATTGGAGGACATCCAGCTGGTGTCTGTTGCTTGGTGAGTGGGGTTAAAAAACCGACACATTTGGTCACAGAAGCCTTCTGTGCTGTCATTGTTGTGGCAGTGGTGTGAGAACGGAAAAGCAGGGTTTCAGAGCTTTTCTAAACAGCCTGTCTCTACAAAAAGTTGAAAATTAGGCCGGGCGCGGTGGCTCACGCCTGTAATCCCAGCTCTCAGGGAGGCAGAGGCAGGAGGATAGCTTGAGCCCAGGAGTTCGAGACCTGCCTGGGTAACATAGCGAGACCCCGTTCTCCACAAAAAGGAAAAAAAAAAAAAAAAAGACAAAAAAAAAAGTTGAAAATTAGCTAAGTGTGACAGTATGCACCTATAGTCCCAGCTACTCAGGGGGCAGAAGGAGGATCACTTGAGTTCAGGAGTTCAAGACCGTCCTGGACAGTACCAGGAGACCATGTCTCTATAAAAAATAAAATATAGTCAAACTTGGTGGGACATACCTATAGTCCCAGCTACTCTGGAGGCTGAGAGGACTGCCTGAGCCCAGGAGTTCAAGGCTACAGCGAGCTATGAGCATGCTACTGTACTTCAGCTGGGGCAACAGAGCGAGACTCTGTCTCAAAAAATAATAATAATACAAATACTATTTTGTTTATCAAAATATGTTTATCAAAAGACTACTAAAAGAGTGAAATGGGAGATTTGAAGACTGTGCGTGTATCTGTGCGTGTGTGTATCTGTGTGTGTGTGTATATATAGCCTCCAAGAGCGTTGGGATTATAGGTGAGAGCCACTGAGCCCAGCTTGAGAAAGCAATTAGAGTTCACTTCTTGCAGACCAGACTCAGTGGCTCATGCCTATAATCCCAGCACTCTGGGAGGCCGAGGTGGGTGGATCATCTGAAGTCAGGAACTCCAGACCAGCCTGGCCAACACGGTGAAACTCCATCTCTACTAATAATACAAAAATTAGCCAGATGTGGTGGCGGGCGCCTGGAATCCCAGCTACTTGGGGGATTTACACGGGTGAATCACTTGAACCCAGGAGGTGAAGATTGCAGTGACATCATGTCACTGCACTCCAGCCTGGGCGACAGAGTAAGACTCTGTCTCAAAGAGAAAAAAAAAAAAAGGGATCCTATTCCAAACCCATTGGAATGGTTTAAGTTAATAAAACAGACAGTACCAAGCACCAGTGAGAATCTGGGATGGCTGTAACACTCACACATGGTGGTGGGAAGGTACACTGGTACAACCACTTTGAAAATGAACTTGGCACTGTTTTCTTTCTTTCTTTCTTTCTTTTTTTTGAGACAGGGTTTCACTCTTGTTGCCCAGGCTGGAGTGCAATGGCTCGATCTCAGCTCACTGCAACCTTCACCTCCCAGGTTCAAGGAATTCTCCTGCCTCAGCCTCCTGAGTAGCTGGCATTACAGGCATGCGCCACCACACTTGGCTAATTTTTTTTGTATTTTTAGTAGAGAGACAGGGTTTCACCATGTTGGCCAGGCTGGTTTGGAACTCCGGACCTCAGGTGATCCACCCGCCTCAGCCTCCGAAAGTGCTGGGATTAAAGGTGTGAGCCACCACGCCTGGCCAATATTTTCAATAACGCCCACCCCCTGCCCTCCACCCCTGCGTCAGGGCTGCCCCAGCCCCACCTGCTGCCCATCTTGCAGTCCATAATGGAGGGGCCCTCGAAGTCAGCCAGGAGGTCTTCCATCTGGTTGAAGGTCTGGCCATCCTGCAGCACCATGCCATAGTAGGCAGGCACGAAAGGTCGCAGCGGGTCTTTCATCAGCTGCTCCAGGCTGCGCTGCTCACACTGACAGAAACGTTTCAGAATCCGACCATCCTCTCCTGCCTGGAAGTTCCCTAAAGATGGTAGAATAAATGAGAGGATCAGGAACTGGATCAGGAAGAGAACCTCCCCGCAGCTCCCTGTTCAGGTCAGATCCTGGCCACCATTATCTTGCCCGACCCTCCTGCAATGCTCTCTCTCCCTGCAACTTTTTTTTTTTTTTAATGATTTTAAGATTTTATTTTATTTTTGAGATGGAGTCTTGCTCTGTTGCCCAGGCTGCAGTGCAGTGGTGTGATCTTGGCTCACTGCAAGCTCCGCCTCCCGGGTTTACTACATTTTCCTGCCTCAGCCTCCCAAGTAGCTGAGACTACAGGCGCCTGCCACCACACCCGGCTAATTTTTTTTGTATTTTTAGTAGAGACGGGGTTTCACCATGTTAGCCAGGATGGTCTCGATCTTCTGACCTCGTGATCAACCCGCCTCGGCCTCCCAAAGTGCTGGGATTACAGGCGGGGGCCACTGCACCTGGCCGATTTTATTCTATTTTATTGAAATGGAGTCCCACTCTGTTGCCCAGGCTGGAGTGCAGTGGTGCGATCTCAGCTCACTGCAACCTCCGTCTCCCGGGTTCAAGCAATTCTCTGGCCTCAGCCCCCCAAATAGCTGGGATTACAGGCGCACACCACCAAGCCCACCTAATTTTTGTATTTTTAATAGAGATGGGGTTTCACCTTGCTGGTCAGGCTGGTCTTGAACTCCTGACCTCAGGTGATCCACCCGCCTCGGCCTCCCAAAGTGCTGGGATTACAGGCATGAGCCACTGTGCCCGGCCTGCAACTCTTAAAAGTCTTGGCCAGGGGCCGGTAAGGAAAGGGTCAATTTTTGTTCTCTGTTGCTTAAACCAAGTCCTGTTCACAGCACAGGATGTCCTCATGTGTTTTGTAATTTTTGATTGTACACATGTGATCATCTGTGGGAATCCTGTGAGATCTAAGTCCAGATCATCACTCTCCAGAGTGGATTTGCTTTTGCTACTGCCTGGAGTCCCATGGTGCTAACAACCAGGGCCTATTTAAGTTAATTTATAGATCAAGCATTTCCTGGACAATTCAGAGAGTATAGATTATAATAATTCTAACTTCTTGTGGCAAGCTGTATTTTCAGATTATATTTTCTTTTTCTTTTTTTATTTGAGAGGATCTTACTCTGTCACCCAGGCTGAAATGCAGTGGTGCAATCATAGCTCACTGAAGCCTCAAGCTCCTAGACTCAGGTGATCCTCCCACCTTTACCTCCAGAGTAGCTGGGAGTACAGATGTGCACCCCCAGCACACCCAGCTAATTTTTTTTTTTTTTTAATTGTAATGTCGGGTGGGGGGAGTGTTGCTATGTTGCCCAGGCTGGTCTCAAATTCCTGGCCTCAAATGATCCTCCCATCTCAGCCTCCCAAAATGCTGTGATTATGTCCAGCCTGGATTACATTTTCCAAAGTTGGCTGTAACAGTATCTCCTGATCTCAGTGGGTCTCAGACCCACTCCTGATCCTGCTCTTCTAGGATTTTCCCATCAAGGAGTATACTCTTTTTTTTTTTTTTTTTGAGACAGAGTCTCGCTCTGTCGCCCAGGCTAGAGTGCAGTGGCCGGATCTCAGCTCACTGCAAGCTCTGCCTCCCGGGTTCACGCCATTCTCCTGCCTCAGCCTCCCGAGTAGCTGGGACTACAGGCGCTCGCCCCCTCGCCCGGCTAGTTTTTTTTTTTGTATTTTTTAGTAGAGACGGGGTTTCACCGTGTTAGCCAGGATGGTCTCGATCTCCTGACCTCGTGATCCGCCCGTCTCGGCCTCCCAAAGTGCTGGGATTACAGGCTTGAGCCACCGCGCCCGGCCGAGTATACTCTTAATTGCTCTCCCAAACTGGGTGCAGTGGCTCATGCCTATAATCCCAACACTCTGGGAGGTTGAAGTGGGAGGATCCTCTGAGGCCAGGAGTTCAAATCTACAATGAGCTATGATTGCAACACTGCACCCCAGCCTGGGCAACAGTGAGATCCTATCTCAAAATTAAATGAATAAATAAAAAATATATTGCTCTCCCATTAAATATGGGAGGGTTTATGGCAGAAGTGCTACTGTATGACTTTTGTTGGCAGAGACACTTACCTTCAAGGCAGTCCTGAGCTGTCTTGTTAGAAATCTGAGTACTCTGAGGCCACCATACTGTGAGGAAGCTCAAGTAGCTACATGGCGAAGCCACGTATAGGCTTCCCAGGTGGCAGCTTCATCTGAGATCCCAGCCCATAGCCAGCATCAATCGCCAGGCATGTAAGTGAATGAACCTCTCAAAAGTTTTCAGCTTGTAGCCTCCAGGAGTCTGTAGCAGAGTTCCCAGATATTGTGGAGCATTGAAAAGCCATCCCTGCCATCCTGTCTGAATTGCTGACCCAAAACTTGTGAGGTTAATAAAATGGTTGTTTTATTCTACTAAGTATTTTTTTTTTTAACCATCACTAAGTTTTGGGGTTTTTGGGTTTTGTTTTTTATTTATTTTATTTTATTTATTTTTTGTTTTTTGAGACAGAGCCTTGCTCTGTCACCCAGGCTGGAGTGCAGTGGCGCTATCTCCACTCACTGCAAGCTCCGCCTCCTGGGTTCATGCCATTCTCCTGCCTCAGCCTCCCGAGTAGCTGGGACTACAGGCACCCACCATCACACCTGGCTAATTTTTTGTATTTTTAGTAGAGATGGGGTTTCACTGTGTTAGCCAAGATGGTCTCAATCTCCTGACCTCGTGATCCACCCGCCTCGGCCTCCCAAAGTACTGGGATTACAGGCATGAGCCACCGTGCCCAGCCAGTCTTTTTTTTTTAATTGAAACGGGGTCTCACTATATTGCCCAGGTTGGTCTTGAACTCCTGGGCTCAAGCGATCCTCCTGTCTTGGCCTGCCAAAGTGCTGGGATTACAGACGTAAGCCAGCGTGCCTGGCCTCAATCTTTATATACATTTTGATTTTAACTCTTCAGTTAACCCTGCAAGGGATGTAACATCATCTCCACATTAACAGATGGGGCAGCTGAGGCCCAGTAAAGCAAAGTAACTTGCCCAAAGTCACCCATGAATGCAGAGCAGAACTAGGGTTTGAGCCCAGGCCCATCTGTCCCCACAGTTGAAGCTCCCTCTCTCCACCAGAATAACAGGGAATAGCCCTCTGCCCTGACATACAAAGGGCCAGGCTCAGGCCTAAGCACTGCCCATAACAGTCCCATAAGGCAGGGACTGTCACCAAGCCCATCATTAGGTGGGGGAACTAAACTGCAGAGAACATCCCGTTCCCTGGCCCAGGAGACTCTGCCCAGCCCCGTCCACCACCGCCCCACTCACCAGCATGTCCGGAAAGTTGGACCCAAGGGTAGTGTTTTCGGAAGGAGACCACGAAGGGCGAATACTTCAGAACTGTCTTCAGCTTCTTCCAGGGTTTGCTCTGTAGGGGGCAGAGCAGGGCGGGGTCAGGGCCAAGGCCAGGGAAGGCAGGGGCTAGGGGTGTTGCCATGAGCAGGAACGAAGGGGGACCCGCAGTCTTTCCAGGGCTGGAGGCTTCCTGGGATCACTGTTCCCAGGCTTGTTGGGGTAAGTGAGGCCCACTTAGTTCATCTATCACAAGATCGCCCAAAGTCCTCAGCAAAATACGGGAAATTCTTTGTCCATTTCTCCCTCTCTGTCATCACTTTCTTTGTCACTATGTCTCTCTGTCTTTCTCTTACGAGTAAGAATAGACTAGGTTTTGTTGTGATAACGACCAACCCCTATATCTTCCACTGCACATACACAGTCCCAAATCTTTTTTTTTTTTAATTGAGACAGGGTCTCGCTCTGTCACCTAGTCTGGAGTATAGTGATGCGATCTTGGCTAACGGCAACCTCTGCCTCCCAGGCTCAAGTGATCCTCCTGCCTCACCCTCCCGGGTAGCTGGGACTACAGGTGCATGCCACCACACCTGGCTAATTTTTGTACTTTTAGTATTCACCATGTTGCCCAAGCTACTCTCAAACTCCTGACCTCAAGCAATCTGCCTGCCTCAGTCTCCCAAAGTGTTGGGGTTACAGGTGTGAGCCATTATGTCGGGCCCAGTCCCAAATCTTGAAAGCCCCATCTCTCTCCCTAAACCAGGTCAGATCTTCTGGGGAAAACGGTAGACGCAGGAGTTGATAGATGGAGATGGACCACAGAGAGAGACAGAAACAGAGACAAATGACACAGTGATGACAGACAGAGAGACATGGACAGCGACAGAGACTGTGGCAGTCGTGGGAGACGTTTACCACATAGCTCCAGCTACTAGTCCAGGGACTCCCCTGCCCTCCTGAACTGGGGATTGTTGTGTTTTTTTGTTTTATTTTATTTTATTTTATTTTTTTATTTATTTATTTTTTTTTTTTTGAGACGGAGTCTCGCTCTGTCACCCAAGCTGGAGTGCAGTGGCGCGATCCTGGCTCACTGCAAGCTCCGCCTCCTGGGTTCACGCCATTCTCCTGCCTCAGCCTCCCGAGTAGCTGGAACTACATGCGCCCGCCACCGCGCCCGGCTCGTTTTTTGTATTTTTAGTAGAGACGGGGTTTCACCATGGTCTCGATCTCCTGACCTTGTGATCCGCCCGCCTCGGCCTCCCAAAGTGCTGGGATTACAGGCGTGAGCCACCGCGCCCGGCCGTTGTTTTATTTTGTTTTCATTTTTAGAGACTGGGTGTCACTCTGTCACCCAGACTGCAGTATAATGGCGCCATCACAGCTCACTGTAATCCTCCCATCCCAGCCTCCTGAGTAGCCAGGACTACAGGCATGTACCACCAGGCCCGTCTATTTTACGACATCTTGCTATGTTGCCCAGGCTGGTCTTGATCTCCTGGCCTCATGCAATCCTCCTATCTTGGTCTCCAAAGTGCAGGGATCATAGGTGTGAGCCACCACACCTGGCCTTGCTTTGGCCAATAAACTGTGAGCAGAAGTGTCACTTTTGGGTAGGAGCCTTAAGAACCAGTTTATGACTCTCCATGTTTGTTCCCCTGTGGGCGAGGGAGTAAGAAGAGAAATGGAAGCTCCCTCAGCCTGGGCCCCTGAGTGAAGACAGCATGAAGCAGAGCCCCTGACCCACCACTGACCTGTGACCAATGTGTAATATAAACCAAAATAATCCTTTGCTGTTCTAAGTCACTAAGATTTGGGGGCTGTTTGTTACTACAGAAAATCCTGACCTACCCTGACTAATGCAGAAACAGGTATAGAATTGCTAAAAGAGAAAGAAATAGGCCTGGTGTGGTGGCTCATGCCTGTAATCCCAGCACTTTGGGAGGCTGAGGCAGGCAGATCACCTGAGGTCAGGAGTTTGAGACCTGCCTGGCCAACATGGTGAAACCCCATCTCTACTAAAAACACAAAAATTAGCTGGGTGTGGTGGTGCACACCTGTAGTCCCAGCTACTCGGGAGGCTGAGGCACCAGAGTTGTTTGAACCCGGGAGGCGGAGGTTGCGGTGAGCCAAGAACATACCACTGCACTCCAGCCTGGGCAACAGAGCAAGACTGTCTCAAAAACAAAGAAACAAACAAACAAACAAAGAAAAACAAATATAGGAAGACTAAAAGAGAAAGATACAAAGTAATGATAAAAAGAAAAAGATGAATAGAAGTAGAGAAAGAAAGAGACAGAGAACAAAGGAAACCACAGAAGCAGTGGGTACGGTGACTTACGCCTGTAAATCTCAACACTGGGAAACCAAGGTGGGAGGATCACTGAGCCCAGGAGATTGAGGCCAGCCTGGGCAACATAGTAAGACCCCGTCTCTGCAAAATATTTAAAAATTAGCCAGGCGTGGTGGCGTGCACCTGTAGTCCCAACTACTTGGGAGGCTGAGGCGGGAGGATCACTTGAGCCCAGGAGGGCGAGGCTGCAGTGAGCAGTGATTGTGCCACTGCACTCCAACCTGGGTGACAGAGCGAGACCCTGACTCAAAAAAATATGAAAGAAAGAAAACTAGAGAAGCAAACAGAAAACAGGGATTTTGTTGTATCATGCTGACTAAATTATGAGCTTTTTTTTTTATTTTATTTTTTGAGACGGAGTTTCGCTCTGTTGCCCGGGCTGGAGTGCAGGGGCGCGATCTCCGCTCACTGCAAGCTCTGCCACCTCCTGGGTTCATGCCATTCTCCTGCCTCAGCTTCCCAAGAAGCTGGGACTACAGACGCCTGCCACCACACCCGGCTAATTTTTTTTTGTATTTTTAGTATAGACGGGGTTTCACCATGTTTGCCAGGATGGTCTCAATCTCCTGACCTTGTGATCTGCCCGCCTCAGCCTCCCAAAGTGCTGGGATTACAGGCGTGAGCCACCGCGCCCGGCCACTATGAGCTTTTTGAGACGGGGTAGTGTCTGATTCATGAACATATATACACACACAGGAATACCTTCTGCACCCCACAAGCACGTCAAGTCCCTTAGCAAGTACTGGGAGAGTAGGTCACCCCCAGAGAAGGAAGTTGTATGGCTCATCCCCCTCCTACCCCAAGGTCAGGGGCGTGTTCATCTCTCCAGCCCCCTCAGAGCCCAGCCACCTCGCAGACATCTCTGGGACAGTGGGAAGCTTAAGAGGGAGTCAGGGTGTTGGACTTCAGGGTTCAGGAAGGGCTAGTCCCTCCCCAATCCAGCTGCCAGCCCTGGGGAAAAGATGATTAATAAAGGTTCCTGTTTACTAAGTACCTGGAACATTCCAGGCACAATGACAAAGACTTAGTGTGCCACAACCTACTTAATTTCTAAAAACACAACCCCAGGGAGATTATGGTCTCAGTGTTACAGAGGAGGAAACAGAGGGTCTGAGAGGTGAAGCCACTTACCTAGCATCACCCCACACAGCGCTGGGGTTCTAGCTCTGGTTGGATCCCAGTGCCTTGGAGCTTATCCCCTATACTCTTGCTGCACTACAAGCTCATGAGGGCAGAGACTGGGGTTGTCATGGTTATGATCATGTCCCCAGCACATGGCCTGGCACACAAAAGATGCTCCAGAAACATTCTCTGATGCTTGGACTGAAGGATGTTAGTCGAGACTTTTTTAATCGTAATTTTTTTTTTTTTTTTTTGGAGACAGGATCTTACTCTGTTGCCCAGGCTGGAGTGCAGAGGTGTGATCGTGGCTCACTGCAACCTCTGCCTCCCAGGCTCAAGTGATCCTCCTGCTTTAGCCTCCCGACTAGCTGGAAAACAGGCATATACCACCACACCTGGCTAATTCTTTTTTCCTTTTAGTAGAGACAAGGTCTCACTATGTTGCCCAGGGTGGTCTCAAATTTCTGGGCTCAAGCAATCTTCCCGCCTCAGCCTCCCCAAGTGCTGGGATTATAGGCATGAGCCTATAATCTACTCAAAACACAGAAATGAGCCAGGCGTGGTGGCGGGCGCCTGGTGTCTCAGCTACTCAGGAGGCTGAGGCAGGAGAATCACTTGAACCCAGGAAGCAAAGGCTGCAGTGAACCTGGCCCCTTAGTCATAAATTTAATATCTTCTCTCTCTGTTTTATGCTAGCTCTGGGCCAGGCACAGTGGCTCATGCTTGTAATCCCAGCACTTTGGGAGGCTGAAGTGAGCGGATCACCTCAGGTCAGGAGCTCAGAACCAGCCTGGCCAACATAGTGAAAACCTGTCTCTACTAAAAATACAAAAATTAGCCAGGTGTGGTGGCGTGCACTTGTAGTCCCAGCTACTTGGGAAGCCGAGGCAGGAGAATCACTTGAATCTGGGAGGCCGAGGCTGCAGTGAGCCAAGATCTCGCCATTGCACTCCAGCCTGGGCAACAGAGTGAAACTCCGGTCCCTCACCACCACCCCCACAAAAAAAAGTTAGATCTGATGGCTTATCTGGGCTTTCTCAGACTTTTTTCACGATGGCCTCAACTTATATGCCCTGTCCTCCAGGAAGCCCTCTCTGATACCCTATGTCTGGCCAGTGACCTCCTCTGGGCTCACACATCCTCCTGACCACTCTGAACTGTCTGCTGATAGGTCTGTCTCTCATGGGCCTGGGAGCTCCATGAGTGTCTTGGTCACTGCTGTTTCCCCAGCAAAGTTAACATAGGACAAAACACATAGTAGGGGCTTAGGGAGTGATTTTTGTCTGAGTAGAAGAACAGGATAGCACACCTGTAATTCGAACACTTTGGGAGGCCGAGGCAGGAGGATCGCTGGAGCCCAGGAGTTCAAGGCCAGCCTGGGCAAGAGAGCGAGACCCCGTCCCTAGCAAAAAAAAGAAAAAGAAAAGGAACACAATTAAAAAAAAAGAAGGACAGCATGGTGAGAAGGAAGGAAGGAGGAAAGAGAGAAAGGAAGCTGAGCCTTTACAGTCAGATGGGATTTCAAAATTAAGGGAGAAGGAAGCAAGAGTATGCTGGGCAGTGGGAACGGCTTGAGCAATGCATGGAGGCAGGATGACAGCAGGGTGTTCAAGGAACAGCGTGTACTCAGGCCTAGTTACAGCAGAGGGGGTCAGGAGGAGGGAAGGAAGCCGATTCTGGGAAGGCGCCTGGAGACCGGAGATTCTGAATGCAGCACTGAGCCCCTGACTGCTCTCAGAGAGGGCACCTGAGCAGACAGAGCTGGGCCATAGAGGCAGATTCTGGCAGGATGAGAAAAAAACTGAAGATAGGGAGCCCTGGGAGGGAGACAAGTTAGGAACAGATCCACACACTGCAGAGTTTAAATGACGGGTTTGAAACTCAGTCAGAACTGAGTTAGAATCCTGGCTCTGACTTGATGCGGCCAACCCTAAGCAAAAAGAATCTCACCTCTCTATGCCTCAGCTTCCCCATCTGTTTTTTCTGAGACCGAGTCTTGCTCTGTCACCCACCACCCTGTTGGAGGGCAGTGGTGCAATCTCGGCTACTGCAACCTCCGCCTCCCACATTCAAGCGATTCTCCTGCCTCAGCCTCTGAGTAGCTGGGATTACAGGTGCCCACCATCACATACCTGGCTAATTTTTGTATTTTAGTAGAGACAGGGTTTACCATGTTGGCCAGGCTGGTCTTGAACTCCTGACCTTAGATGATCCCCCTGCCTCGGCCTCCCAAAGTGCTGGGATTACAGGTTTGGGCCACTGAGCCTGGCCCCCATCTGTTGAATGGAGACAATCTCACTGCTATCGTAAGGATTCAAAGTTAACACATATAAAGCCCTTAATTAAGACAGATGCTATTTTGAGATAAAAAATGAGAGGAAAAAAGTTTAACAACAAAAAAGACCAAAAAAAAAAAAAAAAAAGGAAGAAGAAGAAAAAACTTAAAACAGTGCCTGGTGTACAGTAAGGATTAGAATCCAATCTGCATTTCCCAAGGTGTATATCCTTGGACAAGTGACTTGACCTCTCTGTGCCTCAGTTTCCTCATCCGTAAAATGGGATAATAATAGTATCTACCTCAGCCAGGTGCAGTGGCTCATGCCGGTAATTCCAGCACTTCGGGAGGCCAGGGCAGGTGGATAACTTGAGGTCAGGAGTTTTGAGGCCAGCCTGGCCAACATGATGAAATCCCGTCTCTACTCAAAATACAGAAATGAGCCAGGAGTGATGGCGGGTGCCTGGTGTCTCAGCTACTCAGGAGGCTGAGGCAGGAGAATCACTTGAACCTGGGAAGCAAAGGCTGCAGTGAGCCAGGATCGCACCACTGCACTCCAGCCTGGGCAACAGAGGGAGACTGTCTCAGATTAAAAAAAAAAAAAAAGCATCTACCTCATTAGCACTGCTGTGAGGAGTGAGTTAATAAAAGCACAACACTTAGCACAGGGCTAAACATGAGTGAGTGCTAGTTGTTGTTGTTATTATTATTATTATTATTATTATTCACCCACTTCCAGCCCAGCTGTTCTGAGATGCCAAGGAAGTGAGAGGGCAGGCAGAGAGAAAAAAGCAATGGGGCCCAGGAGTGTCAGCCTCTGCGCATGGGCACAGGCAGGTTAAGGCAGGTCTGTGTCTCACAGCTAGGGCCACATGTGTGAACACGTCCCCAAGGAAGGCATGTGGGGTGAGGGGGGCTCAGAGCAGACTCCAGCCAGGGGCCCCAGAGCAATGAGAGGCCTCAGCAGACAAGCTGGCAAGCTGATGGACTCCCAACTCCGCTCCCAGCCCCACGTGAGGCTCTCCAGTTTTACGCCGGCCTCTGCTCTGTCCCGCCCTCCCTCAACCTGCCCGGCCAGCCCTCCTGATTCACCAGGGGAGAGCCACACCCAAGCTGGGGGTGAGGGTGGACGAAGTAAACAAGAGTGTGCAGGGGGCTCCTTGTGGACCTAGGGTCACAGGGGACACCAGGTGAGCTCCCGGCTAGGCCAAGGATCGTTTGGCGTTTGGAGTTCACACAGCCCTTTTGCTAATCTGATGAAAGCTGGGGGAATCGCTTTGCTCCCTAGAAAAATGTACATACAAATGGGCTAAGGGGTGGTGAAGGTCTGTGACCCTTTAAGGCAGCCACAGGCCCCAGATTAAGAAATGTGGGGTAGAAAGTGCACCCTGCCTGTCTCCCTATTCCAGTGTTCTTCAGATTCCAGAGGATGGGACAGATGTCAGACCCTCACTGCAACAATGTATGTGAACACGCACAGCAGTCTCCTTAGTCCTACAATTTCAGGGGCTCCTGGGCCCCATGAAGTCGGTCAGTGGCCCTCCATTGTAGACCCCCAGGAGTGGAGACAGTGCAGGCAGAGGAAAGGCGAGAATGAAAAGGGGGTGCCTGTAGTGAATTAGTAACCTGGCTGTCAGAGAGAGGAGGTCAGTGGATGGAAGAGGTTCCTGGAGATGAAATTGCTGGTGGGCAACTAAGAGTAAATGGGTAGAGAACTTCCTAAGCAAAGGCAGGGGAATAAGGAGTTTTGGGAGATGTGGCTCAAAAGGGCAGGATGGGTCCCACTCACCCCAGACCTGTCCTCAGGATCGCTGGCACCTCCGCCCCCGGCCACCACGTCATCCTCAGACTCGTCGAAAGAAGAGGCAGAGGAGAAGCCGCCACTGCCCCCCTCAACCCGGGAGGGGGGTCCCACTGATTGGGCCTCAGGCTCTGGGGTCTCAGGGGTGATGATGAGGCGGGGCACAGGGCACAGAGGGCTACACTTCAGGTCAGAGTACAGGTGAGTCACCAATTCCCCAGGTTCTGGTTCCTCTAATGGGCCATCCTCAGGCTCTCCCAAGAGGCAGTCTGTCCCAGGTGCTGTCTGGGAACCATCAGTGCTAGGTTGTGTCCAGGAGCCATCAGTATCCTGTTGTGTTTGGAAACCACCAGTGCCAGGCTGTTTCCTGGCTGTTTCAGTATCCTGTTTTTTCTGGGAGCCATCAGTGTACGGCTCTGTCCAGGGACCTTCAATATCCTGTTGTGTCCTGGAGCCATCAGTGTACAATTCTTTCCAGGAGCCATCAGCACTTGGCTCTTTTGAGGGACAGGCTCCTTCTGGGTGAGTCTGGAGGTTGGAACTGTTCTGGTGGGTCCAGAGGTTATCAGCCCAGGACTTGACCCTCTCTGGCTGAGTCTGTGACCCATGTGTTTCCAGCTCTGTCCAGGGCCTATCAACCCCTGACTGTGTCCAGGGGCTGGCCTCCTCGGGCTGAAACTGGAGGTCGGACCTGCGCGGATCAGTCCAAAGGCCATCTGTCCCGGCCTCCGTCCAAGGACAGGTCGTCTCCAGCTCTGACCAGCTCCTTTCTGGATGCGTCCGGAGGCTGGACCTGTCTGGCTCCGTCTTTTGCTTGGGCCTCTCGGTCTCTACTCCAAGGCCAGCTGCCGAGGGCTCAGTCTGTCCGTCTGTCCAGAATTCTGTCTGCGAACTCTCTGTCCCGGGCGCAGGCCCGAGGCCGGCCCTCTCAGGCTCGCTGTGGAGGCTGGACCCCTCAGTCCGGGCCCAGGGCCCGCCCCCCTCCGGCCGCCCCGCCGGGGCCCCTGCGCCGGGCCCAGGTCGCTGCTGTCCCGGCTGCCGCCGCCGCCCTCCTCGCGGCGCCTCTAGTCCCATGCGGGCCGCCACGGGCAGCGCCCCAGCCTCCGCCTCGCTCAGGCTCCCACGGCACGGGCAGCGCCTCATGCCCGCTCCTTCGGTTCGGGCTTCGGCCGACCCGGCCACTCCTATCCCTTTAAATCCCGCGAGGGGTGTGGCTGGGGAGCCCCGACTCTCGGGTTCCGGCCCGCGGAGCTCCAGCCCGCCCCGCTGCGCAAGGGTTAACCGATACTCCCCTTACAGGGGAAAGCCCCGAAGCCCCGCCCCACCGGACGTGGCGCAACGGAACGAGACGGAGCCTCGTCTGACTCCGCCTCCCAAGAGGAGGGGGTTTGCCTCTGAGCGTCCGAAGCGCGACCAGGTATGCATCTAGGGCACTGGGGTCCTGGTGGCGCGCCTGTGGGCCCCTTCCCTCGACCCCTGTGACTAATCCACCCTCCCTACACAGTTGAATGACAAGTTCAACCTTCCCTAAAACCCCTGGTGACGAGTTCAGCCCTGCGCCCATTCTTCACGCAGGGGCGGGACAGACTTTCAAAGACTTGGAGATCCCACGGTTGTGGGTTCGAGACCTTCCTCTGCCAGTTCCCAGCTCCGCTACCCTGAGCAAATGACTTACGCTCCATTTAATTTTCCGTAAGAAATCTCTCTCATGTATAGAGCACTTGTTCTGTATCAGACCCTGACACGATTTCAGGTCATTCTCCAAGACTGAACAATAGGGATGCCAGGGCTCCATTTTACACATGAGGACGGAGGCTCAGAGATCCGCCGGCCTCTACCCTTTGTTTGCAGCTACGGGGCTATCTGATATGATCTCATATATGTGAAGCACGTGGCCCCAGGCCTGGCACTGTCAGTTGTAGCCCAGTGGGATTATTTATTGTCCTAGGTGATTTTGATACATTTTGTCCCTGAGGCTGAGCTGCCACCCAGCTCCTGAGTCAGCCCTTCACGTCTGAAGGGGGACAGGAGGTGGATTGTCTTGAAATTGAATCAGCTGGGGGAGACACTGGGTACAGGTCCAAGGCTCTAAAATGAGTCACCTCTTCACAGACCAATGAGACGTCAAAGGCAGGAGCCCACCCAGTACATCATACAGGTTGGGAAGAAGTTCAGAGAAGGATGAGGGCTTTTCTGAGGTTACACAGTACAGGAATAGAGACAAAGAGGCCTGATTCCCGACAAGAGGGGTTGGGACAGCTGGGTTCTGTGGGGGAAGCATCGGCATCCCTAACCCTCCCAGTGGTGGGAAAGATGCCCCAACCAGCTGCTTCTATTCCAGACTGTGAGAAGTGGGTGAGTCAGCCTGTTGTGGGGAGAGCAGGCTTTCCAAGGCGCGCGCGCGCACACACACACACACACACACACACACACACACACACGATGGGAGCTGGTTTTCTGGGATGCCAAGGTTCCTGACTCAGCACTGGGAATCTTGGCTGAGTGTGTTCTGGGAAATGTCAGGCCTACAGGAAGCAGAGGGCTCCCAGTCGCACCATCCCGCAGGTGGGCGGGGAGCGGAGAGAGCAGGGTGTGTGAGGGAACAGAGCCTCAGTGTGCAAGTGTGTGTGGGGGGGTATGTACACGAAAGAGTTGAAGGCGTGAGCGGGAAACAGTTGGCAAGCAAGGCAAGGGGTTTATATGCGCAAGGAAGGAGGTTGGGTGCCAGAATGTGGGTGTTTGTGCAAAGTGGAGGGGCTCCATGTGCAAGGGAAATGTTTGCTGGGAAGAATGTGTATTCATAGGAGATGTGTTGAGCCTGCCAGGGGTAAAAATAAGAAGGGGGGTTGGCAAGATAAGCGTGCAGAAGAGAGGCGTCAGGTTTGTAACGGAGACTTTGCAAGAAAGTGTAGGGAACAGACGGGTCTGTCGCGTACAAGGCACTTTGAGGTGAGTGGAAGGGCAGACAGGGCACTCTTGCGCTCCCGCGATGCCTCAGCAATCCCCAAAGGTGGGCCCCCGGACGCCCACCCTAATTCCCGACTCCAACGCTCGGGCCTCGCTCCTGGCCCGTTCCCCCGCGCACAGATGGGGAAACTCCATGCCAGTCAGCGAGTTGCTGCCGCGCCATTGGTTGGCTGGCCGAAGGGGGCGGGCATGCTGAGGCTCCCGGAAGCACAGGAGGCCCCCAGCAAGTTGCGGAATCGGAGGCTGACAGCAGTGGGTGCTTAGCAACGGGTGGAGGTGCCCAGTAACGGGGTGGGGATCGGGCGGGGGGACACCGGAGGAATTGCGGGTGCCTACAGGGCCAACAGAGGGGAAGGCGGTGCATAGCAACGAAGGGGGTTTCAGAGAAGTGGAGAGGTAGCCCCTGAGGAACTGTGGGTGTCTAGAAACGGGGGAGGACCCTAGCAACGAGGGTTGGGAGAGGGGGAAAGTGGGTTTTGGGAGGCGCGCAGGAAGAGCTAAGGGTTCTTAGCAACCAGGGGAGAACCAGGAGAAACTGTGGGAATCTATTAATAGTGGAGGAAGTATTTGGTGGGTGGAAATAGAGAGGGTGGACACAGAGGAACATGGGGGCCTGGCCAAGAAGCCAGGCAACTCCCACCTGAATAATCCCTCTTCTCCTCCTCCAGGCAATGTGGCTGAAGGTGGGGGGCCTACTTCGGGGGACCGGTGGACAGCTGGGCCAGACTGTTGGTCGGCCTTGTGGGGCCCTGGGGCCTGGGCCCCACCACTGGGTAAGAGGCTGGGGAGCAGGTCCCCAAGGGGAAGAGGCTGAGGGAGACTTCGTGGAGTAAAAGGACAGGAGGGGCCCAGAAGGGCCAGCCATGTCCTCCCCTCCTAATCAAAGTATGTCTCTTGCAGGGGCCATGTGGTGGTTCTTGGGCCCAAAAGTTTTACCAGGGTGGGCCTGGGAGAGGCCTGGGTGAGGAGGACATTCGCAGGGCACGGGAGGCCCGTCCCAGGAAGACACCCCGGCTCCAGGTATCATTACCCCCATCCACCCAACAACACCCCACGAAAACTGCTGGCCCTGTGAACTTGGGGAAGGGTGTGGTGGCAGGGTGGCTGCACTCTCTGGGCAGGATGTCCACTTTCCCACACTCAGACCTTGTCCCCATTTCCCAGCTGAGTGACCGCTCTCGAGAACGCAAGGTGCCTGCCTCCCGCATCAGCCGCTTGGCCAACTTTGGGGGTAGGTGTGACTTTGGGGGATCTTTGTGTGACCTCGATTAGAAGAGGCAACATTTACAGATTGAAGCAAGGGAGAGGATGAATCAGACAGGAAAGAGAGAGAGACAGAGAAAGAGAGACAAAGGCAGGGGCCTGCAAAGCCAAGAGAAATTGAGAGGAATGTAAATGATGATTTCTTTTTTTTTCTGAGACAGAGTCTCATTTTGTCACCCAAGCTGGAGTGCAGTGGCGCAATCACTGCAGCCTCAAACTCCTGGGTTCAAGCAATTATCTCGCCTCAGCCTCCTGAGTAGCTGGGACCACACTTGTGCACCATCACGCCCGGGTACTTTTTTTTTTTTCTTTGAGACAGTCTCACTCTTGCCCAGGCTGGAGTGCAGTGGCACCATCTTGGCTCACTGCAACCTCTGCCTCCCACATTCAAGCAATTCTCCTGCCACAGCCTCCTGAGTAGCTGGAATTACAGGTGCCTGCCACCATGCCTGGTTATTTGTTTTCTGTTTTTTGTTTTTTGTTTTTGAGACGGAGTCTCCCTCTGTCACCCAGGCTGGAGTGCAGTGGCGCCATCTCGGCTCACTGCAACCTCCACCTCCCAGGTTCAAGCCGATTCTCTTGCCTCAGCCTCCTGAGTAGCTGGGATTACAGGCACGCGTCCACCACTCCCCACTAATTTTTGTATTTTTAGTAGAGACGGGGTTTCACCATGTTGGTCAGGCAGTGGTAGAGCTTTGGCACCAGGCTGCCCAGGGATCAAGGGATGACTCTGCTATGTCCTCACTTTGTGATCTGCCTGCCTCGGCCTCCCCAAGTGCTGGGATTACAGGCATGAGCCACCACGCCCGGCCACCTGGCTAATTTTTATACTTTTAGTAGAGATGGGATTTCACCGTGTTGGCCAGGCTGGTCTCGAACTCCTGACCTCAAGTGATCCACCCACCTCAGCCTTCCAAAGTGTTGGGATTATAGGCGTGAGCCACCCTGCCCGGCAAGCCACTGTGCCTGGCCCGGGTAATTAAAAAAAAATTTTTTTTGGTAGAGATTGGGTTTCCTGATGTTGCCCAAGTTGGTCTCAAACTCCTGGTCTCAAGCGATCCTCCTGCCTCGGCCACCCCAAGTGCTGGGGTTCTATGCATGAACCACTGCTCCCGGCCATAATAACATTTACTGAGAACCTGTAAGGTGCAGTGCCCCATATACACACATGCTGCACTGAATCAATGAGTGTTTATTTCTATTCTGTAGATGAGGACATTGAGGCTAACAGAGGGGAGGTAACTTGACTTTGGGTTACATAGCCAGATGTCATGCAAGTCACATGAAATAATTTAGTGGGTTGCAACCAGCATTTAAAAAGAAGAATAGGACAGAAAATATGCGTGCACCTGTAGAGCAGGGGAAAGTCTTGTTTCATGAAACATATACCTTGGTCTGCACTGGTTATAATGTAAATGTCTTCTTTACTGCTAATCATGGTTCAAGTTTTTGTTTTTTGAGACAGAGTCTTGCTCTGTCACCCAGGCTGGAGTGCAGTGGTGCAATCTCAGCTCACTGCAACCTCCACCTCCTGGGTTCAAGCAGTTCTCCTGGCGCAGCCTCCAAATAACTAGCTTACCAAGGTGGCATGCGCGACACTTCGCAAAATTGTTTTGCTTGTTTTTGGTTTTTGGTTTTTTTTGTTTTTTTTTTTTTTGGACGAAGTCTCACTCCGTACCAGGCTGGAGTGGGCCGTGCCGGACTCAGCTCATGCAAGCTCCGCCTCCGGGTTCACGCCATTCTCCGGCCTCAGCGCTGCCTGCGGGTGCCTGGACTACAGGCGCCCGCCACCGGGATCGCCCGGCTAGTGTTTTGTGTATGTTCTGAGGTAAGGACGGGGGTGGTTTTCACCGTGTTAGCGGCAGCATGGTCTGCGATCTCCTGACCCGATCCACCCCATCTGCTCGCCAAACACTGCCTGGGATTACAGGCTTGAGCCACCGCTGCCCGGCTGGTTTTGTTCTGTTTGTTTTTCTTTGTATTTTAACAGTAGAGACGGGGTTCACCATGTTAGGCCAGGGATGTTCTCGATCTCCATGACCTCTAGTGATCTGCCCCACCTTGGCCTCCCAAAGTTGCCAGGATTACAGACATGCGCCACCTGCACCTGCACTGTACAATTTTGTATTTTGTAGTACAGATGACGGGGTTTCGACCACATGTTGATCAGGCTGGCTCTCAACAACTCTGTGATCTGTGATCCACCTGCCGTAAGGCCTCACCAAAGTGGCTGGGATATAGGTGTGAGCTACACCACGCTGCCGCCTGAGAGTCAGCGTTTTAAAAAATATAGAATTGCACACCCTCATCGTTGAACCCAGGAGGTGCCATTGCGGGGAGTCAAGAGTCGTGCCAATATAGACAACATACACACACAACTGCGCAACAAGAGTGAACTCCATCCCAAAAAAAAACAATATACATATGGGCAGTACGATAGATCAGATACGATAAGATACGATAGGACTAGCGGAAGATACGATTACACAGGTCTGCCAGAGGTAGCTCGAAGGCACGTTAGAGCTTTGGCACCAGGCCTGCCCAGCGGATCAAAAGGGGACTCTGGCTACAGCGCGGGCTGTTTGGGTACGTGTCTCGGGTTCTGCAAGTTAATGCATTACGGACCGAGGTGCGGTGTTCTGGCTAAGAATGAAGGATGGTTTCCTGGCCGGGACCGTGGCTACAACCCTGGTAATCCCAGCCATTTGGGAGGCCGACAGATGGCGCTGGATCCACGAGGTCGAGGCAGATCGACGACATCCTGGTAAACACGGGAAACCGCCGTCTCTCATTACCAAATAGCAAAATACACTAGCTGGCGAGGTGGCGGGCGCCTGTAGCCAAGCCCACCCGGGAGGCTGAGGCTGGAGAATGGCGCTGAACCTGGGAGCGCGGAGGGCTTGCAGTGAGCCTGAGACTGGCCACTGCACTCCAGCCTGGCGACCAGAGGCCGAGATCCGTCTCAAAAAAAAAAACAAAAAAACAAAACGAAAGTTTTTCTGCGAAAAATATACCTTTTATGAAGTGGAGACCTCATGTAAGGACAAAAATTAGTAAGTGCACAGAAGGCACTGGGAACAGCCTCTGACATGTAAAAAGGACACAGAAAATGCCAGGTATGGTAATTGACAGAGATGGTGACAACAAAAGGAGAGAGACCTGAGATGTCTTTAGGGGCAAGAGGAGAGGTAGCAGAGGAAATCAGAGATGGACAGATAACATCGAAGGGAGGAAAAGAGAAAAAGAGACCTAGATAGGACAAATGGGGAGAAGGGAAGAGAGGCAGAAATAACTGGCTTAGAAAAGGAGAGGCTAAGCCTGGTAGCCCACACCTGTAATCGCAGCATTTTGGGAGGCCAAGGCAGGAGGATCACATGAGTTCAGGAATTCCAGACCAGCCTGGGCAACATAGTGAGACCACGTCTCAATATAAAATTGGGTGAACGTGGTGGTATGCACGTGTGGTCACAGCTACTCGGGAGGCTGAGGCAAGAGGATCACTTGAGCCCAGGAATTTGAGGCTGCAGTGAGCTATGATGGTGCCCCTGCACTCCAGCCTGGGCGACAGAGTGAGACCCTGTCTTTAAAAAGAAAAAGAGAGATAAGCAGAAAGAAGAGGAGGTGTGGACAGAGGAAGAAGAGTCACCAGAAGACAAAGGGACCTGGGACAGTTGTTTTGGGGCCTTTTTTTTTCTGAGACGGAGTTTCGCTCTTGTTGCCCAGGCTGGAGTGCAATGGTGTGATCTCGGCTCACTGCAACCTCCACCTCCCGGGTTCAAGTGATTCTCCTGCCTCAGCCTCCTGAGTAGCTGGGATTATGGGCATGCGCCACTGTGCCCGGCTGATTTTGTATATTTAGTAGAGACAGGGTTTCTCCATGTTGGCCAGGCTGGTCTCGAACTCCCGAGCTCAGGTAACTTGTCCGCCTTGGCCTCCCAAAGTGCTGGGATTACAGGCATGAGCCACCGTGCCTGGCCGAGGGGCCTTTTTAACCTTGGCTGCACATTAGAATTATCTGAGGTGCTTTTTAACAAAGCACAAATTCCCACGTCTCAGGCCAATTTAATCAGAATTTCGGGAGTGGAGTCTGGGCATTATATTTACTGGAGCTCCTCTGGTAATTGGAATGTGCAGCCAGGCCTAAGAACTGCTGGGAGGGAGACAGAGACGTGGAGAAAGGGTTAAAGAGGAAGCTGTGCCTTAAAGGGAGCCCCGTGCAGGAAGAAGAGTCAGAGACTGATTTGGAGACAGAGATACAAAGAATTGGGAGACAAAGCCGGGTGCGGTGGCTCAGGCCTGTAATCCCAGCACTTTGGGAGGCCAAGGCGGCAGGATCACCTGAGGTCAGGAGTTCGAGACCAGCCTGGCCAACATGGTGAAACCCTGTCTCTACTAAAAATACCAAAAAAATGGCCGGGCGCGGTGGCTCAAGCCTGTAATCCCAGCACTTTGGGAGGCCGAGACGGGCGGATCACAAGGTCAGGAGATCGAGGGACCATCCTGGTTAACACGGGTGAAACCGCCATCCTCTTACTAAAAGATACAAAAAAGCTAGCCGGGCGAAGTGGCTGGGCGCCATGTGGTCCCAGCTTACTCGGGGAGGCTGGGCAGGGAGGAATGGCGCAACCCGGGAGGCGGAGTTGCAGTGAGCTGATGATCGGCCCCACTCCAGCCTGGCGACAGAGCCATGCTCGTCTCAAACAAAAAAAAAAAAAAAAAAAAAAAACCAAAAAATTTAGCCAGTGTATGGTGGTGCACGGCTGTATCCCACGCTAGTAGGAGAGGCTGAGGCAGGAGGAATCGCTTACCCTGGGAGGTGGAGGGTGTGCAGTGAGCCAAGATTGTGCCACTGCATGCCCGGCCTGGGAGACAGAGCGAACTCCATTCAAATAAGAGAAAAGAAAAATGTTGAGAAAGCATTCTTGGAGGGAAAAACCAGGAAAGGAGAGGTGGTTTTAAGTGCTGGGGCAGCCCAGGCAAACGGTCTCTCATGTTCTCTTCTCTTTCCCTCCAGGACTGGCTGTGGCTTGGGGCTGGAGCGCTCGGCGGAGATGGCTAAGGAAGTCCTGCCAGGAGGTCGTCGTGAATCTTGTTAGTGAGTGAGCCACACTGCCTGGGTTCAGATCCTGGGCTTTGGCTGTGTGACCGGGGGCAAGTGACTCACCCGCTCTGGAGCTTCCAGTTCCTTTCATGCCGGAAGATGAAGTGATGATAATTTCCCCCACCTCTTAGGAGTTCTTGTGAGTGCTTTGAAACAATCCCTAAGACCAACTTCATCAGGGTCATGATTAAGAGAAGCATATTAGATTTTCCTTTTTTTTTTTTTGAGATGAGTCGTCGCCTCTGTCGCTCAGGCGTGGGAGTGCGATGGCACAGTTTCAGCTCACTGCTACCTCCACCTCCTGGTTCAAGTGATTCTCCTTGCCCAGCCTCCCTGAGTAAGCTGGGATTATAGGCCATGCTATCCCCAACGCCTGGTTAAGTTTTTTGTATTTTTAGTTAGGAGACGTTTCGACATGTTGGCCAGGCTGGTCTCAAACTCCTGACCTCCGTCGTTGATCCACCTTCGGGCTCCCAAAGTGGCTGGGATTATCGCATGAGCCACGCGCCTGGCCACATACTAATTATCTGAGAAAAAATTTAGTCCGGCGGGCACGGTGGCTCAAGGCCTGGTAATCCAGCACTTTGGGAGGCCCGAGACGGCGGATACGGAGGTAGGGAGTTCGAGACCCATCCTGGCTTTAACACGGTGGAACCCCCGTCTCTACTAATAAAATGACGAAAAACTAGCCGCAGGTGGCGGGCGCCTGTAGTCCCTCTACTCGGGCAGGCGAGGCAGGAAGAATGGCGTAAAAACCCGGGAGGTGGAGCTTGCAGTGAGCTGAGATCCGGCCAACTGCACTCCAGCCTGGGGCGACACAGCGAGACTCGTCTCGAAAAAACAAAAAAAAAAAAAAAAAATTTTAAACCATTGGGAGTTCCTAACTCGGAGCAGGAGCGGAAAGCTGAAAATAGAAGTGTCAGCAAGGGTCTGTGTACTTCAGAGATGGAATTAGATGTGTAGCATTTGCAGTTATAAAAAATAAAATAAAAAGCTGAGGGTAGGTGGAGGATCCCTCAACAAGTCGATGTCTTGAACAAGTGGGGGTGGATATTCTAGATTAAAAAGAGACGAAAGAGACATTATTTGACAAATGGAGCATCTGAACCATGATTGGCTATCACTTTGGAAAATACAGCCATGAAAGACTTTTTGGGGACAAATGGAAAATCTGAATATGGACTGGATGGCAAATTTTAGGGAATCGGTGTTAATTTTCTTACATGTGATTATGGTACTGTGATTGTGTAGGGGAATATCCTTATTCTTAGCAAAGCTTAAGTGCAACTACATGTAAGTGGGTCAGCATAAAATAATAATAGTAAGTGTGTGGGTACACACACAGATAAAGCAGATGAAGCAGAATGGTACCATGTTGAATCGAGGTGGAGGGTGTGCGGGTGTGCAGGTGTTCACGATATCATACATGTGACTTTACTGTTTGGATTTTTTTGTTTCTTTTTTTTTTGAGACAGGGTCTTGCTGTGTCACCCAGGCTGGAATTCAGTGGTACGATCACGGCTCACTGCAGCCATGACTTCCCCGGGCTCAGGTGATCCTCCCACCTCAGCCTCCTGAGTAGCTGGGATTATAGACACATGCCACCATGCCTGGCTAATTTTTTGTATTTTTTGTAGAGAGAGGGTTTTGCCGTGTTGCCTAGGCCGGTCTGGAACTCCTAGCCTCAAGTGATCCTCCCTGCTCAGCCTCCCAAAGTGCTGGGATTACAGGCATGAGCCACCACACCCAGCCTGGATATTTTTTTCAAAACAAAAAGTTGAGGGTAGGTGGAGGATTAGGGTTTGGGTAGGACCAGCCTGAGTCTACACCCAACTCTGCCACTTCCATGCTGTGTGACCCAGGGCTAGGTGCTGCACCTCTCTGAGTCTCTTGCTTTCTCACCTTGAAAATTAAAGGATAGTTCTTACTTCCTGGTGTGATTGTGGGCATTCAGCCAGAGAATCCACAAAGACACTTAGGATTTTGCCTGGAACAGGGCTAGATGCTGCACCTCTCTGAGTCTCTTGCTTTCTCACTTTGAACATTAAAGGATTGATAATTCTTACTTCCTGGTGTGACTGTGGGCATTCAGACAGAGAATCCACAAAGATACTTAGGATTCTGCCTGGAACAGCTCAATAATGACCTCAATAAAATTTTATTTTATTTCAAATTTTAAGAGATAGAGTCTTGCTGTCACCCAGGCTGGAGTGCAGTGGTGCAACCATGGCTCACTGAAGCTTTGAACTTCTGGGCTCAAGAGATCCTCTTACCTTGGCCTCCTAAAGTGCTGGGATTATAGCTGTGAGCCACCACAACTGGCCTTCAAAATTAATAAAAGCCTAAGAATTGCTTTGTTGTGCTGTGCTTACTTCAGCATCACATATAAATAAAAATTGAAATAAGACAGAGAAGATTAGCATGGCCTCTGTGCAAAGATGACACACAAGTTCATAAAGTGTTCATATTAAAAAAAGAAAAAACGCTTTGCCAAAGCTGAAATGTAATTTGCATATAAACCCAGGTACACATACCTGTAAGTGTATGGCTTGGTGCATTTTCACCAAGTAGATATGTCTGTACCCACAGCAAGAAACCCTAGAACAGCAGCTCTCAAACTGCTTGGACTCAGGATCCCTGCATACCCTTAAAACTGATGAATGGATGAATAAAATGTGATATGCATACGATGGGATATTATCCAGCCATAAAAAGGAATGAAGGGCTGACACATGCTCCAATGTAGTTGAATCTTGAAAACACTAAGTGAGGCCGGGCGCGGTGGCTAAAGCCTGTAATCCCAGCACTTTGGGAGGCCGAGGCGGGTGGATCACCTAAGGTCAGTAGTTCAAGACCAGCCTGGCCAATATGGCGAAATCCTGACTCTACTAAAAATACAAAAAATTAGCTGGGTGTGGTGGCAGGCGCCTGTAACCCCAGCTACTTGGGGGACTGAGGCAGGAGAATTGCTTGAACCTGGGAGGCGGAGGTCGCAGTGAACCGAGATCGTGCCATTGTACTCCAGCCTTGGAGACAGAGCGAGACACTGTTTCAAAAAAGAAAAAAACACAAGTGAAAGCAGCCACACACAGAAAAACCATATATTGAATGATTCCATTAATATGAAATGTACAAAATAGGAAAATCTGTAGGGACATAAAGTAGATTAGTGGTTGTCAAGGCCTGGGGAGATTGGGGAAAATGAGGAGTGACTGCTAATGGGTATAGGGTTTCTTTCTTTTTTTTTTTTTTTTCTTTTTTTGAGACAAGGTCTCACTCTATCACCCAGGCTAGAGTGCAGTGGTGGGATCACGGCTCACTGTAACCTCTACCTCCTGGGTCCAAGTGATCCTCCTGCCTCAGCCTCCTGAGTAGCTGGGACTATAGGCGTGCACCACCATGTCCGGCTAATTTTTGTATTTTTTATAGAGACAGAGTTTTACCACTTTGCCCAGGCTGGTCTCAAACTCATGAGCTCAAGTGATCTTCCCGCTTCGACATCCCAAAGTGCTGGGATTACAGGCATGAGCCACCACACCCAGCCAGGTTTCTTTTTTTGGGTGGTGTGACTGTCCTAAAATTGATTCTGGTGATGCTTGCACAACTCTATGAATATACTACTAATCATTGAATTATATAATTTAAATGATAAATTATATAGTATGTGAATTATTTCTCAATAAAACTGTTAAAATTAGAATGAGCCCCCAAAGAGCTTGTTTATGTGGGTTATAGTTATTGATGTTTACCATATTAGAGATTAAAACTGAGAAATTGCCGGGCGCGGTGGCTCAAGCCTGTAATCCCAGCACTTTGGGAGGCCGAGACGGGCGGATCACGAGGTCAGGAGATCGAGACCATCCTGGCTAACACGGTGAAACCCCATCTCTACTAAAAATACAAAAAACTAGCCGGGCGAGGTGGCGGGCGCCTGTAGTCCCAGCTACTCCGGAGGCTGAGGCAGGAGAATGGCGCAAACCCGGGAGGCGGAGCTTGCAGTGAGCTGAGATCCGGCCACTGCACTCCAGCCCGGGCTACAGAGCAAGACTCCGTCTCAAAAAAAAAAAAAAAAAAACTGAGAAATTTTTAGGTCAAGTGCAGTGGCTTACGCCTATAATCCCAACACTTTGGGAAGCTGGGGCAGGAGGATCTCTTGAGGTCAGGAATTTGAGACCAGTCTGAGTGACATAGCGAGGCCCCATTTTTACAGAAAGTAAAAATATTAGCCAGGCATGGTGGTGCACACCTATAGTCCCAGCTACTCAAGAGGTTGAGGCAGGAGGATCACTTGGGCCCAGGAGGCTACAATGAGCCATGATTGCACCACTGCACTCCAGCCTGGGTGATAGCATGAGACACTGTCTCAAAAACACAAAAGAATACAGAGATATTTTTAAAATACAAGAGTACACACGTACACATTCCATCAGCTGTCAGCCTGATGATGTCCTCACATGTCCTGGAGCCTCTGGAGAACTCCAGTGAATGTTCTTAGAGACATGAGAGCAGAAAAGGGAAAATAACATCTTCATGTTATGATGAAAATAGTTTGATCTCTCAGACCCCTCTGAACGGTGTCAGGGACCCTCAGGGGCCCCTGGCCCACATTTTGAGAATCGTTGCCCTTCTCATGTCCCTACCTGGTCACTCCCCTCACCAAGGGTGACCTCTGTCTTGGCTCCTGGACCCTGGATTTGTTTGGCCTTGTTTTGCTCTTTATATCAGCCTAACTGGGTGATGATTTCACGCACCCGGCTGCTTTCACTCAGCATTACATTTTTGAGACCCGCCTGGGCTGTTGTATGTAGTGGTAGCTCACCGATTCAATACTGTAGTAGTTACTCTTTGACTCTCCTGCAATTTGTTTTAATTTATGTTTATTTCTCTTTTTTTTTCCGAGACAGGGTCTTGCTTGGTTGCCCAGGCTGGAGTGCAGTGGTGGCTCACTGCAGCCTCAACCTCCTGGGCTCAAGCAATCCTCCTGCCTCAGCCTCCTGAGTAGCTGGGACTACAGGCACATGCCACCATACACCCAGAGACAGGGTCTTGCTTTGTTATCCAGGCTGGTCTGGAACTCCTGGACTGAAGCTATCCTCCTGCGTTGGCCTTCCAAAGTGTTGGGATTACAGGCGTGAGCCAACAAGCCTGGCCTCTGTATTTCATTTTAGCCATTCCTGTTGGTGTGCAGATGGTATATATGTTTTTTTAATAGAAAAAGGATGTCATTATTGCCCAAGCTGGTCTCAAACTCCTGCATTCATCCTGCCTCGGTCTCCCAATGTGCTGGGACTACGGGCGTGGGCCACCAGGCCTGGTCGCAGTGATGATATTTGTGGTTGTAATTCTAATGGTTGTTCTCTCCCCAGAGGGTGGTTCTGGGCCGGACTCCAACCCCTTCCTGTCGGAGGCCAATGCCGAGCGGATCGTGCAGACCTTATGTACAGTTCGAGGGGCTGCCCTCAAGGTTGGCCAGATGCTCAGCATCCAGGGTACAGCATGACCCTCGACCCCTGACCCCTGACCTCACTTCCACCCCAGCCCTACCCACTGACAGGCCCCAACTTCAGATACTCACATGGGGGTCCCTCCTCACCTCTTCGCTTACTGCCCTCCTTGTTCCACTGTCTCCCAAGACAACAGCTTCATCAGCCCTCAGCTGCAGCGCATCTTCGAGCGGGTCCGCCAGAGCGCCGACTTCATGCCCCGCTGGCAGATGCTGGTGAGTGCCCGGTGGGGGAGGGTGGTGAGGGAGGCAGGCTCCATCTCCTCCGACCTGCCTGACCCTCCTGGCTTCACTGCCTCACTCCCTCCCTCTGAGCCTCACTTTCTCCAGCTGTAAAATGGGGATAACCAAAGTACACACCTCCTAGCATTGCTGTGGTGATTAAAGGAGAGAACAGCAGCCTGACCTCTCGGCATCAGTTCCCTTCCCTGGGAAATGGTGATAGTGACAACCACACCCACATCATAGGGTCACATAAATCAGTTTACACAGAGCACTGAGAACGGCCCGATTCACCATGAGTGACATGCAGGTGTTAGCTGTGATTATTACTGTTTTTTTAATTAAAGGAGATCGTGTCTGTAAATAGGTTGGCACGGTGCCTGGCACCGAGTAAGTGCCGAGGACATGAGCTGTTCTAATAACTGGGTAAGGCATGGAATCCAGGATTCTGCCACCCACCTGCCCTCCCATCCCTGTTCTGCTTACCTGCCATGTGGCCCCAGGCAGGTACTGACTCTCTCTGGGCCACTTTGAATAGGATCTGGCCCACAGGAAGCCCACTGTGAATTTTAGCTCTTCTTGATCACATTAACTGTGAGTTAATAATACCATATAAGAGCATAATAAAGGATGGTTGACCACGTGTGATGGCTCATGCCTGTAATCCCAGCACTTTGGGAGGCTGAGGCTGGAGGATCGCTTGAGCTCAGGACTTCCAGACCACCCTGGGCAACATAGTGAGACCTTGTCTCTACTAAATATAATAACAGTAATAATTAACTGGGCACAGTGGCACGTATCTGTAGTCCCAGCTACTCAGGAGGCAGGAAGATGACTTGAGCTGGGGAGGTTGATGAGTGAGCCGTGAGGGTGCCACTGCACTCCAGCCTGGGCTACAGAGCGAGACCCTGTCTCAAAAAAAAAAAAAAAAAAAAAAGGATTGTTATGAGTCTTAACTATAAATAATAGCAATCCCCACAACAGCCCAGGGAGTCCAGGTTCAGGGGACACAGGCTGGGCTGAGCCTCACAGTCTGCCAGCGCGGGCCTAGTCGCTTGCACAAGGGAATTCTCTCTGAGCCTCAGTTTCCTCATCTGTAAAGGGGGTGGCAGCTAAGAGCTTAGCCCAGGGCCCTGCGTGTGGTGAGTGCTGGGGTTATCAACACGTAAAGCACTCAGCCTGGGGAATGAACTCTGCCGCGATGATGACGGCTGTGACCACTCCCCGCAGAGAGTTCTTGAAGAGGAGCTTGGCAGGGACTGGCAGGCCAAGGTGGCCTTCTTGGAGGAGGTGCCCTTTGCCGCTGCCTCAATTGGGCAGGTGCACCAGGGCCTGCTGAAGGACGGGACGGAGGTGGCCGTGAAGATCCAGGTGAGAGGGGAGGCCGGGCAGGGTAGAGGCGGGCACCCTGCTAGCCCAGAGGAATGACTTCCACCTTCCTTCCCTCCCCTCTCCCTTTACAGTACCCCGGCGTAGCCCAGAGCATTCAGAGCGATGTCCAGAACCTTCTGGCGGTACTCAAGATGAGCACAGCCCTGCCTGCGGGTGAGGCGCCCACCCACTCCTCTGCTGACCTCCCGAAGGGGCTGTGCCCACAGAGAGCAAGCAGGAGGGGGAGCCCAGAGAAGAGCACGGGCAGGGTGTGCTGGCGCCATGAGTGGGAGTGTGAGAGACAGAAAGGACACCAAGGCAGGGAGAGCCCAGGGAGCATGAGCAGGTGTGAGAAAAGCCTCACGGATTTTATTTTTATTTTATTTATTTATTTATTTTTTTGAGACGGAGTCTTGCTCTGTCACCCAGGCTGGAGTGCAGTGGCCGGATCTCGGCTCACTGCAAGCTCCGCCTCCCGGGTTCACGCCATTCTCCTGCCTCAGCCTCCCGAGTAGCTGGGACTACAGGCGCCCGCCACCTCGCCCGGCTAGTTTTTTTTTTTGAATTTTTTAGTAGAGACGGGGTTTCACCGCGTTAGCCAGGATGGTCTCGGTCTCCTGACCTCGTGATCCGCCCGTCTCGGCCTCCCAAAGTGCTGGGATTACAGGCTTGAGCCACCGCGCCCGGCCAGCCTCACGGATTTTAACAGAGCCTGGGAGAGACGGGAGCCCAGGGCCAAGATCCAGCAGCAGACTCGCAGAGGGTGTGCATGCAGCGAGCGGGGTTGTAGGTGCGGCAGAGCAGAAAAGGACAGTCCTGGGGATGGCACGTGAGGAGGTGCCTGAAGAAAGGAGGGCGGGTTGTGTTTGTGTAAGAGACGGAGAGGGACAGGGAAAGCCAGGCCCAGAAGCGAGATTCAAAGGCAGTGATCAACGTGAGAGTGAGTATGAAAAGGAGACAGAATAGGGGCGAGCGTGACTCTGAAAGAGATGCCAGGGACTGGGGTGCAGGCACACGCAAGAGACAGAGCCCAGGAAAGGCTTCAGAAGACCCCGGGAACCCCGCGGTGCTGTGAAGGACGAGGGAAATGTGTAGACAGATGATACGATGCAGGTCAGAGGCCTGGAGCAGGAGCTGCAAGGGACAGCGGGGGAGACAGGAGAGGGACAGATGCAGGTCAGAGGCCTGGAGCAGGAGCTGCGCGGGAGACAGGAGAGGGACAGATGTGGGTTACAGGCCTGGAGCAGGAGCTGCGAGGGACAGTGCGGGAGGCAGGAGAGGGAGGGTTGGCAGGAGAAGGCATCCACCAGTGGGCGCGCCCCGGGCCCTTCCCCGGCTGACACGCCTCCCCCGCAGGCCTATTTGCCGAGCAGAGCCTGCAGGCCTTGCAGCAGGAGCTGGCTTGGGAGTGTGACTACCGTCGTGAGGCAGCTTGTGCCCAGAATTTCAGGTGAGCTGAGTCCCCTGGGCTTCCCTCCTTCCTTCCCTCCCAGACTGGTTGAGAAGTAGCTGCCCCCTCAGCTTCTGGCAGCTGGAGCTGTGGGGTGGGGCAAACTCTCTCTTTCAATCATTGGTCATCCATCCGTCCACTCATCCATCACTTCGCTTACTCCCTTTGTCCTCTGTGAGCTTGGGCAGGTCACTTCCCAAGCGGCAGTCTTCTCTGTGAGATGGGCCACATACCCACTGTGGTCCGACACAGGCACTTAATTACGCGACGACACACTCTTACCTCCACTGGACTGACGGAGACCAAGGAGCCCACAGCACTGGGAGGTGGAGAGAGTGGGCTCCACAGCATCCCTTCTGCACCGCGGGTTGGGGGAGAAGGTGGTAGAAGCATTTTGAGAATAGGTTGGCATCATCACATAAGCCCTTATATTCACGAACTCTGCAAGCCAACGATTGCCCTCCCTGCTGAGCACTCTAGGGACCCTTATGCCAGTATACACCATCAGACTATTCTAGAATGCTCACAGCAGCCCTGTCTGCAACAGCCCCAAACTGGAAACAACCCATATCCATCAAGTTGATCCAGCAGGGTGGACAAAGAAGCAATGCTGTATTCATCTGTGGAATATTTCATAGCAGTGAAAATGCATGAACCATGGCTATGTGGAATAATGTGGTTATATCTTGGAGACATCCCGATGTGTAGCAATTAATGGCACCTCAGTGGGATCCTCCACAGTGTGGCTCACACATTTATTGACAGCCTAAAACGTGCCAAGCTCTGTAGACAGAGAGTGAAAGATCAGTAGAAGGCAGTGGTTAGAAGCACATACTCTAGACTCAGATGCGGAATGAAATCCTGGGTCAGCCCTTACTGGGTTGCATGGCCTGCATCCATACAATCTGTACGGTAGTCTCCAGAGAGCATCCACTCACTGTGGAGTGAGGATGAAAGGGGAGTGTGCCAATTAAATGCCCAGTATGGCTCTGGTTCATGAGGAGCAGTTCAGAGATTTTTATCAACAAGGACAAAAATACCCCAAAGGAGGAGTTTGAGGAGGAGAGTGTGAAGTGGGGTGAAGGGCCAGAGACCCCCGATCCCCACAGGATTCCCCGGTGCCCTTAGGGTAAAACCCCACACTACCCTCCTGTTCCCCCTCACTTTCCTCCAGCCATCCCGTGGGTCGTCAACCAGAGGCCTCGCTCATATTCTCTGCCTCCCAAATCTTACATGGACATACTTATTTTATTTCTTTTGAGACAGAGTCTCGCTCTGTTTTCCAGGCTGGAATATAGTGGTGAGATCACAGCTCACTCCAGCCTCGACCTTCTAGGCTCAAGTGATTCTCCCGCCTCAGCCTCCTGAGTAGCTGGGACCACAGGTGCAGGCCACCGTGCCCAGCTGATTTTTGTAGTTTTTCGTAAAGACGTGGTTTCACCATGTTGCCCAGGCTGATCTTGAATCCTGGGCTCAAGCGATTCTCCCACCTCGGTGTCTGAAACTGCTGGGATTACAGGTGTAAGCCACCGCACCCAGCTAACACACTTACCTCAATCTATAATCCGTCTGTTTGTGAGAGTGTGGTCTCGGGGTTGGGGGCCAGGTCCAGGGACTGGTTCATTCACTGCTCTGTCCCCAGCATCATTTAGCACAGGGATGGACACAGAGGATTCTTTCCTGTTGTTTACCTGTGTTCAGAGTAGTGATTGCAAGGAGTGACCCATGGGTATCACTATAGACTTCACAGATTTTGATACCAGTGACTACTATGGGGATGAATGAATTAATAAATTAATGAAAAAAGTAATGCAAAGGCTGAAATACACCTGAACTCATCCTTCTGGGGCAACCAGAAGTCATAGAAGGGTTTCAGGTAGGGAAGTGGTAACTGGGTTTCCAACAGCACCCAGTTTAGGGACAGGTGCAGAGTAGGCACCTTGGAGATACTTGTTAAATCTCAGTCCAGCCAGGTGTTGGTCATCACCCAGGGCAGACAGTGGCAAGAGATGGGCAGGAGGGAGGGTATGGCCCCTACTGTTCATGGAGGACTTCTGAGAGCACAAAGAGGAGGCCTCAAGCTGGGTCACAAGCCTGAAGCACGAAGTTCCCTTCCTCCCTTCCCTCCTGCCCCAGGCAGCTGCTGGCAAATGACCCCTTCTTCCGGGTGCCAGCTGTGGTTAAGGAGCTGTGCACGACACGGGTGCTGGGCATGGAGCTGGCCGGAGGAGTCCCCCTGGACCAGTGCCAGGGCCTGAGCCAGGACCTGCGGAACCAGGTATGCCATCTGGTAGCACAGTGGGAAGGGCATGGCCCCAGGGCGGGTGGGCCAGGCTCATGGTCCCTCTCCAGGCCGGCAAGGGTGATACAGGGGAGATCACACTAAGATGCCTGCTACTCCTCCCCACCCCAGATTTGCTTCCAGCTCCTGACGCTGTGTCTGCGGGAGCTGTTTGAGTTCCGATTCATGCAGACGGACCCCAACTGGGCCAACTTCCTATATGACGCCACCAGCCACCAGGTTGGTTCCTAGTGATGTGTGTCAGGGTACATTTGCTGTTGTAACGACTATTCCTTGATATTTCGGTAGCTCAACACAATAGCAGTTGATTACCCCCACAACAGGCAGGGGTGGCCCTTTTCCAAGTGGTGATTCAGGGACCCGGCTCCTTCCCTTTTGTGGTTTTGCCATCCCTGGAGCCTCGCAATGCTCTGCTTCCCAAGGAAAGGGTAAGAGAGATTGAGAGGGTAGCCCCCTGCCTAACTGCTTTGGCCAGGAGTGGAAAAAGTAATGCCCAGGCTAAATACACTAAGCTCATTCTAGGGCAATGGACATACCACTTCCATTGCCATTCCATCAGTGAGAGCTGGACACATGGCCTGCCTAGGTGCAAGGCATGCTAGAAAATGGAGTCCCTGGCTAGGCAGTGGTTCCCGGTGGCAATGTGACAGCACAGAGGGGAAGTACAGCTTTTGGAAGGCAGTTAGCCATCGCTACCACACTCGTCATCCATACAGAACACGCCATCACCTGCCCCTGCCTCTTGATAGCAATAAAAAGACATCCTTGACCCTTGCCTTCTCAGAGTGCCCAGTCCAGTGCGGGGGGCCTGGCAGCACACAGTGATGACCTAGAGTGGTTTGTACCAACCACAATGAGGAGCACAGGCCAGATGGGTCAGGACCTGGATAGGGGAGGCACAGGCAGAGGGGTGGGGGCTGGAGTTGGGGGAGGCACAGCAAGCTATGGGATCCCAGGGAACGTGCCTGACTCACTGTGGGGTGAGCAGGGATTAAGGGAGGCTTCTTAAAGCAAGTGCCATGAAAGCTGGGACCACTGGGAGGCTGAGGTGGGAGGAATGCTTGAGCCCAGGAGGTCGAGGCTGCAGTGAGCCAAGATCGTGCCACTGCACTCCAACCTGGGTGACAGAGCAAGACTGTCTCACAAAAAAAAAAAAAAAAAAAAAAAATGCTGAGACCAGAGTTGAGCATGGTGGCTTATGCCTGTAATTCCAGCACTTCGGAAGGCTGAGGCAGGAGGATCCCTTGAGGCCAGGAATTTAAAACCAGCCTGGGCAACAAAGGGAGACCCCCGACTCTATTTAAAAAAAAAAAAAAAAAAAAAGAAAAAAAAAAACAAAATGGCTGAAACATGACAGGGGACAAGGAGACAACCATCCAGAGAGCAGAGTGTTCCCAGCAGAGGGCAGGGGGCGTACAAAGACCTGGAGGGAAGGTTTGGACCTGCAGGCTTGAGTGTTGGTGGATACATTGTTACCTTTATCAGGGGTTGCCAACTGGTTTTCCAAAGTGGTCTATCTCCATTTTGTCCCCAGAGGGGTCTTTCTAAAGCACAAATCTGGTCAAGATATCCCTCCCACAGCTTCACAGCCCCCTCAGAATCAAGTCTGAACCCTTTGCCGAGCATCCTGTGGCTCCACTGACTCTCCAGCCCCAGGCCTTTGCCCCTTCTTTCTCCACAATGTGCATACACCGTGTCCCCTCCTAGGCTCATACCCCAGAGATATGTTTACTCAACTCCAAGTGACAGGAGTCCTGACATCAATTTATTGGTTTTCAACGGCACTTTTTTTTTTTTTTTGAGACAGAGTTTGTCTCTTGTTGCCCAGGCTGGAGTGTAATGGCGCGATCTCAGCTCACTGTAACCTCCACCTCCCAGGTTCAAGCGATTCTCCCACCTCAGCCTCCCAAGTAGCTGGTGCCCACCACCATGCCTAGCTAATTTTTTGTATTTCTAGTAGAGATGAGGTTTCACCATCTTGGCCATGCTAGTCTTGAACTCCTGACCTCATGATCCACCCACCTTGGCCTCCCAAAGTGCTGGGACTACAGGCATGAGCCACCACGCCCAGACGGATGGGGAGTATTTTATATTTTAGGCTGGGTGCTGGGTGGTGGGATTTGTGGGTATTCATTTTACTTTTCTGTATATTTTATTATGCTCTTGATTTTTTTTTCTGGGTCTAAAATTTGTTATTGCATAAATAATAAAAGCCTTCAGCTACCTTCTGGGGGTGGGTTGGAAATGTGGAGATGAGGCCAGGAGCCCAGTCAGGCAGCCAGGCAGGGACTCTGGCAGGAGCGGGCAAGGTCATGGGGAGGAAGACAGATCCTGGCTGCCCCAATAGACGGTGGGCGTGTGACTGGGATCCCAGCATTCCTTTCACCATTCCTTGCTTCCAGGTGACCCTGCTGGACTTTGGTGCAAGCCGGGAGTTTGGGACAGAGTTCACAGACCATTACATCGAGGTGAGTCTCCCCCAGACCCCAGAGCCTCTGAAAGGCTGAGGCTCAGGCCATATACTGAGGCAGAGGAGTAAGAAGGAGAAATGCAGTTTCTGGAATTAAGAAATAACAAATAATAGTAATACTTGTAGCAGCTAGCACACACCAAGCACTTAATATGTCAGGCTCCATCTTTAGTGCTTACGTATAGTAACCGATTTAAACCACACAGCAACGCAATGCGGTAAGGGCCATTTTTAGGCCCATTTTACAGATGAAGTAACTAGGTCCTAGAGAGATTAAGTCACCTCCCCAAGATCACAGCAGACTTGGGATTCAAATTCAGGTAGTCCAGGTCCAGAGTCCAAGCTTCCAACCACTGCCCAGCTCCCTCCTAAGAGGAAGGCCCACAGTGACCATCTTGTCACCTCTCCAGACCCCATGCTGTCCAGGGCCCTGGTGTCCAGCCCAAGTGTGTGTCCCTGGGGGCAACTGTCTACAGGAGGCGCTTCCTCACGTACTCTGCTCGTCTCTCCCACCCACTGGGGTCAGTTTGTCTTGGAGGCTGCAGAGAACACCATTTCCTTAATTGTTGAGATTAGTCATTTGCCCTGGGTCCTCTAATCATGTAGCCATCAATCTAAACTTTTTTCTTTTCTTTTCTTTTCTTTTCTTTTCTTTTTTTAATTGAGACAGAGTCTTGCTCTGTCGCCCAGGCTGGAGTACAGTGGCGCGATCTTGGCTCACCACAACCTCCACCTCCTGTGTTCAAGCGATTCTCCTGCCTCAGCTTCTCGAATAGCTGGGATTATAGGCGCATACCACCACGCCCGGCTAATTTTTGTATTTTTAGTAGAGATGGGGTTTCACCATGTTGCCCAGGCTGGTCTCGAACTCCTGACCTCAGATGATCCTCCTGCCTTGGCCTCCCACAGTGCTGGGATTACAGGCATGAGCCCCCCTGCCCAGCCAATCTAAATGTTTTCTGACCCCTCTCTGTGCCCAGCTGTATTCTAGGCAAAGCTGGAGACACAGCAGTGACCTGGGCCCAGCCTAGGCCCCTCCTCACAGAACTCATAGTCCAGTGAGGGGACAGTGAGGACCCAGCATGGATAAGGCTGGGATGGGGGAAGCACAGGGGACTGTGAACCCAGAGGAGGAGCCTGACCCAGCCTGGGGAGCCAGGGAGGGCTTCCTGGAGGAGGGATTGTCAGCGTCGGGACCTGAGGGATGAGGGGGGCCAATTGGGAAAAGGCTCGGAGGGTATTCCAGATAGACAACATGTGCCAAGGCCAGGCGGTGATAAGGGATATTCCCATTAGAGCAGCACTTCTCAGACTTGGATGTGCCTGTGAAGCCTGGCGATCCTGTGCAGGTGAAGATTCTGGTCTGGAGGTGGGCGTAAATGCTGTGTTCTGACACGCGCCCACGTGATGCCAAGGCTACCCGTATGGGGACCACACTTGTAGTAGTAAGGCCCTAGAGGACCCAAAGGAAGCTCCCATTCTGACTGGGAGGGCAGGTGGGGGAGCAGCACAGGAGCCAGTGACGAGGCTGCAGCAAATCACTGTGGATTTTGGAGGCCGCGCTCTGCAGCTCGTACTGTATCCAGGTGCTCTGCAGAGCCGTGGAAAAAGATTTGAGCAGGGAAAGGATGCAGTTAGAATTTGAAAACTCCCTCTGAATAAGAAGTGGTCTCTAAACCTGGGGGCTGGGAGCCCGGGGCAGCTGTGGAGAGGGGCAGAGGGGTGGCTGGGAGATGCCCAGCTGGTAATCCATGGGAGCAGACAGGCTGGAAGTCAGTGATGGAGGTGTCCAGGGCCTGGGGACTGGGGGGGCCACCTCTAAGATGGGAACAGGAAGAGGAGGTGATAACCCCTTACACACGGGCCCGTTGGGGCCCTCTCCGCAGGCCACTGAGGCACAAAGCCAAGGCCCTTCAGGTAGCTGGGACATTTTGCTCCCCACTGACACCCTCCCCTCCTACCCAGGCCTCAGCCTTTGCCAGTTTATAAAAGCCCCATCACACCGGCTTCTGAGGACCACAGGCCTGACAGATGGCCAGACAGGCTCGGGCAGGGGGGGCAGAGAGGGAATGGAATTAATCCCGAACCCCTCTCCTTACAAAAACGGGCAACCCAGTGGTAAGGGGTGTGACCCAGGTTCCAGTCCCTATTCCCGGCCTGCTTCCCCTTCTGTGAAATTGGGACCCCCATGCCCACCTCTTAATAATGGTAGATTATAATATTTTCGGTGCTTCCTGCATGAGACACAGCGCCAGGCATGCCACAGGCATCACCTTTATCCTCCCAATAGCCCCATGAGGAAGACACTTTTAGCATCCCCACTTCACAGATGAAAAAGTGGAGGCCCAACAGGCCGGCAGGTGGCAGAGCTGGGATGGAGCCCTAGCCAGCTGGCCCCAGCTGGGTGTCTGTCTATGCCCACAACTCCTGCCCTGTGTGTATGAGCTTATGGCTGGAGAGCTGCTCTGCTCCACACACTCATTTGCTAAAGCAAGGTTCACCCAGGGCCTCCTGAGCACCAGACCCTGTGCCCCATGCGACTACACCCAACTGGGATCCTTGCTGTCACAGGGCTTAAAGTCCAGTGCAGGAGACAGAGAGGTGGCCCCTGGCAACTTTGGATGCAGTTCTGGGTCACGCTCACACCCGTCCAGTTGAGTGTTTGGACCCACCAGCAGCCCTGACACTTGTTCCTTGCACTGTTTCACTGTGGCAGTTCCCGGGCAGGCCCCACATTGCCAGCTAGGCGGGCAGGATCCCTGCCCACCTCCACTCCAGGCTCTGGAACAGTCTTTAAGGGAGTCACAGACCGGCAGAGTGGGGAGCAGGAAGCTTCCAGGTGAGGGAGGGCCCAGGCAGATGAGAATGGAGGTGGGTACACGGGAGGCCCAGGCTTCCAGCTCCTCTTCTTCAGAGCCCCCTTGAGCCCCGGCCTTTGTCCCTCTAACTCCCACCCGTCTCCCCAGGTGGTGAAGGCTGCAGCTGACGGAGACAGAGACCGTGTCCTACAGAAGTCCAGAGACCTCAAATTCCTCACAGGCTTTGAAACCAAGGTGGGGAGACACTGCAGGAGAAAGAGACGGGTGTCTGTTGGTGGGGTACAGTGGGGGGCTGCTTATCTCCACTGAGGAACGCGAGTGGGGTATGGGGCATGTCTATACCTGGGGACTGGGGGCTTTAGGAGGGGCTTGTCTCTACTAGGGAGAATAGAGGCTCTCTGTCTATACCCAGGCAGTGGGGGACTCTAGGATGGATGCTTATTCTTGCTGGGGGCTTTGGGGAGGAGTGGGAGGAGTGGGGGGAGGCGGCGGCCTGACTCCTCAGGAACCCTGGGAACATGGGCACTGTGGATCTGTTCAGGAGGGGCAGGGGCCGCTTCTCTATTGTAGAGAGAGTAGAGGGCGACTTGTCTGTTGGAGGGTCTGCGGGGAAGCGAGGGGTGCTTACTCGGGGAATAGGGAGCTGCTTGTCTAGTCCAGGTTCTAGAAGGAGCGGAAGCTGCTCACTCTTGGGGGAGTCCGGGCTTGTGTTGATGGTGGAGACTGGAGGGAGTGGAGGCTACATGTTGCTTCTGGGTTATACAGAGAGCTCTATGTCCACACTGGCTGCCTTTGCTGTGCCCCCCGCCACCCCACCCCCAGGCATTCTCCGACGCCCACGTGGAGGCAGTGATGATCCTGGGGGAGCCCTTCGCCACCCAGGGCCCTTATGACTTTGGGTCGGGGGAAACTGCCCGCCGCATCCAGGACCTCATCCCGGTGCTGCTGCGGCACCGGCTGCGCCCCCCACCCGAGGAGACCTATGCCCTGCACCGCAAGCTGGCAGGGGCTTTCCTGGCCTGTGCCCGCCTCCAAGCCCACATCGCCTGCAGGGACCTCTTCCAGGACACCTACCACCGCTACTGGGCCAGTCGCCAGCCAGACGCAGCCACTGCCGGCAGCCTCCCCACCAAAGGAGACTCCTGGGCAGATCCCTCATGACAGCCTCCATGGGGGATTCAGTCCCCAGAGCAGGCCATACCCTGCTGTAGTGCCTCTTAGCCCTTCCTCGTCTGCCCTGGGTCAGGGGAGCCCCCTGGGCTTCCCAGTCTTGCCTGGCTCTCCTCCTTGGCCCAGGAGCTCAGGATCCCTGGGGCTGGGGAACTCCCAACTTCGTGCCCTAGATCCTGCACCTCCCCACTCCAAAGTGGGCATCCGGGAACTCTAAGCCAGGGAAGCAGTTAACTTATCTGTGCCAACATTTGAGGGAGCCTTGGGCCCCTGCATGCCGTTTTCAGATCCGGACTCATCAGGGGGAGCCCTCACCTCTGCCTCAAGTCTGCCGTGGAAGGCGAGATGGTGGTCCTGGAGGCAGTCCTCACCTCTGCCTCCCTCGCTCCTCCAACAGCTGCCTTCTCCCGGGTTCCAGCCTCTCAGTGTGTTGGAGAGGTAGGGGTGCGGGGGGAGGGGGGAGCTGAACCTTCAATCGGAATAAAAGCAACCCTCCCCTTCCCCCAGCTCTTTTCTCTGCGCTAGGGTTCCGGGGAGAGGGGGAGGAGCTCGCCAGCGGCCTCCAGGTGCAGATGGCCAGCCCCCCCCACCCCCTTGTCTGAAAGCCCCAGCCCTGCCTGTGCCATCTGTTGCCGGGAACCTCCTTCTCGCCTTCCCCACCCCCCCACGTGCTGACCACCTGCTCTAAGGGCTGTGGCAGCTGAGGCCTCCCCCACACACAGTGCCTCTTGGCTGGAGGCTCCCTCCCCTCGCTCCCGGCAACCTCGCCTTTACTAATGGGCTCTAATGTCCCTGCCAGCTGCTTTGCCAAACCCACAGGATTGGCGTAGGGGGCGGCGGGGGCGCCGCAGCGTCCAGAACCACGCCCTGATCCCAGCCCGGCGCCCCCGTTCCCAAAGCCGAACCGATCGCGCACCAGGACGCCTTGGTCTGTTCACACCCCCTCCCCTTGCTTGCAAAAAGTGCCTCGTCACCGCTTCTGCCCGCCCCCGCCGGGCTGGGGAACCATGGGGTTAGCGGGAAGATTTGGGGGTGTGGGGCGGCAAGGCGCCTCCAGAAGCAACTCTTTCGGACGCGGAGCTGGAGGGGATCTGAGGTCAGGGGTCACGGAGGGGAAGGGAGTCCAGGCCAGGATGGACCGGGGAAACGACTCGGCGATGTTCATTGGCATGCTCAGCCCGGGACTGGCCAATGGGCGTGGCGGGGCGGTGGCCGCGCCGGGGAAGGCGGGGTGGTGTGTGCGTGGGGGCGGGGTCTGCAGGCCAAGGGGCGGGGCAGGGCCGGCAAGGCGCCGGGGCGGGGCGGGGCCTTTCTGCATATACGGCAGGCGGCGGGCCAATGGGCGGGGCCGGGGCGGGGAGCCGAGGCCGAGGGACGCTCCCCCGCCCCCGGAACGGAATCCTCCCGGGAGCCGAGCAGGCTCGCGCGCGTGCATCCCGCACCATCCCCCGGCCCCGGGCCCTGGCCCGCGTCAGACCGAGCTGCCGCCGCCGCCACCGCAGCAGCAGCAGCAGCAGCAGTCGGGGAGCCGGGCCCAGCCAGGGCCGCGGGAGGCGGGGGCGCCCGGGCCCTGGATGTCCCGCAGCGCGGCGGCCAGCGTGAGAAGGGCGGGAGAGGGGGGCTCGGGTCGGGGGCGGCGCCGCTGCTGATGTGGCGGAGGGTGGGAGGCGGCCGCGGCGCCCGGATGGAGAGAGGGTGCCAAGGCTGGAGAGGGTGGTCCTGGGTGGGGGTCCAGGAACAGGCCCAACAAGCCAAAGCCCAGGAGACCAGGGTCTTGGGCACAGACCCCTGGGCCATCTCTTGCCAAGGCCCTGGAAATAGGGATCCTGGACACAGACCCCCCCACAAAATCAAGGACAGGGGTACAGAGATTCTAGGTACAACTCCTGGAACTAGATGGGGATGGAGATGGGGTCGGGGATACAGCCCCCGTATCAAACCAAGGCCTCCAGGAGGTGATTCCAGACACAATCCCTACCTCTCCCTGCCTAAGGGGGTCTCAGCACAACAACTCCCTAGACACGGTCTCAAGGATGGGGTCACTGCGTACAGCTTTCCCACCTCGCCAAGGCATGGGGGGACTCCAAGCACAGCCTGCCCCTAGGCCTCAGAGGCACCCTGGGCACAGCATCCCCCCAAGCCTTGGGCGGTGTCCCAGGCACAGCCCCTTCTCAAAACAAGGTCCCGTGCCTGGGACTCCACCCCACCCCAGCCTGAATAAAATAAGGACAATTTCAGGCAACCCCCAATCCCTCCACCCCCTGGCTTGGTCAAGGGTCCCAGGGCACAGAACCCCTGGACCACCCCCTTTGTCCCCAGGGCTGCCCAGCTGTCCAAGAGTGGCCCCACCCGCAGACAATGCACCGCCTCCCCCTCCTGGACCTGGCCCCTCAGGCTCCAGCATACAGGCTGGGCTGGGGGCGGCTCCCCAGGGACCGGGTACAGCCCTGTCTGTCTGCAGCGTCTGCGGTGACGGTGACGGCGGCTTTGTGTGTGGTACCTGGGGGGAAGGGGGGAAGCAAGCAATGGGGAGGTGGCTAGGAGTGTGCCCTGTGTTTGTGTGGCTGTGGCTGTGTATGTGTGTGTGTGCACGCGTACGCTGCGGCTGGTGACAGGAATCCTGTGTGTGTGCTTGTGGTGGTGTCTATGATTGTGTCTGTGTGTGACCCTAGTATTTGACTGTGTATGTGTGTGTGACAGCTGCTTACTATGCAGAATCCTGTACTTTTTAGTCTGACTGTGTTTGGAGGTGTGCATGGTTGTGACTGTGGTTGTCTGTGATTATGTCTTTTGTGACCCTGTGTTTGTATGCCTCGGTAACTATAACTGGGTATGTGACAGTGTGTGTTGAGTCTGGGGGTGGGCATGCGTGTGACTGACAGGATGTGGGTGGAGTTGTGACTGTGTGTGTGAGTGGAGTTGTCTATGGCTCCATGTGCATGTGTGACCCTCCCAGTGACTGACAATGTTTATAGTTGTGTCTCTACCTGATTTTATATACATGAGTGACACACACCTGTCTGTGCAACTCTGCCTGTGTGACTGCCATTGTATCTGAAGTCACATTGTGTCTATGTGCCTGGGGTTGTGTGACAGTATTGTGTATGACAGTGGTTGCGTATGCAGAACCATGTCTGAGTGTGTGACTGGGGTTGTATTAATATAAATGACTGTATCTGGCTGTGTGTGTGATAATGAGTGATTATATGTATTTCTAGCCTTGTATGTGTGATTTGGGTTATGTATTTGACTAGGTGTCTGAAACCCTGGCTATTTAAAAGGATTATTTGTGTGTGACTAAAGCTATGGATGTGTCTCCGTATTGGTGCCAGGAAATTATGTTTGTAGGGGTGTTTATGTGACTGTGGCTTCCATATGACTGTGTATGACCTGCATGTCTGTGACCCTGGGTGACTATAGATGTTTGTGTCTATGTCATCACCTGTGAGAGTCTGGGGTCTGCAGTTGTGTGCCTGTTTTGTCTCTGTGTGTATGTGCTGGACTACCTGTGTTTGAATGTATGATTTGGTGATGAGATTGGTCCCTGACTGTCCACATGGCTCCATCAGGACCTGTGTCTTCTGTGTAAACCCAACTATAAATGCCACGTCCTGGTCACTGCATTTCTGTGCCTACGCTGGACTGTGTACTTGTGACATGGGAAACTAAAACTGTGCGCTTTTGTCTCTATGTGTGAGACATGTGTATAGGTGGGGCTTATGACTTTGTGCACCTGTCCACACGGGGCTGTGATTCTGTGTGGCCACATACTTGTCTGTGTGACTTGTGTGCCTGCATGAAGAATGGCTATATGTTTCACTGTGTTGGAGTGACATGGTACAGCTGTGTATGGGACACTGGGTGATGGGATTATGACCATGATAGGTGGCTGGGTCACATGGACATTGATGCTGTGGCCATGCCTACAGGACCACCATGGCTGTGTCTTGAGGGTGGCCATTCTTGGGGATAGTTGTTTGTGGGTGGTTGCGTGCTGTGGCCATCAGTACCTCCGTGTGTGGTTGTGTATAGAGGACTGTCCCTATGAGTATGGCTGTCACAGTAGACTGTGTGACTGATGCTGTGACCAGATGTGAGCACCTATGACTGGGTATGTGTGATCATGTGACAGTGTGTGACCAAAAACAGAGTGTTGGTGTGACTGGTCTGGTTGAGGCTGCATGTCCACGTGCAGCTGTGCCTGCATGTGGTCTCCGTGGGACCAAATGTGTGCCTGTCCGTGTGCATCTGTGACCAGATGTCAGTGTGCAGCAGTGGAGATACATGTGACAAGTGTGTATAGCTGCAATTGTGTTGTGTGGGACTGGGTCACCAAATGGGTGAACTCTGGGTGTGATTCTATCTGGGTGGGCCTGTGACATCAGTATCTTGGACGGGTGCCTGAGGAAACATAGCTGTCACTGGGTGTGGCCGTGCATGTGCGGCTCTAGTGGGTGTGTCTGGGCCCCGTTATTTGTATATGGCTGAGAATGTGGATGGAAGTGACCAGATTTCAGTGGGTGGTGTGAGCAGGTGTCTGTGGTGGGGACTAAGTGGGCTGGGATGTGCTACATGTATGTGGACAGATGTCTGTAGTAGAGACTATGTGTGTCTGAACATGAATATGTGGCCAGATGTTTACGGTGGCAGCTTTCTGGGGTTGTGACTGTTTCTGTGTATCTGCGATCTAAGGTATGTAGCTGTGATTGCATCTCTGTGTAACCAAGTATATAGGGCTGTTGCCGGATGCTAGGGACACCTGTAGATACATGGATACATATAGCTGGCTGCATACGTGTATAGCCCTGGACATGCATCTAGAGGGCAAGGCCACTCTCATAGCATTCCCTTGGGCAGTGAGGCTCTCCTGAGGCCAGCACATCCCCAACATATGCCCCCCAAACATACCTACTTCTTCCTGGGCCCTTGGAACCAGGTGGCTGATCTCCCTGGTAACAGTTGCTAGGACAACTAGGACTGTCATCAGGGAGCCCAAGATGGAGGGGGCTGACTGAAGTCCCAAGTTGGGATGAGGTATCGGACTGAGCCCCACCCCAGACAAACTTCTCACCTTGTCCTCCCCTACTCGGGCAGGGCGGACCCCGGAGGCCTGAGCGGCACCTGCCCCCAGCCCCGTGTGGGGCCCCGGGGCCCCCAGAAACCTGCAGGACGGATCCAGGTGAGTGACCAGCCTGGGACACGGCAGGGCTAAATGGGTATGTGGTCTTGCCTAGCATGACCAGAGGAGCTGTCCCTGCGATCACATGGGCTTAATCACATTCATGAGTGGACCCCCTCAGGCATCTTCCTCAGCGACTGCCAGAGTCCCACTCATGCACAGACCCACACCCTGACACCCTTACAGCCTCAAGTGCAGGGCCACACTCAGACACTCACATCTGTAGACATACAGTTAGACCCACACACACACAAACACAGATCTCTTTCAGATCACACACACTTGCTAATGCAGTAACACACTTGAACACGTGCTTAAGTAAATGTTCATCACACTAATACACAAACATATATACACATACATAGACACACAGACACATTCCCAGACAACACCCAGATTCACAGGTGACCACAGACGCTCGCTGGATACAGACTCTGAGATACATACTCTCAAGAGACACACTGTTGGCTGGGCGCGGTGGCTCAACGCCTATAATCCCAGCACTTTGGGAGGCTGAGGTGGGCAGATCACCTGAGGTCGGGAGTTCGAGACCAGCCGGACCAACATGGAGAAACTCCGTCTCTATTAAAAATACAAAATTATCCAGGGGTGGTGGCACATGCCTGTAATCCCAGCTACTCGGGAGGCTGAGGCAGGAGAATCGCTTGAACGCGGGAGGCAGAGGTTGCTGTGAGCCGAGATCGCGCCATTGCACTCCAGCCTCCATTCGCAACAAGAGCAAAACTCCGTCTCAAAAAAAAAAAAAAAAAAAAAGACCTACTCTTGCACAGTCTGACAACACACACAGACCCACCTTTCTACAGATGACAGTCACACTTTCACAGACAGCACCCGCGGGCCCAGGCTCTCACAGGGAGCTACGGTTGTGCACAAACACGCACAAACACAGTCTCACAAAGAGCACCCAGCACTCTCTCAGGCAACAGTCGCACCCTTACAAATAACCCTCATGAACACAGTCTCGCTAAAGACAACCTCATGTTCTCACACACCCTAACGGATGCACCACTGCACACAGATACAACCTCTGTGCAATACCCATGCACCCACACTCTAAGATGACAGCCACAGCCACAGCTACACAGGCTCGCCGCCAACAGCTGCACTCTTGGACACAGACAGTCTCGTGGGTCCCTCAGACGCACTCTCAGAGGCAGTATCATCACAGACTCACAGACAATAGCCACACCTTCACACAGAGACATAGCTACATGGATAACAGCCATGGGCACACCCTTTGAAAGACATGACAGCCTCATGCTCAAACACAGACACACCCTCCCTCACAGGCAACAGGCACTGAGCCACAAGTTCTCATAGACAACAACGGCACTCTCGGATATAGACGGCAGACACACACAAGCACTCTCAGACATCGACGCCCTTCAGCAACAACCTTCAGGGACTCAGACTCACAGACAACAACCACACTTTTGGATGCATCCCTCACAGACAGCACTCACAGATGCACACTATCATACACCATTCTCAGACATGCATTCTTCCAAACAGCCTTCAGAAACACACTCACAGACATTACTTGCATGCTCAGATACAGATCCCCTCATAGCTTTCCAGAACATACCATTGCACACTTGCTTACACACACACGTTGGTGCTCCCAGTCCTGGGACTGTCAGGATGGCTGATCAGTGAAGACTGTCCTAGTGGCTGCCACCTCCACGCCCACTCCACACACCCACAGCGCTGCCTCTGACAGTCGTGGGTGCAAGGCCCCAGAAACCTTGCCTGGGGACTAGACACAGTTGTCACAGAATGGCTGCGTCTCAGAGTTCCAGAGGCAAGCCACCATCCCCCACACCCCATGCACCTGACTCCCGCACCTCTGACCCATGCAGTTCCCAAGTCCTCTGCTGTCCTCTGATCACCCCACTGCCTGACTCTCATACCCCTAAAACCCCTGTGTGGCCCCTGACCCCTATGCCCTCCAACCCCCATGCCCTCCAACCGCCATGCCCTCCTATATCTGACTTCCCACCCTTTGGATGCTCATGGCCTGGGAATGAGGAAGCATCCACTACACGGACAAGAAGCCCTCCAACGCCCTGAAACCTGTGCCCCATGCCCCCACCCCAGACCTCCCGCCCCTTAGCCCCGTGGTTCTGAATCCGCAGTGCCCAGTGCTCGCACTCCCCTGGCTTCTGTTGGCTCCTTTCCTCATGCTCCTTGAGCACTGGTCCCTCCCTGTTGAGCTCCATACCTTCTGACACCCGCCCTTGATCCACATCACTGTCCTGTGTCACCAGACGGGGCGGGCACCATGAACAAGTTACGGCAGAGCCTGCGGCGGAGGAAGCCAGCCTACGTGCCTGAGGCGTCGCGCCCGCACCAGTGGCAGGCGGACGAGGACGCAGTGCGGAAGGGCACGTGCAGCTTCCCGGTCAGAGTGAGTGGGCGGGGCGCGGCGGGGCGTGGACGGGGGGTGCTGTGCTGTGCGCATGCACGGCCTGACTGGGACACGCGCTCAAGTCTTTTGAAGTTGGTATTAAAAAGCATGAGGCCGGCCGGGCGCCGTGGCTTATGCCTGTAATCCCAGCACTTTGAGAGGCTGAGGCAGGTAGATCACCTGAGGTGAGGAGTTCGAGACCAGCCTGACCAATATGGTGAAACCCCATCTCTACTAAGAATACAAAACTTAGCTGGGCATGGTGCCATCTTGCCATCTCTACTAAAAATACAAAAATTAGCCGGGCGTGGTGCAGGGCGCCTATAGCTACTGGGGAGGCTGAGACAGGAGAATCGCTTGGACCCGGGAGGCAGAGGTTCAGTGAGCCGAGACAGCACCACTGCACTCCAGCCTGGGCGACAGAGCAGACTCTGTCTAAAAAAAAAAAAAAAAACGTGAAGCGTGGTGGCAGCTCACACCTGTAATTCCAGGACACTGGGAGGCTGTGGTGGGAGGATTGCTTGAGCCAAGGAGTTCAAGACCAGCCTGGGCAAACGCAGAGAGACCCTGTCTCTACAAAAAATAGTCAGGCACAGTGGCACGCACCAGTAGTCCCAGCTATTCGCAAGGCTGAGGTGGGAGACTCACGAGTCCAGGAAGGTCGAGGCTACCGTGAGCCTTAATTGTGCTGTTGCACTCCAGCCTAGACAACAGAGTGATACCCAATCTTGAAAACAAACAACCAAAACACGTTTTCTTGTACCAGCAAACTATCACCTGGAAACCATCAGGTCATGTGTAGCATTTGTAGAGCGCTCTACCGTTAAGGGCGTTCTGGTTTAGCCATACCCTATACCTTTACATTCCTATGAGGGGGAGAGCAGGAATCATGGCATGGACTGTGGAGCTCAGCCCCTTCCTGGCTGAGTGATGACTGACCATGGTCACAGCCCCTCCACTACCTTATGTTCCCTTCCCCCGGAAGCAGACTCTGAGTGCGAAGCCTTCATTTGGGAGGTGCAGGAAATGGTGTTGGGAGTGAGGAAAGGAAAGCAGTCAGTAAAGGGTGTGTTATGAAAACTGCAGCTGTGTGCAACTGAGCTTTCCCCTGGGAAACTCGAGGCAACAGTCATCCCACCTGCAGGTGAGGGAGCTTGGGCTCAGGTACCCTAACTCCCGTCAATCATTGCGGGGACTGGCCCAGGCTCTTTCTAGCTGCTTTAGGGTGGGCAGAGCAGTTTTGCACGGCCTGGGGCCAGTCCTCACGCACAGAGATGCAAATGGTGGCTCTCGGGAGGACCATGGTGCCAGGTTAGGGCCCAGGGATATAGCTAGACCTGAATCACTACTACATGCTGTGCTTCAGTTTCCCCATCTGCATGTCTAGACTAGGAATGGGGTGTCCACCTTGTAGAGTTGAGATGCAGAATAAATGATTGCATACACGTCATGCATGTGTTTAGAATATTGTCTGCTGCATGGCAGATGCTCAGTGGGCACTGAGAATGAGTGATTACTGTGCTGTTTTCTATCCCTCCATTCCCTCCAACCCAAGTACCTGGGCCACGTGGAGGTGGAGGAGTCCCGGGGAATGCACGTGTGTGAAGACGCGGTGAAGAAGCTGAAGGCGGTGAGTGAGAGGGCTGGCACAAGGGAGGGGGCAAGGTCAGACAGGGAGAGGCACCCTGACCCGGCTCCTTTGTCCCCTTGCCTCTCCCCAGATGGGCCGAAAGTCCGTGAAGTCTGTCCTGTGGGTGTCAGCCGATGGGCTCCGAGTGGTGGATGACAAAACCAAGGTAGGAGGCCTATGGGGGTGGACGCCAGGGGGCCTGTCTGCTCACCCTGCTGGAATCAGAGCGGAGGACGCCTTCCCACCTCCTCTGCACATCCCTCCCTCAGGGACCTTCTAGATGATGCCGTGTGCTCCCTCAGTCATCATAACTCAGGAATAAATGCTGTGATTATTTGGGAACTGGCATAGGCTGTGGGTGAGAGAGACTGGAGCAGCTGCCTCAGCTCTGATCCCAGCTTAGGGCCCCTGGGCATGAGATTTAACCTCTCTGGGTCTCAGTTGTGTCATCTAAAAAATGAGGATTATAGGCCGGGAGCGGTGGCTCATGCCTGTGATCCCAGTACTTTGGGAGGCCAAGGAGGGAGGATCACCTGTGGTCAGGAGTTTAAGACCAGCCTGGCAATATGGTGAAACCTCATCTCTACTAAAAATACAAAAATTAGCCAGATGTGGTGGTGCACACCTGTAATCCCAGCTACTTGGGAGGCTGAGGCAGGAGAATCGCTTGCACCCGAGAGGTGGAGGTTGCAGTGAGCTGAGATGATGCCATTGCACTCCAGCCTGGGCAACAACAGCGAAACTCCATCTGAAAAAAAGGAGGGGGGGTGGGATTATCATAGACCCTACCATTAAGTGAGAAAGCATATGCAAGTTGTTTGAAATGGTGCCTGGCTGGGAGGGCCCCTTGAAACCAGGAGTTCAAGATAAGCCTGTGAAAAGGAGCAAGGTTCCATCTATACAAAATAATTTTTAATACAATTTTTAATGCGGGCTGGGCACGGTGGCTCATACCTATAATCCCAGCACTTTGGGAGGCTGAGGCGGGTGGATCACCTGAGGTCAGGAGTTCGAGACTAGCCTGACCAAGATGGTGAAACCCCACCTCTACTAAAAATACAAAAATTAGCCGGATGTGGTGATGCGTGCCTGTAATCCCAGCTACTTGGGAGGCTGAGACAGGAGAATCACTTGAACCCAGGAGGCAGAGGTTTCAGTAAGCCAAGATCACACCACTGCACTCTAGCCTGGGTGACAGAGCAAGACTTCTTCTGGGAAGAAAAAAATTATTTAAATAGGGTCTGGTACATCGTACATAACTGCTCAGATCAATGAATGTTAGCCGTTAAGTGTTTGTTGTCACCCTGCCCAGCCAGAAGGAAGCACTATGAGGCCACGATCTAGGTATCTGTTTGCTCACCTTGAATCCCCTGCCCCCAGCCCAGAGACTGCCCTAGGAGGTGCCCAGGACATGCTGAGAGTTGGGTTAATGACAGAACAAGGCCACCACCTTTGCAAGGCAGTTTCCTCAGCCCAAAATACTGTTCCTTGACTTTTTTTCCTAGTTAATACCTGCTTCAGGAAGCCCTGTCTGACTAACCCCAAGCCGGCTTCTGCCATGCTGGCCCTGACCCCTCTGCCTGTGCCTCCCCGGTCCTGGACCTGACCCCTCTGCCTGGGCCTCCTTTATCACATCCTGCCTGTACTCGGGGCTGCCCATCTTGTGATGGGTCTGATCTTCCCTCTGACCTGGGAGCCCTCTGCAGGCAGGGCACAGGGTGTCTCAGTGACTGCTGGGTCCCTACCCTGTTCAGGACGGGATTTCAGCAGACACGGAGAGAATGTTGAGTGAATACTCGAAAGACAGTTCACACTCTTCTCCTGGCCTCCCCGGCCCCTCCTAGGATCTTCTGGTCGACCAGACCATCGAAAAGGTCTCCTTTTGTGCTCCTGACCGCAACCTGGACAAGGCTTTCTCCTATATCTGCCGTGATGGGACCACCCGCCGCTGGATCTGCCACTGTTTTCTGGCACTCAAGGACTCCGTGAGTATTGCCACAGCTGGCCGACTCTTTCCTCCCATGCCCTGGCATCCCAGCCCCACCCTGACGAGCTTCCTCCATTCAGGCACGTCACTCACCTCTGTGTGCCCAGTTTCCTCATCTGGAGAAGAGGGTATACTCAGTTCCCAATTTAGAGTATTCACGTGAGGGCCGGGTGCAGTGGCTCATACCTGTAATCCCAGCACTTTGGGATGCTGGGGCGGGTGGATTGCCTGAGCTTAGGCATTCAAGACCACCCTGGACCACATGGTAAAATCCTATCTCCACTGAAATACAAAAAATTAGCCAGGTGTGGTGGTGCACACCTGTAGTCCTAGCTACTCAGGAGGCTGAGGCAGGAGAATCACTTGAGCCCGGGAGGTGGAGGTTGCAGTGAGCCAGAATTGCATCACTGCACTTCAGCTTGGGTGACAGAGTGAGACTCCATGTCAAAAAAAAAAAAAACAAAAAACAAAAGAGTATTGGCTGGGCATGGTGGCTCAGTGGCTCACACCTATAATCCCAGCACTTTGGGATTACAAAGTGCTGGGATGACAGGTGTGAGCCACCCCACCCGGCAATATTTTTAATTTAATTAATTAATTTAATGAGACTAGGTCTCTCTCTGTCACCCAGGCTGGCGTGCAGTGGTGCAATCTCACCTCACTGCAACCTGGGTTCAAGCGATTCTCCCACCTCAGCTTCCTGAGTAGCTGGGACTACAGGCACATGCCACCATGCCCGGCTAATTTTCTGTATTTTTTGTAGAGACGGGGTTTCACCATGTTGCCCAGGCTTGTCTGAAACTCCTGGACTCAAGTGATCCACTCACCTTGGCCTCCCAAAGTGCTTGGATTATAGGCATGAGCCGCTTGGATCAGTAGTTCATTCCTTTTTTTTTTTTTTTTGAGACAGAGCGAGACTGGAGTACAATGGCACGATCTTGGCTCACTGAACCCTCCTGGGTTCAAGCAATTCTCTTGCCTCAGCCTCCATAGTAGCTGGGATTACAGGTACATGCCACTGCGCCTGGCTAATTTTTGTATTTTTAGTAGAGACGGGGTTTCACCATGTTGGCCAGGCTGGTCTCGAACTCCTGGCCTCAAGTGATTTGCCTGCCTCAGCCTCCTGAAGTGCTGGGATTACAGGTGTGAGCCCCTGTGCTTGGACTGTCTGATACTTTTTGTATGTCAAATTTGTAGGTATTGGACTACTTCCCGCTCCATATTTCAGCATGCACACCATTAAGTAGAATTTGTATTTGTTTCCAGATTCTCTTTTTTTCCTTCAAAGTGAAAGATATAATTGTCTTAGTTCAGACTGCTGTAACCAAATAGTGTAGACTGTGTGGCTTAAATGACAAACATTTGTTTCTTGCACTTCTAGAGGTTGGATGTCTGAGGTCAGGGTGTCAAATGGCTCATTTCTTGGTGAGGACTCTTTTCCTGGTTTGCAGACGGATGCCTGCTTTTTGTATCTTCACCTGGCAAGGTGGAGGGAGATCTCATGTCTTTTTCTCCTTTTTAAGGGCATTAATCCTGGCCGGGCACAGTGGCTTACGCCTGTAATCCCAACACTTTGTGAGGCGCAGGTGGGCAGATCACTTGGGGTCAGGAGTTCGAGTCCAGCCTCGCCAACATCGTGAAATCCCATCTCTACTAAAAGTACAAAACTTAGCCAGGCGTGGTGTTGCATGCCTATAATCCCAGCTACTGGGAGGCTGAGGCAGGGGAATCGCTTGAAGCCGGGAGGTGGAGGTTGCAGTGAGCTGAGGTTGTGCCGCTGCACTCCAGCATGAGCGTCAGAGTGAGACCCTGTCCCAGAAAAAAAATAAATAAATAAGGGCATTAATTCCATCATGAGGATCCCACCTCATGATCTAAACATAACTCTCATTGTCTCCCAAAGGCCTACCCCCAAATACCAGCACATTGTGAATGAGGGCTTCAGTGTTTGAATTGGGAGAGAAACACACATTTAGTCCATAGCAATGCACTAAAGCCTTCAGTGTACAGTCAACAAATTTTGACAACTGCATACACCCATGTAACCAAACCCCTATCAATATCTAGAACATTGCCACCACTCAATCATCCCTTCATACCCTTTCCAGTCATTCCCCACCCCATAGGAAACTACCACTATTCTGACTTTCTTTTTTTGAGACAGAATCTCGCTCTGTCACCCAAGCTGGAGTGCAGTGGTGCAATCATAGCTCCCTGCAGCCTTGACCTACTGAGCTCAAGGGAACCTCCTGCCTCAGCCTCCCAAAGTGCTAGCATTACAGGCGAGAGCCACCACTCCTGGCCTGTTCTGACTTTTTTCACCATAGATTAGTTTTGCCTCTTCTGGAATTTCCGGTAAGTGGAGCCACACAACAGGCTCATTGGTTTCTGACTTCTCTCACTTGGAGCTGTCATTTCCAGCCCTTCCTCGTGGTGCAGATGAGCACTGAAGCCCAGAGAAGTGCAGGGACTCATCCAGCGCGATCCAGTACCTAGCGGCTGTAACCCAGTGCCCCTGGCCCCTGTCCGCACTGCCCAGCACCTCTAACCCCCGCTCATCCTCTCCCCACAGGGTGAGAGGCTGAGCCACGCTGTGGGCTGTGCTTTTGCCGCCTGCCTGGAGCGAAAACAGCGACGGGAGAAGGAATGCGGGGTCACGGCCGCCTTCGATGCCAGCCGCACCAGCTTCGCCCGCGAGGGCTCCTTCCGCCTGTCTGGGGGTGGGCGGCCTGCTGAGCGAGAGGCCCCGGACAAGAAGAAAGGTGGGTGTTGCCCCGAGCACCAGCAGGGCACAGAGTGGGCACAGGGTACCCAAGGTCGGGGGGCGGGGGGCTTCAGAGGTACAGGGACTCAACAGTTTACAAAGCAGGGGATGCTTCAGGCCAGGCGCCATGGCTCACGCCTGTAATCCCAGCACTTTGAGAGGCCAAGGTGGGCAGACCACTTGAGGTCAGAAGTTCGAGACCAGCCTGGGCAACATGGTGAAACCTCGTCTCTACTAAAAATACAAAAATTAACCGGGCATGGTGGCCTACACCTGTAATCCCAACTACTTGGGAGGCTGATGCAGGAGGATTGCTGGAACCCTGGAGGTGGAGGTTGCAGTGAGCCAAGATCACGCCACTGCACTCCGGTCTGGGCAATAGAGTAAGACTCTGTCTTTTTTTGAGACAGAGTCTCGCTCTGTCACCCAGGCTGGAGTCCAAGGGTGCGATCTCGGCTCACTGCAATCTCCGCCTCCCGGGTTCAAGCAATTCTCCTGCCTCAGCCTCCCGAGTAGCCAGGATTACAGGCATGGCTAATTTTTGTATTTTTATTAGAGACAGGGTTTCCCCATGTTGGCCAGGCTGGTCTCGAACTCTTGACCTCAGGTGATCCACCTGCCTTGGCCTCCCAAAGTGCTGAGATTACAGGCGTGAGCCATGGCGCCTGGCCTTCTCAGGACTTTTCAACCTGTATATCAAGACCTGTGAAGCCAATTTGCTGTACTGTAGCTGGCATTTTTTGTTTTGTTTTCTGAGTTGAGGTCTAATTCTGTTGCCCAGGCTGGAGTGCAGTGGCGTGATCACAGCTCCCTGCACCCTCAAACTGCTAGGCTCAGGTAATTCTCCTGCCTCAGCCTCCAGGTAGCTGGGAATATGGGCACGCACCACAGCATCTGGCTAGTTTTATTTTTAGTTTTTGTAGAACTGGGATCTTGCTGTGTTTCCCAGGCTGGTCTCAAACTCCTGGCCTCAAATGATCCTCCCACCTCAGCCTCCCAAAGCACTGGTGTTATAGGTATGGACAACTGGGCCCAGCCCATGTGGCTGGCATTTTAAAAAATGAAATCAACCTGGGCAACATAGGGAAACCCTGTCTCTACAAATCATTAAAAAATTAGCCAGGCATGGTGGTGCAGCCTGTGGTCCCAGCTACTCAGGAGGCTGAGGCAGGAGGATCACCTGGGCCCAGGAGGTAGAGGCTGCAGACAGCTGCGATTGTGCCACCACACTCAAACCTGGGTGACAGACAGAGTGAGACCCTGTCTCAAAAAAAAAAATGAGGCTGGGCGCGGTGGCGCAAGCCTGTAATCCCAACACTTTGGGAGGCCGTGACGGGCGGATCACGAGGTCAGGAGATCGAGACCATCCTAACATGGGCTAACATGGTGAAAGTCTGTCTCTACTAAAAAATACAAAAAAACTAGCTGGGCGAGGTGGCGGGCACCTGTAGTCCCAGCTACTCGGGAGGCTGAGGCAAGAGAATGGCATAAACCCGGGAGGCGGAGTTTGCAGTGAGCTGAGATCCGGCCACTGCACTCCAGCCTGGGCAACAGAGCGAGACTCTGTCTCAAAAAAAAAAAAAAAAAAAAAAGAATTTAAAAACAATGAAGTAGAGAATCATAGAAAATATCAGAGTATATTGAATGGCATAAGGGTTAAATATAATTTAATGATACATTTATTTGAGTGTGAGAGAGTGTGCGTGTGTGTGTGTGTGCGCGCGTGTGCGTGTAAGAGGCTACCATATAAAAGATATCTCTTACTCTGGATTGCCATCAAGAAAGTTTGAAACATACTTGGTAAAACTAACTTTCTAGGTAAATGGTTACTTTGTAAGTTCTAAAACTGTGTGTGTGTGTGTGTATGTGTGTGTATGTGTGTGTGTGTTTAAATTACAATTGTATGTATGTCCTGAGTCACCATATAATTTAATTAATTAATTTATTTATTTTTTACTGTGAATTCTAGTTTACGTTTTTTGGGAAAACACTACTTAGAATTTACAAAGAATTTACCATTGGAAACTGATCCTGATTAAGGGAGACGAATGAGATTTGACAGGTATTAATAGGTGCAAGATGTGATCCTGAATTGGATCCTGGATTGTAAGGGGAAAAAAAAGAACATCTTTTTTTTGAGACAGAATCTCTCTCTGGCACCCAGGCTGGAGTGCAGTGTCGCCATCTCAGCTCACTGCAACCTCCGCCTCCTGGTTTCAAGCAGTTCGTATGCCTCAGCCTCCTGAGTAGCTGGGATTACAGGTGCCCACCACCACACCCAGCTAAGTTTGTTTGTTTTATTTTTCTTTTTTGGAGACAGAGTCTCGCTCTGTTGCCCAGGCTGGAGTGCAATGGTGTGATCTTGGCTCACTGCAACCTCTGCCTCTCGGGTTCAAGCAATTCTCCTGCCTCAGCTTCTGGAGTAGCTGTAATCCCAGGCATGTGCCACTACACCCAACTAATCTTTTTTTGTATTTTTAGTAGAGATGGTATTTCACCATGTTGGCAAGGCTGGTCTTGAACTCCTGGCCTCAAGTGATCCTCCCACCTCGGCCTCTCAAAGTGCTGGGATTATAGGCATGAGCCACTGTGTCCAGGCATGCTTTTGTTGGATTCCAAAACATTTAACATTCATCACCTAAACTGACCCTCTCGGAGGCTTGGGAAGTAGCATGAGATGTTTATCCCAGGTTTCTAGTTGGCAAACTGGAGCCCAGAGAGGGGAGGGGACTTCCTGAGGTCACACAGTGAGTGGGGGCAGAGGTGGTTTCCTGGTTCCAACCTGTCCTGGGCTGTTTCCACTGCCCTGGGCCAGACCTGCATGGGTGCCCCATTGTGTCACGATGGGAGAAGCAGCACTGGGCGACATCCTTCTGGGAGGGTCTCTCTGGGCCTGAGTTTAATCTCCATGGTATTCAGGCCGCAGCTCGGGGAGTCCCTGGTAGGAGGGTAGGTGTGTGTTCATAGTTTGGCAGGGGTGAGGGGAGCCCTGCCCTTGAAGAGCCTGCCTCTCCTGCTGAGTAGGGAGGTCAGGCTTCCTCCCAGAGGACAGAGAACAGTCTCAGAGTGGAGGGAGCCAGGCTGAGAGACCAGAACAATCTGGAAAGCTTCTTAGAGGATGAAGCATCCAAGCCATGTCTAGAATGACTGGAGGAAGGGAGGAGCTCCTTGAGGTGGGAAGAAGGCTGGGAGGTGGGAGACAGAGGGGAACAGACAGTCACAGAGAAAGACATGATACAGAGAGCGAGGCCAGAGGGAGACAGGGCGGGCAGTCATTTGGAGCACGGGCTCCAGAGTCAGCCTGTCCTTTCCTAGCAGTGTCATTTGGAGCATATCACACTGGGCCTTTGCTGGGTTTCAGTTTCCACATCTGTAAAATGAGGATCGTATCAACCCCATGCGTAGTCGTGTGGATTGAATGAGTTAATACTTGCAAACTGGCCGGGCGCGGTGGCTCAAGCCTGTAATTCCAGCACTTTGGGAGGCCGAGACGGGCAGATCACGAGGTCAGGAGATCGAGACCATCCTGGCTAACACGGTGAAACCCCGTCTCTACTAAAAAAATACAAAAAACTAGCCGGGCGAGGTGGCGGGCGCCTGTAGTCCCAGCTACTCGGGAGGCTGAGGCAGGAGAATGGCGTAAACCTGGGAGGCGGAGCTTGCAGTGAGCTGAGATCCGGCCACTGCACTCCAGCCCGGGCGACACAGCGAGACTCCGTCTCAAAAAAAAAAAAAACTTGCAAAGCATCTGGAACAATGCCTCATACGTTATTCCGGCACCAAATAAGTGTTTGTTAAATGATCGGAAAGGGAGATAGAGAGTCTCCGAGGGAAGAATGGTGAGAGCAGCAGGGCAAGACAGAAAGGGGCAGGAAGCTGGCGAGACACAAAGGGTGAGCCTGGGGGACGGTTTTCCAAGGGCCTCCTGGGGAAGGGGATCTTGACTTGGGTGGGAGTGAGGGATATCTCAAGGCTTTGACTAGCTTGTCGTACGGGCAGGACTCACTGACAAGGAAGGCAGCCTTGGAGAATGACCCAGAGAACCAGGTGGGAGAGGCCTTGAATGCCACGGTGAGATACCTAACCATCCATCTCCCCCATGTCTCCAGCAGAGGCAGCAGCTGCCCCCACTGTGGCTCCTGGCCCTGCCCAGCCTGGGCACGTGTCCCCAACACCAGCCACCACATCCCCTGGTGAGAAGGGTGAGGCAGGCACCCCCGTGGCTGCAGGCACCACTGCGGCCGCCATCCCCCGGCGCCATGCCCCCCTGGAGCAGTTGGTTCGCCAGGGCTCCTTCCGTGGGTTCCCAGCACTCAGCCAGAAGAACTCACCTTTCAAACGGCAGCTGAGCCTACGGCTGAATGAGCTGCCATCCACGCTGCAGCGCCGCACTGACTTCCAGGTGAAGGGCACAGGTGAGCCCTGGGCCCAGTGGGAAAGGGCACTGGAATCAATTGGCACTATCTGATGTGGGCAAGGGATAGAGGCGAGATGGTTCACACTGTGATTGATTTGCACTGTCTGCCATGGGCAAAGGAGAGAGAGGTGGAACATGTCATGATCGATTAGCAGTGGGCAAGGGAGAGGAAGGAGACAGCACAAATCAGGATTGATAAACCATGTCTGCTCTGAGTAAGGGATAGCAGAAAGGCCTCACAAGTTATGATCAATTAGCAATGTCTGGTGTGGTTAAGGAAAAGGAGAAAGATGACGCACGTCATGATTAGTTAGTAAAGTCCGCTATGGACAAAGAAGTCGGGCATGGATAAGGAAGTTTGCCATGGGCCAGGGAAAGAAGAGAAGCAACACTGTTGGCCTGTTTTTGCTCAGAAATAGACTGAAGCACTGTAAGTTAATGCGTGCTCTCTCCCTCCAAGCATTTGCCTATGAAATCTGGCTAGGTGAAGGATACAGGTATTCCTCAGGCTCTAAGGAAAGGAGGATTGCGATGGATTAGCAATGTCTGCCTAGGGCAGAGAGCATCAAGGGATGGCAAAAAAGGCATCACAAATCATGATCAATTAGCAATGTCTGCTGTGGTTAAGGAAAACAAGAAGGATGGTGCACATCATGATTGGTTAGCAATCATGATCTCCTTACAATGTGTGTCATGGGCAAGGGAGAAGAGAGAGTAGGAAGTGTTATGTTTTTACCCAAAGGGGAGACTCCCAGAATTTGGTCAGTAGAAACATGACATGCAGGGCACCAGTGAGCTCAGAGATCCCAGGGGTCAGGGGGCATAGTGATGGATCAGGGATATTTGTTGTGGGCACAGAGTTGAGCAGAGGCAGTACCCGTCACGAAAAGGAACAGCACATCATAATTGATTGGCATTGTCTGCCATGGCTGGTGATAGGAGAGAGGAGATACAAAGGTCGTGTTTTACTTGGAGGGAAGATGGAGTTACAAGGATCTGTTTCTTCTAGCACTTGGCCAGGGGAGCCATGAAGTCTGGACAGGTGATGGGTAAGGTGAGCAAAGAGCTCCATGGAGGAAAAAATTGTGTTTGATTACTAATGTCTGCCGTGGGTCAGGGAAAGGAGACAGATGGTATACATCATGATCTAAAAGCGATGTCCAGCCAGGTGCAGTGGCTCATGCTTGTAGTCCCAGGACTTTGGGAGGCCAAGGCAGGCAGATCACTTGAGCCCAAGAGGGGTTCAAGGATCCCTTGAGGCAGATGACTTGGCTAAACCCTGTCTCTACAAAAAAATACAAAAACTAGTCTAGTGTGGTGGCACATGCCTGTAGTCTCAGCTACTCAGGAGGCTGAGAAAGGAGAATTGCTTGATACCAGCAGATTGAGGCTGCAGTGAGCTCAGATTGCACCACTTCACTCCAGCCTGGGCAACAGAGTGAGATCCTGTCTCAAAAAAAAAAAAAAAATTAAGAACAATGTCTGCCATGGGAAAGGAAGAAGATAGAAGTGGCATGCTACTGAGTTTTGCCTGAGGGAGGCAGGCAGAAGGGCTGTCTTCCCCACCAGCAGCCAGTGAAGCCATGTGGTCTGGCCCACACTCTTGTTCCTGGGTGCCAAATCTGCATCGCCTACCCGTTATGGCCTTGGGGATTGGTGTGGGAGGGTGTTGCGCTGTATCCAGGAGGCTGGGCTGCTCCAAAAGGTAACCGGTGAGCAGGTGCCCACCCTTGTGGAGAGTGACGCACACTCACTCCATGCCTGCAGCACTCCTGGGCCATCACACACCCTCACATTTGCTGTCCTTACGCAGCCTGACATCAGGCACACTCCCCAGGCTGTCACACGCACTCCTGAGAGGTGGCAGGAGCTCCAGGCTTTATTTAGAAGCCTCACACTCCTGTGGCCAGCTGCACGCTCACTTGGATGTGACTTGCCACACAGAAATTTCACATACATAGACATCGCACCCTCACACACATGTCACACATGCTCAGAAGTCACAAACTCAGAGTCAGGTATACTCTCAAGTCATGCACACTCCAAAATCACAGAGTCAGAAGTCACACATGGCCAGACGTGGTGACTCACACCTGTAATCCCAACACTTTGGGAGGCCAAGGAGGGAGGATCACTTGAGCTCAGGAGTTTGAGACCAGCCTGCGCAGCACCGCAAGATCTCATCTCTACAGAAAAATTTTAAAACTTAACCTTTATTGTTAACCAGGTGCAGTGGTATGCACCTGTAGTCACAGCTACTCAGGAAGATTGCTTGAGCCTGGGAGGCAGAGGTTGCAGTGAGCCAAGATTGTGCCACTACACTCCAGCCTGGGCAACAGAATGAGACCCTGTGTCAAAAATAAGTAAATATTTAAAAAAAAGAAACACCCTCAGATTTACACACCTTCACAGATCACACACCCAGATTTATGCAAACTCCAAAGCTACATGTGCAGATTCATGCACACCTGCAAACACACTCGTACATCACACGGCAGATGCTCTCACACCTGGGGGTCACGCATCAGGACGCCACACACCTGGACTCCAGTCACACTCAGATGCCACAACCTCAGAAGCTGCATGCCTGTTTGGATGAACATGCACAATCATTGTTGACATTGGCTGTCACACCTGGGCGCCCCCACAGCACACCTGCAGACACCTACGGCCAGTTCTGATGTTCACTGGAGCATCTGCATGACCCCTTGGAGACAGCCATTGGCTAAAACGTCACAGACATGTGTCACACACCACACATGGCAGTCCTTAATTGTTTATTTGGATGGTACCTTTGCTCATCCCAGGCCCTCGCGGGGCCGCCATGCCTGCTCAGTGTCTCCTGCCTTGCTGGCACAGGCACAGGCACAGGCACATCTCTGCTCTCATGATGTTTGCCATAGGTCAGGCTGGGTGGGGTGGACAGGGCCCCACTTCTCTGCCCAAAGCTGGACAAATGATCCCCAGCCAGTGAGCGGCCATGCCACAATCCATTCAGACTGGGCCCATGTCCTTGCCATGCACGTGGTTTGGCATATTTTTAAACTAATATATATTGCTAAATGTTTTAGACATCTCTTCTGGTTTGTGGCCGCACACAAATCTTGAGGTCCTTGGTTTGGGGTCCCTGTTACTGTCAACCATCAAATGTCACACACTAAGTTGATCGTTCTGCCATTCAGATGTGACACACACATGTGTGCAGTTATTTGGCGGTCATGGCCACTTAGTTACTACAGCAGGAAAGGATACAGGTCACAAGAGAGGGCCACCAAGGGCGTGGGATAAAGGGTGGGGTTGCGGCAGGGCCTGGGCCTGTTTGCTGACCTCCGTCCTGCCCTGCTTCCCAGTGCCTGAGATGGAGCCTCCTGGCGCCAGCGACAGTGACAGCATCAACGCTCTGTGCACACAGATCAGTTCATCTTTTGCCAGTGCTGGAGCACCAGCACCAGGGCCACCACCTGCCACAACAGGTAAAGCCAGGCTTTCTACTGGGCAGACACCCTGCATGTCCTTCCTGTACCCCCTCCTCTATCCAGGGCTACCCAGATACTCCAGGGGTCTTGGGATCCTACAGGCTTAGAATCATGGATCACCTCAGAGCCAGGGGATCATCCTAGAACCATGGATTATCTTAGAGCCATGGGATTACCTGAGAATCATGTGATTATTTTAGAACCATGGACCATCTTAGCGCCAGGGGATCATCCTAGATCCGTGGATCATCTTAGAGTCATGGGATTACCTCAGAATCATGCAGTCACCTTAGAACCAGAGATCATCTTAGAGCCAGGAGATCAGCCTAGAACCAGAACCATGGGATTATCTGAGAATCATGTGATCATCTTAGAGCCATGGATCATTTTAGAGCCAGGGGATTATCCTGGATCCGTGGTTCATCTTAGAGCCATGGGATTACCTGAGAATCACGCAATCACTTTAGAAGCATGGATCATCTTAGAGTCAGGGGATTATCCTAGATCCATGCATCATCTTAGAGCCATGGGATTACCTCAGAATCGTGCGATCACCTTAGACCCAGGGATCATCTTAGAGCCAGAGGATCAGCCTAGAACCATGGGATTATCTGAGAATCATGCGATCATCTTAGAGTCATGGATCATCTTAGAGCCGGGGGATTATCCTAGATCTGTGGATCATCTTAGAGCCATGGGATCACCTGAGAATCATGCGATCACCTTAGACCCAGGGATCATCTTAGAGCCAGGGGATTATCCTAGAATCATGGATCATCTTAGAGCCAGGGGATTATCCTAGAACCATGGATCATCTTAGAGCCATGGGATTGTCTGAGAATCATGTGATCATCTTAGAGCCATAGATCATCTCAGAGCCCTTGATCATTTTAGAGCCATGGAATCCCCGTAGAACCATGGGATCCCCTTAGAACCAAGGGATCATCCTAGAACTATGGATCATCTTAGAGCCATAGGATCACCTTAGAAACACAGATCATCTTAGAGCCAGAGGATCATCCTAGAACCATGGATCATCTTAGAGCCATGGGATTACCTGAGAATCAAGTGATCACCTTAGAACCATGATTTATCTTAGAGATACGGGATCATCTTAGAGCCATGGGGTCATCTCAGAGGCATGGGCTCATCCTAGAATCTTGGGATCACCTTAGAGCTCAGAGATCGTTTTGGAACCATGGAATCCTTGAGAACCGTGTATCATCTTAGAGCCATGGGCTTATCCTAGAACCACAGGAGCACCTTAGAATCTCAAACGCTGTAAATGTAGAACTCGAGAATCTTAGAAAGCCCCACCCTAAACTGTCGGACCTTACTATGTTAGGATAATATTATACATGTGGAGAAAGATCCATGCAATCTTAGAATCTTAACTCCTAAAACAATACATTCTGAAAGTGTTAGAGAATCAAGGGTGATATTCAAAATAGTGAATACTGGCTGGGTGTGGTGGCTCATGCCTGTAATCCTAGTACTTTGGGTGGCCAAGGTGGGGGGATCACTTGAGATAGGAGTTTGCGTCCAGCCTGGGCAACATGTTGAAACCTCGCCTCTACTAAACATACAAAAAATCAGCTGGGTGTGATGGTGTGCGCCTGTAATCCCAGCTACTCAGGAGGCTGAGGCACGAGAATTGCTTGAACCTGGGAGGCGGAGGTTGCAGTGAGCCGAGATAGGGCCACTGCATCCCAGCCTGGGCAACAGAGTGAAACTCTCTCAAAACAGACAAACAAAACAAAATAGTGAATCCCAGGTTTGGCACTGACCAGTCAGAAGGGCAGTGGAGCTAGGAGGATGTCAGTCCTACTTAGACTTTCCCATCATAGGACCTCAGAAGCTCAGAATTGTATGTTCTTAGCACTCCAGAGCCATTATGTGGTCCAGAATGGTGAAGTCACTTGCCTAAAGTCAGCAAGCTAGGGAGGTGCAGAGCTGGGATTCAGAGGCAGGCGGTCTGGCTCCAGAGTCTGTGCTCTGATCCCCACACCATGCCAGTTCCCAGCCTGAGGTTCTTCTGCTGAAGCCCTTGCCCCCTCACCTGTCCCTCTCCTCTCTCCAGGGACTTCTGCCTGGGGTGAGCCCTCCGTGCCCCCTGCAGCTGCCTTCCAGCCCGGGCACAAGCGGACACCTTCAGAGGCTGAGCGATGGCTGGAGGAGGTGTCACAGGTGGCCAAGGCCCAGCAGCAGCAGCAACAGCAGCAGCAACAGCAGCAGCAGCAGCAGCAGCAGCAGCAAACAGCGTCTGTGGCCCCGGTGCCCACCATGCCTCCTGCCCTGCAGCCTTTCCCTGCCCCTGTGGGGCCCTTTGACGCGGCATCTGCCCAAGTGGCCGTGTTCCTGCCACCCCCGCACATGCAGCCCCCTTTTGTGCCCACCTACCCAGGTTTGGGCTACCCACCGATGCCCCGGGTGCCTGTGGTGGGCATCACACCCTCACAGATGGTGGCCAACGCCTTCTGCTCAGCCGCCCAGCTCCAGCCTCAGCCCGCCACCCTGCTTGGGAAAGCTGGGGCCTTCCCACCCCCTGCCATACCCAGTGCCCCTGGGAGCCAGGCCCGCCCTCGCCCCAATGGGGCCCCCTGGCCCCCGGAGCCAGCGCCTGCCCCAGCTCCAGAGTTGGACCCCTTTGAGGCCCAGTGGGCGGCATTAGAAGGCAAACCCACTGTGGAGAAACCCTCCAACCCCTTTTCTGGTGACCTGCAGAAGACATTCGAGATTGAACTGTAGCCCGAGCCGCCCCGCCCACTCCATCATCTCCAGGCGCCCCACGCCTGGGGGTGGAGGCACAACCTCTCCCCTAACCCTGCTCTCTGGGGCTGCGCCCCTCAGCACCCTCTCAACACCCCCCTCTCTCAACCACCCCAACAACCACTACAGAACCAACCAGGTTGGAACAGGATGGAATTCAGGGATGGACCCAGCCTGGCTAAGGGAACCATTTCACTGCCGGACTTAGGCTGGCGATGCCCCCTTCCCCCACCCCAGACACAGGGGTTGGCCACAATCCCACTGAATGCCCTTGGTTCACGCTCCATTTCCCAGTTTCTGTTGACCTCCCACCTTCCAGTGTTGGACAGGATGGGGGGGGACACTTGCTTAGGGGCTCTCCTGGGCCCCACACCAGTGCCCACCCCAAATCTGGTCGTCTCCTCCCCCCATACACAGCACAAGCTAAGGGCTGCCCTCTGCCCACACGCTGCGTTCACTGCCAATGCTGTAGTCACCCCCATCGCCCTCCAGCTCTGGGGCCCATGTGTTCCTTGGGCCAAGGTCTCATGGGGGCTGGGGCCAAGTTGGGGGCCCAGGAGGCGGGGAGGGGGGAGGAGGAGAAGATGCGCAGTTACCTCATGTCTGTGCCCGCTGGGGAGGGGTCTGGGAAGAAAGGGAAGGGGTGCCTGGCGGGTACTTTTCTATCTTTTATTTCCAGATTTTTTTTGTATCTAAACTTGAAGATTTGTATTATACAAGGACAGCCAATAAAGGAAGAATATAATGGTGCCCCTCGGGAAACGAGGGTGTGTGTAGGGCGCTGGTGAGGCCCCAGAACCTTTCCTCCTGAGTCATGGACTGAAACGGAGTCAGAAGGGTGTCCCTGAGTGAGAACCTCCGAGTCATCGTGTGGTACCACTGACTCAGCACCTGCCAGGCAGGTATTCAAGGAGCCAAAATTAATCACCCCATTTATGTTCCTTACAGGTTTAGAACCAAGGAATAAAAAACATTATAAACTGCTGGCCGGGCGCAGCGGCTCACGCCTGTAATCCCAGCACTTTGAGAGGCCGAGGCAGGCAGATCACTTGAGGTCAGGAGTTCAAGACCAGCCTGGCCGACACGGAGAAACCCCGTCTCTACCAAAAATACAAAACTTAGCCAGGCATGGTGGCAGGCACCTGTAATTCCAGCTACTCAGGAGGCTGAGGCACAAGAATCGCTTGAACCCGAGCAGCAGAGGTTGCAGTGACCTGAGGTCGTACCACTGCACTCCTGCCTGGGCAACAGAGTGAGACTCTGTCTCAAAAACAAAAAACAAACTACTTCGAATTAGTTCAATATTACTATTTTAATGAGTCAGGTTGATAATAGTATATCTTTGCCCATGCTGGCAAATTCTTGTTTTGTCAGCATTTTCCATAACTGGCCAAAGTGTCACCTGACATGGCAGCGTTTTGCAGTCTTGCTATTGTTTCTTGAGTCCTTTAATCTACAAGATGTATTTTTAAAGCTATATAATACATAAATTGTTTCGTTATAGCTCTTTAAAATGAGATTATTATGTGCAATCCAATATTCTGTTCCCACTGGATAGATGGGGAAGTTGAGTCAGTGGCCCACGGTGATACATTTGATTCATGTGGGCCAAAGTCAAAGGCAGTAGTGAAACCATCAGGTTGAGTCCGGCACGGTGGCTGTCACCTGTAAGCCCATCTCTTCGGGAGACCAAGGTGGGAGGATCGCTTGAGCCCAGGAGTTCAAGGCCAGCCTGGGCAATGTAATGAGACTCTGTCTCTACAAAGTAATTTTAAAATTAGGTGGGCGTGGTGGCACACGCCTGTAGTCCCAGCTACTCGAGAGGTTGAGATGGGAGGATTGCTTGAACCTGGGAGGTCCAGACTGCAGTGGTCTGTGATGCAGTCACTGCACTCCAGCCTGGGTGACAGCGTGAGCATGAGACCCTGTCTAAAAAAGCAAACAAAACAAAAGGCTGGGCGTGGTGGCTCATGCCTTTAATCCCAGTACTTTGGAAGGCTAAGGCAGGTGGATTACCTGAGGTTGGGAGTTAGAGACTAGCCTGGCCAACGTGGTGAAACTCCGTCTGTACTAAAAATACAAAAATTAGCCAGGCATGGTTGTGGGTGCCTGTCATCTCAGCTACTTGGGAAGCTAAGGCAGGAGAATCGCTTGAACCCGGGAGGCCAAGGTTGCAGTGAGCCAAGATCACACCACTGCACACCAGCCTGGGCAACAGAGCGAGACTGTCTCAAAACAAACAAAAAAGCATCAGGCTGTGAGGGAACAAGCCTAGGGCCTGCCCTCTATAGCGTTTCCATTACAGCCCATTAACCTGTTGTGGACTCCAGGACTAGGAGACCTAAGGCAGCTCTGTCAGGGTATGATGTAGGGGGAATTCCCCGGGCAGGGAGTAGAGGACCCTGCCAGAGATGAGCCACACTCTCACCTCCAAGCTTTTGCATTTGTCATTCTCTCTGCCTAGAACACCCTTTCCTTCAGGGTGACACAGCACTTCCCAGAGGAATGCTACTGATGCTTTAGGACTCAGTTCAAATACCTCTTGTTAGAAGTTGACCCTCTTCCAAGGCCCTGAGCCCCATTCTATCCTTTCATTAGGATTTTTTTTTAATTTTTATTTATTTATTTATTTTTGAGCCGGAGTCTCGCTCTGTCGCCCAGGCTGGAGTGCAGTGGCACGATCTAGGCTCACTGCAAGCTCTGCCTCCCGGGTTCATGCCATTCTCCCGCCTCAGCCTCCTGTGTAGCTGGGACTACAGGCGCCCGCCACCGCGCCCGGCTAATTTTTTTGTTTTGTATTTTTAGTAGAGATGGGGTTTCACCGTGTTAGCCAGGATGGTCTCGATCTCCTGACCTCGTGATCTGCCCGTCTCGGCCTCCCAAAGTGCTGGGATTACAGGCATGAAGGATTTATTTATTTTTTGAGACGGAGTCTCACTCTGTCGCCCGGGCTGGATGCAGTGGTGTGATCTCATTGCAGCCTCCACCTCCTGGGCTCAGGCGATTCTCCTGCCTCAGCCTCCCAAGCAGCTGGAACTACAGGCGCCTGCCACCACACCCAGCTAATTTTTGTATTTTTAGTGGAGACTGGGTTTCACCATGTTGGCCAGGCTGGTCTGGAACTCCTGACCTCAGTGATTTGCCCACCTCGGCTTCCCAAAGTGTTGGATTACAGGCGTGAGCCACTGCACCCAGCCCAGTATTTTTGCTATTATTATTTTAAAGACAGGGGTCTCACTGTATCACCCAGGCTGGAGTGCGGTGGGGCAATCATAGCTCATTGCAGCCTTGAATTCCTGGGCTCAACCAATCTTCCCACCTCAGCCTCCTGAGTAGCTGGGACTACAGGCCTGCACCACTATGCCCAACTGATTTTTAAATTATTTTGTAGAGATGCGGGTCTCACTATGTTGTCCAATCTGGTCCGGAACTCCTGGCCTCAAGTGATCCTCCTGTCTCTGCCTCCCGAAGTGCTGGGATTACAGGCAGGAGCCAGGTGTCCGGGCCCCATCCTATCTTTTTGGTCTAAGTTTAGACAGCTCTTCAACCCCCGCAGACTGAGTCAGCAGTACCCACTCTCCCCTTGGATCCTACAGGCCCCTGTCCTCCCCTATCCCAGCCCTGACCCATCTGCCTGTGCCTCCCTCCCCCCCACCGCCCCCGTCCTCTCAATGACGCATTCGGGCTGTCACTACTGGTGTCAGGTCTATCTGCCTCACTGGTCTGTGAGGGAGAAGGGGGTCTGGGGTGTCTCAGTCACTTCCCCGTGCCAACACAGGGCCAGGCACAGAAGAGGCAGCCTTAGTGGTTCCCCTCTGCAAACCACTAGGAAGTGAGAGGGGCAGAAATGGCCTAGGACTGGGACAGAGAGGATTTGAGCAACTGGAAGGATGGGGAACTGAGGTCAGAAGCACGCCGCAAATCTGGGACACAGTCAAGGCACCCCCACCCCGTCCCTGACTGATCTCTTCATTCAACCACCCTTCCCCACGCCCAGATCAGCCTTTCTCAGAGCTGCCCCCACAACGGTCCCCGCGGATGTAGATGGAAGGGGGCCGTCCCGGGGAGGACCTCCCACAGGCTCCTCTTGGCCCATTTCCCATCTTCCCTCCCACGCGCAGGCTGGAGATTCTGGCTCTCCATGGAGCTTTTCGCTCCAAAGAGGCCCTGGAACCGGGATCAACCGCCCACTCCCACTTCCCCAGGTTTTGGCCCGCTCAGAATAGACCCAGGACACCGCACTGAAAGCCCCGCCCTAGCCGGGAACCCCATCCCACATAAACGCCTATCTAGGTCATTTTGGGGGAACAGGAGGACGCCCCCCTGGGGCCGGTTCTGCACTCCTCTATTCCGTTCTTTGGGAAGCTCCGCCCCCCGCTGAAGCCCCGCCCCGTGCGGCCGCCCCCTCTCCCGGAACCGCCCTCGGCCGCGCGGGCTATTTTGATGCATTCCACGGGTGACAGGGCCGGGTGCCCCCACCACGCTTCCTGTTGGTTTTTTCTTTTTTTTTTAAAGCTCCGCCCCCTGGAGACCACAGTGTCTCCGGGAGCCGCCCGCGCGGGACCGAGGACAGCCCTGGCCCCTCGCTGCACAGCGCTGGGACCACCCCACGGAGCGCAGCGTCTCATACTCCCTGGGGCCCGCCGCTTCCACTGACCTGCGCAGGGCCACGCGCCACCCCGGGCTCCCTGGCTGTAACCGACCCCATCCACCCTCGAGGCGCGCTGGCCGACCTCCCGCACCTGCGGGGCCACGTGGTTGCCGGGGACGTTCCCCTAGCGTGGTGGAGCAGCGCCCCCTCGTGGCCCTGCGCTCGCGGCGCCTGGGCGGCAGCCCCGCCAAGGCTTTGCTAAGGCAGGAAAAGTGTTTTAAGAAAAATTCAAGGCCGGGCGCGGTGGCTCACGCCTGTAATCCCAGCACTTTGGGAGGCCGAGGCGGGCGGATCACGAGGTCAGGAGATCGAGACCATCCTGGCGAACACGGTAAAACCCCGTCTCTACTAAAGATACAAAAAAAGTAGCCGGGCGTGGCGGCGGGCGCCTGTAGTCCCAGCTTCTAGGGAGGCTGAGGCAGGAGAATGGCGTGAACCCGGGAGGCGGGGAGCTTGCAGTGAGCGGAGATCCCACCACTGCACTCCCGCCTGGGTGACACAGCGAGACTCTGTCTCAAAAAAAAAAAAAAAGAAAAGAAAAAGAAAAATTCAAATTGGGCTGGGCGCAGTGGCTCATGCCTGTAATCCCAGCAGTCTGGGAGGCCGAGGCAGGTGCATCACCTGAGGTCAGGGGTTCAAGACCAGCCTAGCCAACATGGCGAAACCCCCGTCTCGTCTAAAAATGCAAAAATTAGCCAGGCGTGGTGGCGGGCGCCTGTAGTCCCAGCTACTTGGGAGGCTGAGGCAGGAGAATCGCTTGAACCCCGGAGGTGGAAGTTGCAGGGAGCCAAAATCGAGCCACTGCACTCCAGTGATAGAGGGAGACTCGGTGTCCCAAAAAAAAAAAAGAAAGAAAGAAAGAAAAAGAAAAATTGCTGTCGCATTCATGAACATTATACTTCAGGCCCTGGCTCAGCCGTTCCCCCTCTGGCAATTCCTCCCTGACTGGTCGGGTGCCTTCTTTGGGATCCTATGTTCCTTATGCTCCTCAACTCGGCCTGTATCTCCCTGCCCTGGCCCGGATCCGTCTGCCTGTGCCTCTCCCATCTGGACCCTGACCCCTTTGCCCTCCACCTGCACCTCCCCAGTCACTGCCCCGACACCTCTGCCT